GGTGGCGCCGGAACCATTTCCATCAACATCGCCCATAGATCCGGGAAATCGGTTTGTCTTGTCCCTCGGAGGTTATCAACTTTTCCTTCGTCGATATTGACTATCAAAAGACAGCCATAAACGGCATGCCGAATGCCCATGCAATGACTGGGTTGCAATTCGTCCTCGCTTTGGATAGATTTCGCTGTCAGAGTTGAAATCCATCGGCCACTTGGTCTATCTCTGCTGACCGAGTGCGATACTGTGTAGTTTAGCTTCAAATCCTCGCAGGACCCCCCTTTAGCGTTTGGGCGGAAGGAGATGGTCCTAGTTGTTGACTGTATTTGAGAGCCCGGAACAACGCTGACAGAGCTTAGAGGTAGCTGGATCTCGGATACAATTGATCCTGAATAGCTGATCACGTTTTTCTTCATCGCAATTGTGTACTGATGCTTTCTTCTTCTCGTGCACCCAGCTTTTCGTCTACACCAGCAAAAGCGTTTTGGACACCTGTATCTCAGCCTTGGTCAAAAGTGCTGACATGTGAAGGGCGATCAAGGGGGATTTGGGAGATGAGAAAAGGCGCCAGTTCCATAATTGGCTATGCTTAAGGGCTGCGGGAGTATGCGATCGACACATACGGAAGCAGTGGATACACTATGCTGTTTCAACGGAGATGGAATTATTCAACAGCTTGCAATGGACATCTGGACTCATAGCAAGCGTTTTGGTAGTGACAGCGGCCCGTTTCGCACCCTTGGTAGGAGCTGTAGGGGTATATTTTCCCTCAGCCCCAGCAGGAGCTTTCCTCATAGCAGTTACCCTTTCGTGGCAGCAACAGTCTTCGTCATGACGGAAAGAGCGTAAGGCGATTCGTGCCAGAAATATGGGCAAGAAGAAGAAGTAAAAGCAAAATGGTCGAAGTAACGATGCACGTGGTTCTTATACCAAATAAAGTGGCTGAGTAGGTCAAGCTCCAGCCTATCGAGAAACGGGGGCTTGTCTCTTCCTTCACATATTTCGAGAGTCATTAACTATCAAGAGCCCCGAAAAGATGGGGATCACGTAATAAAAAAACAAACGTTGTCTTCGGAGGAGAGCAGGTCCGACTCGGCTGTAGAAATATTGTCTGATTTGGGCGACGCCGGTCTGGACTGCTCCCGCTCGCCGGCTAGCGATGCTAGCCCAGTCTCGTCATTCCTCGAAGTGGTGGAACATGTCTGTTCGTCGTTTTTGTCGTTTCATGTATGAGGAATAATGTATGGGGAGAGTAATGAATAGTATAACCTCAACCGGGGGCCACCCTCAAAATCTCGAATTTGGTAGCTCGGACCGCTCTCTCGATGTTGTGACTTCCATTTGGACTCTGAATGGGGCCCCAAGGGAGAGGGGATGCGTGGATTTGATAATCAACATGTCTCTTGCTCTTTGCAGGTTAATTGAAACAAGTAGAATGGTGAGATGACATGATAGTAGTGGGAGACGATGGGATAAGTCAAGTTTCAAGTGAGCCTCAAAGATTAAAGAAAGAAGTGCAGATGCAGATGTGAAGTGGAGATGGAGATGGGAAGTGAAAGCCTTCCCAGGTGTGAAGGCATCCAGGCATCCAATAGAACCCAAAAGGATATTTTCCCTTTATACTTACCTCTTCTCAGTAGATGAGGTAGATTCCACTGACTTGATAATAGATATTGGGAGGGCGGAGTAGGAATTGTCCACACAGTTAGACTTAGAATCTGAGGACCTGTGGAATTGATCCGGAAAACGACCGCCAGAAATTGCCGCCTTTCCTATAACTTCGGACGGCGTGATGACCGCTCACTAACCTATGAAACTTTCTGCATCTAGCACTACGAGTCATCGTATGCCGATGTTGACGGCTTCAATAGGTTGCTCCCATTTCCACTGGTGATTAAAACGACGAAAATGGCTCCCCTCCAGCCAAGTCAAACTCCCTTCTACTTCGAAGTGCGAGTATGTGACTTCTATCCCGGCGAGAGTGATCAGGAAGACTATACCGGAAGTGAGTATGGTGATTTTGAGATTTTGATCAACTCAACCTTGGAAGCTGTCAAAGATTTTGATTGATAATGGAATAAATATGATTTTCAAATATGAGTTCCCTCTTCGTCATTCATTCAATTCCCTAGCTTTCTATCTCTACCTGTTCATGTTTACTCGAGCTTACATATACTCGAGCGAATCCTGTATCATTAACGCTCCCTATGACTAGATGCCGACTAGATCCCACAGAAGTAATTCCCATGAGGTAGGGATGTAATCAAATTTCTTGATCATCTTACCGGGCGTGATAGGTGAGACTGCATTCCCTTGCTTCTATTCTCAGTGATGTATCTAGGGTGCGCCGCTTTAAGGTATCTGTCCTAGCCTAGCTCTGCCCTGCTGGTACCAACAAAGCGTTGGCAAATGACATGGAAATTCGGTGATGTGATTTTCGAGGTTAAAGACGATGAAAAGTTCCAATTAAACCATATCAGATTTCGATTGCCTATATAGAAGGTCCACGTGTAAGGCTTTCCCCCTGAAGTGGATGTGATTGGTCCATTGTTGCGTCAACTGGCAGATGCATGCAGCCAAGAAATTTCCCGACAATAAAACGGTTATACTGGGTAAATGTGTGCATGAAATGTGAGTTACGAAGGAGTGGCTAGATAGAGGAGAACAATAATATACCTACCAGAACTAAGAGCTCTTACTATCATGGAGTCATCTAATACAGCTTCAAAGAGAAAAAGAAGCAAAGAAATGAGAAAACAAATATCCTATGAAAATAGCAGAGATAGACACCCAAACGAGAGATACAGAGGAATGTGATATATATTCCGGAGATGAAAGTGATATTCATAGTTGTTAAGTAAATATAGTAAAGACCAGTCATCGAAATTCCGCCGGAAATCCGGGGATCCCCGTGCAATTTGGAGTGCATAGGTAGCTGCATAGGCACAACCTATGGCTAAACCGGTAGAGCTCGGTTACTTAGTGCCGATTGAACCGAAGAACTTCGTGACTAATGAAAAACCCCAATTTCCCCACAGTGTCAAAGTGGAGTGTTAAAGGGTTCTCCTATTCTTCTTTGATAATGGCATATATATATCGACATGAGTTCAACGGAGAAGACAGAGGGCGCCCAACTACACTCACCGGGCAATTTGGCGCCCGAAAATGAAAACCAACATGAAGACGAACATACACTCCCGGAAAAACGAGTCAACGGCGGCCTCGATGCTTGGCTAAATGTCCTCGCGGGTTTCTGTGTTTTTGTGAACTCTTGGTTCGTTTACATCATTGCCATATTCTCCTTATATCAAGCTAATCTCTGTTCCAGGGGGCTATTGACAACCTATGGCGCGTTTCAAGAGTATTACCAGACAGTCCTTCTATCAAATGAGACACCATCCACAATCTCATGGGTGGGCAGTATCCAAGGCACTTTAATTCCATTAGTCGGTCTTGCCACGGGGCCATTAGTTGATGTCGGATACTTGCGCCCTCTAATCCTAGCCGGAAGTTTCTTGACTGTATTCGGAATGATGATGACCAGTCTCGCCACTTCATACTATCAGGTAAATCTACAATCAAACATCAGAAGAGTATCATTTTCTGATAAAAACAGGTATTACTCGCTCAAGGATTCTGCGTCGGAATGGGAGGCGGCATTTCCTACATCCCAGCCCTCGTCGTGATCTCAACGAGTTTCACCACAAAACGCCCAATCGCCATCGGCTGCGCTTCAATCGGGTCTAGCGTGGGGGCCGTCATTTTCCCGGTCATGTTCCGCCAACTACAGCCCAAGGTCGGCTTTCCATGGGCTGTGCGTAGCATAGGTTTCATCAGTATGTTCCTTGCGATTATATCATGTATAATCTTGTGTCGGCAACCAGGCCAAAGAAGCCATGCGAGAAGTCTTATTGATTGGAGCGCCTTCCGCGAACCCTCGTTTATGATGTTCTCGCTCTCACTCACGTGTGTCATGCTCGCCTACTACGTGCCAATTTTCTATATCGCTTCATATGCCCGCACGGTTGTGCATACCAGCACTGATATTAGCTTTTATATGGTTGCAATTGTCAACGGCACGTCAGTCATTGGTCGTGTGGTTCCATATCTGCTTGTTGCATATATCAAGCCCATTGGGATCTTGATATTCTCTGTGTTAGCGTCGGCGATTGCGATGTTTACTTGGATTGCGGCTACCGGCACGGCTGGTTTCATGGTCTGGGCATGTTACTGGGGAGCTCTTAGTGGTGTTTTGGTTACGGCGCCGACTTCCATTGTGGCACATCCGATTTTCTGTCCGGATTCGAGCTTTTTGGGAACTCGTTTGGGTATGATGTGGGGGATATCGTCTTTTGGGGCGCTTGCTGGAACTCCGATTGCGGGTGCTTTGGTAAATCTTGATACCGCGGAGTTTTTGCGCGCTCAGGTCTTTGCGGGGTGTATGATGGTTGGTGCTGTCTTGTTGCAGGTTTGGCCAACTTTCAGGGTGGTTCGGTATGATCTGGAGCATCCTCGTAAGAAATGAGACTAGAAACTGGAGGGCAAGAATGGCTTTCTGCATCAGCACAAGTCAAGTATATATGCTTCAAGTCCAAATGTAATAGATCTAGTCACATGTACATAGCAACGTCGTTTTTCAAAGTTCCACATTTTACATCACCTAGGCTAAAAGGATCATAGTATCGAATTACATCGTCAAAGACAAACACCGCCGCATAAGCGGGTGTCTATTATTCCACTCATCAATCAATGCCCCAAGAGAAGAGCTTCAATATGCTGGTGCTGCCTTTGCTGGGCCCAAGAAAGCGCCGTTCAACCTATCACGTCCTCCAAATCAACATCTACCCCACTTCCATCAGCGTTCCAACAACGGCGATATGGTTCCTCCCGGCAGCTTCAATCAAGCATGTTCTTCTCTTAGAATTCTGCATGTCCTTGAACCATGCAGCAGTCTCATTTTCAAACAGAAGTTGTACGGCACGATCGTGCCCGTACATTCCCGCTCAGATCAGGGGAGTACGCCCAAATGTGTCAGTCGCATCTGGAACGATGTCATCATGTCTCAACAGCAGCGGGATAATCGTTTCACTTCCTTCCTGCGCGGCCCAAGACATGGTGCTGGGACGGTCACAATTGAAATCATTGACATTGATATCCTTTCGTGCGAGCGACTCGACAATAGTCCAGAGGTTCAATCTTTTCAATACCCGCAGTGAAATTATAGCGTTAAGTCATTCCAGGAGGTGATATTATCAGGAAAAATTGTGTATCGGTCAAACGGTTAATTATAACTTACTATATACAAGCCCTTTGTCCGAGCTGGGACGGCTGGGGCTGTGGTCAAATCCGCTATGTTTGTGAACTTCATGGCGTTGAGCAGTGCGTAGTCAATGTCAATATTTTCCCTGCCGTAGAATACTTCAGGCACAGTGGGAACTCTGCTCAATGATTTGTTGGAGTCACTAGGGGAGAGTTGTATCGAAAACCTCGGCACAACAATGATAAAAAGAACTGCTGGTAGACCAAACAGTTGGCTATTTGTATGTGGGCAGATGACTACACAGCCCAATATTAGATTATAAACACCCCCTACATCAAGTTCCATCAAAAACAGGGTATTGAGCCTACGTGATATTGATACATGTGATTATGTACCTTTATGACGGGCCAATCACAAAGGCAATGTATACTCATTATGACTTCATCCGGGGTCGTGGCAAGGATTAGGTCAAGGCGAAAGAACATATATAGATCCAAGTGAACGAGTAATTCAACTTAGCTCAAATTCCCACTACCTGTACAAATTCAACTACAATTATACCCACCTTCGAACGAAGTTTTCCCCACACATAAATTGTGAGTATACGCGCTTATTTATATAATGCCGCAACCTACACCCCTCTCATAAATTTATCGCCTCGGAGGGTTTTAGCTACCGATATGGATAGCTTGCTAATAACCTCACATAGAGTTCAAACTAGCCCGATATCAAAATGGGCAGTGATAGCAGTGCTCAACCCACACCCGCTAACGATGTTGGCGGCGGATCAGGATGGGGCGACAGACTCTGGCTAGGTGGCAAAAATGAGGGACCGGGTCACGCAGAGGTACGTGATTTACTATTGCCAGGGTAGCTTGATAGTGTATGCTAACCAGTTCTAATTCTCATATGGCAGGCCACCAATCCCAGATCAACAATGGGCGACTTCCTCGCGTTGCATGAACAGAAGACCCGCGGGGAAAATAAGTTCCTTCAGCGTGAGAACTTGGTCGATACCAATGTTAAGCCTATGAATGCCGAAGGAGAGCCGACTTGCGCCATTGAAGATCATTCTTTTATGAACCATAAGGCTGGTGATCCGGATACTTATCCTGGATGGGGTACATTTAAGAAATTTTTCGGCAGGTGAGTTCCCTATTTGTCTTTTGAAAGACGTATAGGATGATTTGTTCTGACCAAATTCAATTTAATGTAGAGGATAGAACGGGATACCCCTCGGGGTGAGATGAACTTATGGATTTGCTATACTGTGAGCTTTGAATTTCTATGTTAGTTGAAAATTGAACATCAACCTGTCGAACGCGTTCCAAAAATGTAAAAGTTTAAACTCTAATATAGTACATAAACAAAATCCTGTGATTTTATAACAACCACTGTTATTAGCCCCGAGAGATTGAAACCTAGAGAGATGATTTGACCTGAAGTTTTTCAAGTTCACCCAACGCGCATCCAACCGCATCAACTGCCATTCCATACCCAGCCTGGAATCCCGTTCCTCCAGCGCCGTAGTTGTGAACAACGAGGCCCTCTCGCTCCGAATCATCGACCTTCACGACTTCACTGGCAACTCGAGCACCTCCCTCTCGTGATGGGCGCAAGCCTGCAAATGCCGCGAGGATCTCTGTTTCGGGTGATTCAAGCTCAGGTAGCATTGCCTTCGTCCGGGATAAGATAGACTCGGTTTCCTCTCCAAGTGTATCAGGCAAGCTATAACATTTAGTTCTCGAAGCAATAACAGAAAATGTTTGGATCCATTTGACTCACCCAACTCCCTTCTGCATATATCCACCTAGAATGACATTACCATTCGAGTGTGGTCGTGGAATAATGTATGTCTCATAATCCTTCCCGTGTCGCATCACATTTTGGTTGACGTGTGCTGCCTTGGCCAGTAGAATTTGACCTCTGGTGGGGTAGCACTTAGGGTCCTCGACACCCTTCAGGGTACGAGCAGCGTTACCGGTGCAGTTGAAGACAATCTTTGTGTCCTTGCTGAGGAAACCAGAGGTAACACCAGAGACCTTTTTACGGATGACACGCACTCCGTACTCTCTAAGTCTTTGGACAAGATAGCGAATATGCATCGGGGCATTCAGGGTTACTGTGGTGAATTTGACACCACTTGCAACGCCTTCTGGTAGGTCCTTCTGAGGAATCTCTTTGTACTGTAGTTTTCCATATTAGCAACAGCAACTTCAATCGGAGGACTGATTCCTGGTAATCGACTCACATCCTTCAGATAGCTAGCCATGGAATCGAGCTTCGTGCGTGACGGCATTTCATCCCAGTACTCCGTAGAAGGTGTTTCCCGAACAAATGCCTTCATGCCATCTTGTGCGGCAAGTTTGAGGAGGTGTTTGTACCCAAGTTGATCCCATCGCAAGGCATTCTTATCGCTTGCAGAAAGAGCAGAGAAGTTTGCGCCAGCCCTAGATCGCATTAGTATGAAAACATAAGATATCTACAAATATTATCGAGGTCGAGCAGACTTACCATGGCGAAGTATAGTTTATGGATGTATCACCCGGGAGGTGCTCAGCTATGATGGTTGTTTGACTGGCATAGCCTTGCTCGGCAAGGACCAGGGCAACATTCAGTCCAATGATGCCAGCACTTGAAAGAAAAATGTTAGTTCTAATCTATTAGGCTGGAGTTAGGTTTCTTATCGAGCACACACCCAATAATTACCACAGATTCGCTCTTCATTGTTAGATTGTTCAAAAACTCTAAAATTGCTAGGGAGTCAATTCGTCTTTGAGGGCGCCTTTAAACAGAAAGCAAGAACTTCTCAACTTCTATACCTTCACTTTGACTCATTTAATTTGATATTCTTATCTTGTGTCTAACTTTCAATTTAGATGGGACGAGTAAACGAACGCCTATCTCGGAGACGCAGATTGGGGCCACTCCGATTGGCGGCATTAAACTGTGGGGCTGGCGGTGTAGCTGGTGATTGGTGCCCGTGATTCTAGCGTGGAAACGTTTGTATATCTCAGTTGATAAAGGCCAAGGTTAACAGCATACTGGGGAAAGTGGATACCAATCAAAGAGTACATATCTTGCTTCGGACTTGCCACACTTGTGGTGTCCCATTTGGGACAATGGTTGGAGATGTTGAATATTTTGAAATTGAAAGTGAAAAAACATATTGGTATTATCGAAAATGCTAGGATACCACATATGGCATATACCACTTTGGTACAAACAAGTTGAGGCTGCTACAAAAACGCAGACGTAAAAGTACATAGTGGGTGCCAATGCATAGAGATCTGTGGAAGCGAAAGCTGGAGGAGCTATCGATTCGTGCAAAACATCTACTTGAACGTATTATAGAAGAACGATAGGTGTAAGAAAAATATGCGAAAATATTTTGATTATATACGCTACTTAATTAAACCGACTTCTATGCTTCACTATGTTTGCCATAATCAGCAACTTGTGTAACATGTTGGCCATTTCCCTCGACTGGGACTCCATCGAGTCCCGGGATAATCGGCTCATCCAAGTCACTCTTTCTGAAGCAAAGGAAAAAGATACACCCCGCCACGAATCCCACAATTGCGAGAGATCCATACATCCAAACAAGCTTTGGATCTTCCGAAACTGGGCTTAGACCAATGCAGATAGCCGCCGCAATGCCGATCATAAGCCAGAAGAGTGCGGAGATAAAAGATCGCAGGCTAGAATAAGTTGTGATTAGTTTGAGTTGGACGGTATCATGGGGTGCGGTTGACTCACTTTTTCGGGGCATGTGTGAAGGCAAGTTCCAAGCCAGTAACAATAACAAAGGCTTCGGAGAATGCGACGAAAATATATGCAGGAGCTTGAATCCACACGTGGATGCTCTTTTCTGGGGATATGTAGATGTAATGCTGTAGCACGCTGGCGTAGACCATGGAGATCGAGACAAGAAGGAAACCGGCGAAGATTCGACGGACGGGGCTGAAGTTGATCTTAAACTTGCGAAGGACTGGATAAACGCCCACTAGAGATAGATTGTTAGCGGATGTTTTTTGGTATCGTCACGTCAATACTCACAGTCAAGAAGTGGAATAAAGATACACAAAGCGATCGGGTCAAGGTTTTGCAGGAGATCGTTCGGGGTTCCGTGCAACGCCATTTGTCCAGCTTGTGAGATAAGGTTGTTCCAAATCTGGACCCAGCAAACAAAGTAGAAGGGGAAGAAGATAAACATCTATAGTATGTGTAAGTATAACTCGGTGCGGGGGTATTGAATATCGACTTACTCTGCAGCTCTTAAAGCCACGGCGGACGTCCGAGACGTACTGATCCGTGTAGCGCGGAGAAGACGCAAAGGGATACTTATTTAAACGGCCTGAAGCCTGTAGAGCTGATGGCTTTGCGTCTTCGAAATTCTTCTCCTGGCGAGCAATGTTCATGACCTTGCATGCATCAATAATAGCAGATCCCTGAGGAGGAATCTTAACATATCGCTTCTGTCCAGACAAGAAGACAATACCCGAGAGAACAATTGCGCTGGAATACATTAGCGAGTGTAGCATATAAGTGTCTCATCCCAACTTACATCAATGGGATCAAATATGCAAGCCAGAAAGAGTGCTTTGCCTCAACATTGACTGTAATCAAGGGGGAGAGGGCGCCAACATTGACGACCCAGTAGAACCACATGAAAAGTCGCTGCACAGTCAATTCAGGGTCAATAACCACACGCTCGCCTGATTTAAGAGTCTTCAAAACAGGCTCTGCATTTTGGTATTGCTCGGCGCACATGGGAGTCACGTTGGCCTTAATTCCACCTGTTCCCAGACCAATGATGACCATTGCAGCAACCAACCCGCCAAAACCAGCGTCGCTCTTGAGGCCAGCTGGCGTCGCAGTGGCAACCAGGACGGTCAACCCGACGATATAAATTCCCAGGGAGATTGTGATGGCTTTGAATTTGCCGACATATTGATCTGGTGGACTGTTAGCAATAATTCTGCTAGATCCAAAGGCAATGGGTATCTTACCAGCAACGATCGCGCCGATAATTGTGGAGGCATAAGCCCAAAATTTAAAAAAGTTTCCAAGAGCGGATGCGGTTGATTGTCCTCTGCCTAGTGCGCCAGGGAGACCGGAGCTAGGATCATAGGGGTTACTATATGAAGAGAAAGAGATTAGTTATCATTCTAGAAATATCCACGGATGTCTGAAAGGCCCAACGTACTTGATATAATTTTGCATAGGACCACTAAGGCCAAAATAAGTGAACCGTTCGCCAAGCTAATATCTCAGTGTTAGCGGGCTTCACCACGTGGGAGGTGGGGTAACATACCTCGACGACAAGGATTAATAGTGCGACACGTGGGAACTTGTCAGGAATACGCCGGAGTCCAGCATGGAGACCAGTAGGAGACTGGTCAACTTTGCCCAGTTCCTCTTCTGAGTTTCTTCGGTTATCAACTGAGACAGAGTCCATCCCGGTGGATATAATAATGTGTAAAGTGATGTGTGAGAATAGGAATTCTTCTCTACATGTCAGATCAGAGGAAGGGCGTTTTAATTTAACCATCTCAGTCAGAGGAAGGTTCGACATCGGGAACGAATCCGGGGTGCAGGGCCCACCCGAGACCCGCAGATAGGAAGACCCCCACTCCGATGCCTATCGCTGAGATCGGCGCCGATAATCTGGCCGATGCCGCCAACCGGAGTCCAGCATTATATCCGAAGCGTATCGAAGGGTAAGTGACTAAATTAGTTAACACTGCGGCTTTTTGTTTTGATTAATTTTAGGCGTTCGCTTAAGATTGACCATTTAGCATCCTTTCGTCTTTACAATTCCTCTTTATCGCAAACCTAATCGCTCCTTTGACACATAACAATGGCCAGTACACAAACACCAGTGGAAGAGAAGGGACGCTTGTCTATCCCAGACAAGCTCTTGGGGGGATTGGATCTCGAGTGGGTAGAGCTATGGGAAAATCATGGCAGCTCCATGGTGAGAGCCGACGAGCTATCTCTTGAAGAATATCGCAAAAGTCCTGCTACATACAGCTTCACCTACCCAACATGCCCTGGTAAGTCAAATCTATGAGCTTCGGTCATTGAATTGGGGTCTCAAACAAGTACTGACTATGATCAAGGTCCGTCTGTTTTCCATGTTGAGGATATCGAGATCCCGGTCACTCAACCGGCTGGAAAAATCATGATCAGGGTCTATACACCAGAAGGACCAGGGCCATTCCCTGTTCATCTGAACTTCCACGGAGGTACTTATATTACGGCACCGCACTTATGCTCTCAAGCGTGGAATTTCTGACTCTAATTCATCAATTCTAGGTGGCTGGGTCCTTGGCAATCTCAACTCTGAAGCTGCTTGGTGCAGGCACATGTGCAACAAAGCCCAAATTAAAGTTATCGATGTCGACTACAGACTGGCTCCGGAGTTTCCGTACCCTACCAGCATCTACGATTCATGGGATGCTGTGAAATGGGTAAGTACATTTCTCAATGTCATTTGAGGTTTGCTTCATTAACACAGAATGTTTGAACAGACAATCGCCAATGCCTCTAGCATCAACGTTGATCCATCAAGTGTTTCTATCGGAGGCCTCTCGGCTGGAGGTCAAATGACCGCAGTAATGGCACACTTCGCCCGCGACGAGGGCATTGATCTCAAACTTCAGTTGATCATCGTTCCGGCGACAGACATGCGCTACTGTCTAAGGACCCGAGAGCTTAACGAAACCACTTGTCCCTACGAAAGTGTCTTACTATACCACGATGCCCCTTGGGGACCACTAGGAAGAGAGCAATGGTTCCTGAAGTATTGGCTCGGCGATGATGACGGTAAGCTTTTCTTTCTCTATTCCCCCTTGCAACTCAGTTGCATGTGCTAAGGTTTTTCTAGCTACCCAAGAAAGAATCTTGACCAAAGAATGGATCTGCACACCTGTACTTGCTCCTTCATTCAAAAACCTTGCAAAGGCACATATCATCACAGCAGAGTTTGATCTTGAGCGAGATGAAGGAGAGTATTATGGTAAGCTTATGCAAGAGGCCGGGAATGATGTCACAATGAAGAGATACCCAGGCGTGCCACATGCATTTGGGCACTTCAATCACCCTGAAAGGGGACTCTCGCAGAGCTTTGTGTATATCGAAGATACCAGTCGACTACTTCGACAGGTCCACTTTGGCAAGAGTGAAGAGTAATGCGAACACTATGTATCCAAAAAAATAAGAAACAGAAATGCTATTTCGCTCAAGCTTCAATTTCACTTTAGCTGGATTATGTCTCAATATATTGTTCAGTAAGTATATCTAATCTTTTTCTATTTGCCTTGCTTTTGCCTATATCCTAGCTATATCCACATTTCCTAGAAAGTCCCAATGTCGTTCGTCCTTACATCCTAGGCTCCATACACCTGGTCTTGAATTCCATAAAATCACGAGGAATGCTATGACAAATCTTTTTTCCCGAGGTCGGCCCGGGATATGCGGGGACAAAGTTATCGGGACGATAACCCTAAATTTTTAATTCGCGTTAGTCACAACCACGCCTGCCCAGGCATGAGCTTGGAATTTATTTGGTTATTATGGGTTGGTCATGACGCCCAAGGTTTTGGTCGTGGGATTACAAGATTTTCTCAAATTACTAGTGGGAAACTACTTCTAGTCGCTATCATTACCTGCAAATTTTACTTGGCTTTTGATAGTGTGGATGTACCGCAGGCGTCTTCTCAAATTGATACTCGAATTGGTCATGCTCATCGATCTGGGCAGAAGGTGGCGCGCAGCAAGAAATCTCGGAAGGAGAAGAACAGTTCGTATATTCCTTATGTAGAGATGTAGGGCGACTAAATGGCAGTAGTCTTAGAACAAGAGCATTAGGTTTCGGCAGTAGGCGTGCTGGTGATTACAGCAGTCTTGGAACAATTTCTCGTAAAATCACAGTTCATACAGGATCCCTTTCGAACTAGTATCACTTTCTCGTTATTAACGTGAAGCACTACAATCCGGCACGAAAAAAATCCCCTTGTATCACTGGCACGGTCTATGCAACCTTCCCCCTTAGGATCCACGACTTCGATAGTTTGTCCGGTAGCGGGCTCCTAGCGCTTGCCGCTTCGCGTGTTATATACCTGTCGCACACCGTCATGCTTTTTCCAGTCCACCGCTCATCCGTGTACCACGATCCTCTCCACCATGCCATTTCCGTTGCTATTCCAGTGCATTTCACGTGTTTGAGGGTCACCTGGCCATCTCCGTCGAGTCCGTCAGGCAAGTGTGGTATCGTCCTTTTTTAGAGGCATTGTAGGGCTCTTTGATGGTGAAATTGGTATATAAAGGGCTGTAAGTTAGTTTAAAATATCCAGGAAGTAAGCGTTGTTTCAATGTCAGAAAGTTGAAGGAAAGTGATAGCGAGAATAATCAGTAATACGAACTAGCCACGAAGGAAAGATATATCGAAAGATTTTGGTAAGAGGAAGAAGTGAAAGAATAATCATTGTTATTCAATGTAGGATAAAGCAGGGCATTTATACCCTGATGTTTGGCAAACAATCCGCTCCTGCAAGCAAATAATAGGAGATAGGGTCATGCAACAATAATAAATTATGATAATCTAGGGCACGTCCATGTTGAAGAGCGCCCAGCAACCTTCGGGTTTGCACGTGGGCCCGGGGAACAAACCGTATTAGATAAGCCTTGAAGAGTGGATACAGTCACGTGGGATGTGGGACCGGCATCGGGCATGGACTGTATCCTCGTGGATCTCTTGAAGGGTTTAGCCACTAATACATGTACTCATGAGAATTTCCTCAATGAAAGGATGTCAGGTCGAGCTCGTAGGTACATGAGTAAGCGAGACCGCGCTTGTGATGCCTGTCGGGCCAGAAAGGCAGCTTGTCGCATTGATCGAGCACCTCCCTGTTATCTTTGCACACTTCATGGGAAAGAATGCACATTCCTACAGCCGACCTCGAGGCCACGCCAGACCTTTCCCGAGGTAGTCAGCTCACAGATTCCTCAACACACTGAGATAAACTCACGTTCAGAGCTGCATGAAATTTCACCAGTAGGTGACTCAGGTCACTACGATATCTCAATGTCGATTGATGGCGATGGGGTGAGTCATTCAGTCACCACTGCACCTGATGGGTTCCATGATTTCTTCGATGGATCCGGAGTATCATTAACGGGTGGCTTTGGAGATGGCACATGGCCAACTGGATTTAGTCCAGGGAGCTTCATCTATCCATCCCCTGGGCTGCCAGGGACTGGTCGTTCGGAGGATGGAGGTTCATCGCAGGCCACATGTCTGCCGTTTTCTATGCAGGAGACTGACTCGTCAATTTGCCTTGATACTCAAGATGTAATGACACCACAATTACTCGGCAGTAGTGGCGATATGGACCCTTTGCTGATGAGCCGTTATCAATATGACACATCTGGGGCTTTTCATTTCAAAAATCTCAATATCCAATCTGTATCCTCGGGAACCGACCCAGCGCAGTTTTTACTGTCGAAACCATCAATATTTGCTGCCAGCAGGGAAGAAAATGGATGCGATAACGTGTCTACGTTTGAATTGAGACAGGAACTCGAATCTTTGGTCCCAGGAGATATCGGTCTCAGACTAATCAACCTGTTTGAGCGGATTGTCGCACCGGATTACCCAATACTTGGTCCACCAGGCCAATTGAATCCCAGCACCAGCCCGCCATACCTTCTTGCGAGCGTGTACTTAATAGTCGAACCATTCACTAAATTCGACGAAAGACTATGCATTGATCTCGCATATGATAAGCCATCAGGTGTGGCGCTATACGCGATTATCAACAAAGCACTTCCATATGAGATACATGCACCGAAACTTTGTGTTGTACAGACAATGCTTCTTTTGGCCATTCGACCATATCCAAATCCAATTGTATTGGATAGTGGCTTCAAATGGTCCCAACTCGCAAATCTTATTGGTTGCGCTCACACCCTTGGACTACACTTGGATCCAAAGTCATGGCGATTACCTCCATGGCAAATCGCCCAGAGACGTTGTCTGTCGTATTTCATTTATTCGACAGACAAGTGGCTTGCATTGAGCCTTGGTCGGCCACCTCTATTGCATTATGATAATTGGCTCGTGATAAGCCCTAGCCTAGACGATCGTCCGGTCGGTGGACTTGACCCTGTAGCCTGGACGAACATCATGAAGCGAGCGAAACTCGACTCTCTGCTTGATCGTGTTCTAACGCAATTATAGTAAGTCAATCCTCATTTCCATTCTTGCTGTTATCCGCAACTCACCAACGTTAGCTCTCCTCGTGCCATTAATACCATTGGTACCGACTGCGAGAAGACTATCGCATTGACTGGGCCACTACTTGAAGAACTCTTCTCATGGCACAGACCAGTATCTGCATCATCGACCGACTTCAGATCATCAAATCAAGGCAGACCAATCGGACTAGAAAGAACACTCGAGATGAACTACCATTATATTCATCTTAGTATCTGCAGGGCTATTCTTCGACCATTCCTGCAGCCAACTGTCGAAAACTCGAATGAAGCCGACTACATAATGGCGCGTGAACAAGCCCGGATCCGAGCAGAAACCTGCATTTCGGCAGCAGCAGAGTTTATCCACGAGCTACGCCCAGAAGACCTTGAGGCTCTATGGCCGGCCTGGAGTGCAACTGCATTTTCGTCTATCTGTTTCCAAATCCTGCACATGGCTGCCAGCTCCGTTGATAGGAGCGAGGCAGATAAATGGGTTACTTGTCTGCACAAAGTGCGCCGTGATATGCGCCTGAAGGCTGATGTTCTGCCTTGTCTCCATCTTGGCCTTCTGCGGATTGACTCTATATTTTGGAAGGGGATTTATAATGTGTTGCATTTGGAAGAACATGTTCGACAAGCATTTGCGTCGGGTTCAAGCATTGGTCGACCTCTTGGTATAGCTGGTCTAGCTAAGTGATCATGCATTGCATTGATATGTACTATTAGATTCCGAGTACGAGATTAGAGGCAGCCTTTGTATGAATAACCTCCTCGGTGCATCGATTGTAAGGAAGTTTGTGACATTGGTCTTTGGCCTCGATATCGCAGGTCCTCACGTTCTATATGAAGGAGGGCAATAGAGAAGTGAAGTTAGGGGTTTTACAAGTCTCTTATGGGGCCACGAAACTGCTAAATATTGTAATTGTAATTAATATATTCAGATATGAACTAGTCCACTTTGGTACCCTTTCCACGGAGTCGATCACGAACAGCCACCAATTTCCCCAGTATCCGGCCTTTCAAAGTCTGGGCGCCAAGAGCGGCAGCCTCATCCAAAGAGACAACTCGTCGAACCAGGATGTTGAAGATAGTTCCGAAAGCAAGTGCAATCACGGTACTAGTGAGAATGATCACATTGTAGGGCATGCTGAAATCCGGGGTTGGCAATTGAAGCAGCAGACTCGTAGAACGGATGTAGATTGGCGCATTGTGTGCCGGATCCAGGATCCGAATTACTGCAGGTGCAACGTTGAACCCTCGATTGGCATCCGGTGGGTACTCGGTGTACCGAAGAATGGCTTTCTCGAAGTCGTAAGTCAACGTGACAGTTGATGCAGCGGGGACAGACAGCGCCAGTTCTAATTGTGTTCCGCGCTCGCGATCAATGGCGGGCCGGTAGTACGTCTCTTTGACGATTTCAGAGGCTGGGACCTCGCGCAGGACTCCGTCGTGCCCTGTGATCGTTGCGCGCAAGGTATGTATATATGGCCGCAAGAACCACGGAAGAGACTCGAAGTAGATGAAATCAACTGCGCTGGTGTTCGATGGATTGCCAAAGATAATGCGCATTCCACCGCGCTCTTGGCCATGCCCAACAATAGTTCGCTCCGCGTGCAAAACAGGCTCCTCCAGCGGAACTTCCGTGTTCACTGGCTGCTGCGGAATGGAAAGATCAAAGGAAACTGATGGCACCAATTTGAAGCAGCGCGTAAAGCCATCATCTTTCTTGATTTCATCAGCTCCCTCGGATATGAAGACACCCCGTTCGTGGGGCACCCGAAGGCAGACACTTTGGTCGCTAGATCCATCGAAATCTGCAAGAGGGCAAACACCATTGATGCTTCGCCCAAACACCTCTGTAAGACTCCACGACTTGTCGTTTGTCTTTTCCAGCGGGTAGCAAGTATCATCTGAGTTGTAAGGCTTGGAAGTATCACAAACCAACTGCTCATTAGGCACAGGTCGAGGAATTGGGTTCGCTAGATCTATGTTAGCATTCTTGGGCCAGAGTATACCGGCGTAAAATACGTACAACGAGAGCGCTTGGACCGGTCAATATCCAAGACCATGTCCACGGTTTGCTCGATCTGAACCACACATTCTCCGTCTGCAGAACAGACCGGCTGGATATCCACTGACATACTCTGCCATGCGGCATCGAACAATTTGTGTCCATCAAAGAGCGAGGAGATTCCAGCCTTGCCTTTGCAAGGAAGTAGCTTCAAGAAAGGGGTCAAATTCTCTGTGCAAACTACCTCTCCGGGAAGCGTTCCATGCAAAAGGTGCAGTTGATCGGCAGCTGAGTGATCCCCAGCTGGTTCAAAAGAAACCACAGGTCTAGTGGTCCGGGTCGAGTCCACGAAGTTCAGCGAGGCGCAAAACAAGCCAGAGAGGGACTGCGTCAGGGTGATCCATTTGGCAAAAGCCCTAAGTAAGTCAGTACTGTGTGCTTTTCGCGAGATATTTCGAATGAGAAACATACTCTTCGTCACCCGGCGCATCAATCCACGCCCAAAGCTCGACGCCAGTGCCTCCTTCTTTACTGCCGTTCCATGGTCGTGGACCCCAGCTTTCAGCGTCCCATCTTCCTGTGGTGAAGCGGAGGTGTAATTCTTTTGTATGAGCGTGTTGGAGGATTTGACCAAGAGCGCGAGGCAAATATCTAAAATGCTGTTGGTCGAATGATTGTTGTGATGTATTGCTTCGGAAGTTAAAAGAAGCTAGTAAGGAGGACTGCGGGAGTGGCTGTAGGAGGAGATGCTCATGATAGTCCGACGATGCAAAGGCAGAGGAGCTCCATAATGTAAGAATAAGTGCGACGAAAGGAAGTGAGAATAGTGAAAGGACCGTCATGACTTCATGCTTGCCGGAGCTCGGTCTTCGTCCATGCGGGTATCACTGGTCAATTGGCAGGGGGTTTTGGCGGAGTGATGGGCATAAGTTGGCTGTATCCCCAGAAAATCAGACCTAAGTGATCACCAAATCAATAGAAAAGCTCCGCATCGAAAGAATGATCGAAGCCAAACTCCAAAAGCCCCGGGATGTCCATCTGGTCTGTTGACTGCGGAGCCTCACCGCCTTCCTTGGCGCCAAAAGCATCAAAAGCGAAAGACTTCGTCGTTTGCCGCGAATCAGCCCGTTGACACAATTTCGTCTTTCCTTTCCTTTACAGTCTAGTGTATCACTATCAACATGGCAGCAGAACAGAGAAAGCTGCTTGAGCAGCTCATGGGAGGTATGTTGTGCTTTTTGCACTTCTCGAAATCTCCGAGCTCCAGCACACCCCGACAAGTCTCCAACTAGAGCTAACATTGCTTCTGTTTATAGCTGATCAGCTCATTGGAACTGGCGCACAGGGTCGCAATTCCCAACTCGCAATCACAGACAACAAAGTTTGCCGATCCTACATTGTTGGCACTTGCCCGCACGACCTGTTCACCAACACCAAGCAAGACCTCGGACCTTGCCCGAAGGTCCATAACGAAGGCTTGAAGACGGAATACGAGACTGCACCTGCCTCTGAGAAAGCGAAATGGGGGTTCGAATTTGATTACATGCGCGACATGCAGAAGTACATTGACGACTGTGACCGCCGAATCGACACTGCGCAGCGCCGATTGGAAAAGACGCCGGATGAGATTCGCCAGACAAATGACCTGGTATGTCTAGCTTTACTTCTATCTTCGATCCCCCAACGAGAGGAACTCCGAAGGGCTTTGCTAACATCTGACGTAGCTCAAACAAATCGCCGATCTTTCCAACACAATCAACTCCGGTCTCCAAGAAGTCTCGATTCTCGGCGAGACAGGCTCTGTCGCACTAGCCCTCAGTGAAATGCACAAAGTTCGCACCTCCAAGTACCAGAAGGAAAGTCTTGAGCGCGATCTCAAGAACCTTCAAGATACCTCTGGTCCATCCGGCCACCAGAAGTTGCAAGTCTGTGACGTTTGCGGTGCTTACTTGTCTCGTCTTGACAACGACCGCCGGTTGGCGGATCACTTCTTCGGAAAGATGCACATGGGATACTCAGACATGCGCAAGAACTGCAAGAAGCTGAGCATCGAGCTGAAGGGCCGGGCTCCCCCAGTTCGTCACCACGAAGAAGATGATAACCCTTACACCTCTGGTGGTCGTCCCGGTGCTGGTCGGGGTCGGTATGGCGGTGGTGGTGGTGGCGGCGGCGGCGGTGGATATCGTCGCCGTGGAGGTGGCAGATGGTGATTTTCGTTGTCTTCCCTTCATTCTTGAAGACTTGGGCTCTGGGCCCGTTGCATAGCGCAGGCGTTTTTACTTATTATCTCGTGTATGATGCTCAGACGACGGTTATCATAGGATAAGTGCTCAATATCCATTTCATTTTTCGTGCTTTTCCTTCTTGTCGGTATATATCCCACAGCCCCATAAGTATCAGAATCGTGTATAGTATACATGGTCTTTCCTCTCCTACGATGGAATATCTCGATGTTGTTCTACTAATCTCATAATAGAAAAAGAATACAGAACTAGTGATGAAATGGAATTCAGTGACTACACCACAACGCAAATCGAGGTTAAACCGGCCGGCTACCTAAAATGATTACCTTCGAAGCTAGAATTAGGGCCAACACGGTGGAAACCAGAGTAGCCAGGGTTGCAAAAGGATTAGCTTATATTTATGAAAATATGAGAGTATTGATTATGGCCTTTTTTCTAGAACAAGAAGAGTTAACCAATAGATCCATCCGTGGATGGCCTATAACATCCCAATTAGTCCGCGGTGAGGTTCCTATGGTTCGACGAGGCGATACTTTTAGATAGCAGGCGTGATTTCGGTCATGTTTCGTCCAACATATATGCAGATTCATTCGTCCTTTTGCAATATATCTTGCCATACCATACAGCAGCCTGTTGCCCGAAAACGCTCTTAAGATGAGGGACAATCAAACGTTCCCCAATGATCCACAGCAGGAGGAAATCGGCTTGGAGAAGTCAGGAGATATATGTGCTCTTCAAAGACACCGATGGGACGTATGGCTCAAGCAAGACATCAAGGACTGGAAGCTTGACTTTATAAGGGTACTTTTCATAACCGAAACTCGGCTGCGCGAGAATACTCAACGAGAGATGATGTTAAGGGAGAAACTGCAAAGGCTAGAGGAAAGTCCTACCCACTATAAAGCGGCCGAGATCCAGGATCTACGGGACAAGATTCAAATTTCCTCGGAGCAATACTGGTGGAAGGAACGATTTTGGTGGGTGGTTAGGGTTTCATTCCTAGATAGCCCGTTCACGAGAGGCATCGACTTTTGGCGTTCAGAGCCGAAATGGTATATGCATCGTGTGCTTGTTGAAGACTGTGCTCCAATGGGAGGATGTTGCGGAAGAAATTGTGGATGTTGTTCAAGCCGCGAGAATATACTCGGACGAAAGCTTGCAGCTGGTCATTGCACTGTTGAATGTTCTTGTTGTGAGAAAGCTCGGGGATTTGAACTCAGCCCTAAGCTTAGGTCGAGACTAAGAGAGTGGCCCGACCCTAAGAAGAATTATGTACACTATCGTCGCATTAGGAACATCTCTTTGCTAGGGGTGACGGGTGGAAGTTGCAAGAACCCACTGGACGAGATTTAGAGCTAGACAATGTGTGAAAAGAAATCCGGATCATCCGTCCGAATGAATGGGATGACTACATAGGTATCTACATTTCGGATACGGTGTGGAATATTACTTCTACGAATGTAACCTTGACTTTAGTAGATGGTTTCAATTTGGCAACAAACTCATACACATGGGAATCCAGGGCCAAGCCATATGAGAGAATGGCACAGGGACCCCAGTAGAAGCGGTTTCATTTGAGTAGAGAACCAGGAGACATAAAATTTGAAAACATTTGACGGTGGGTATTCCACTTTCCTAAAACAAACCCTTTTCCCATCCCTGGAAACTTCAGTCCCGAACACCAGACTAGCACTGCGCAGCCTTGTAAAGGAAATACAAATGGGATAAACTGTACAGGAAAAAAAATGGCTATCATGGGCATGGCTTTATTACACACCCTGCTGAGGCACGTGGCCATTTGCTTGGGTCTCGAATAGAGCCTGCATCAAAGTATCGTAATGAGCAGCGGCAGCAGGTTGGCGGGCCAGAATCTCGCGGACGACACTCAGTTGCGCCATGTCCACGTTAGGTGCAGTCTTCAGAAGTTGCTGAATGGCGGGGGCATCGACTTGTGGGCCGAGGACTTGCACCGCCGCAGGGAGACCAGTCAGAGCAGGCTGTTGAGGGGTGACCTGGCCTTGCTGTACAGGGACCGGTTGGCCGTATTGTGCGGGACTCGGGTTGAATCCTCCGAAGTGGGAGGGAGGAGTGGGCGCAACTCCAGCGCTGAACTGAGGCTGTTGGGGAGTTGCTGCGACTGTGGGGCTCGCAGAGACAGGTGGCTCCTGACTGGCCTGGTGGGATGGCGGCTGGACAGATGAAGGGTTGGATTCGCCAGTCTTGACGACGAAAATGGTCAGAAGCATACGTTGAGTAATGGGTCCCTCCAGCGAGATGTTTTCAAGCAGTTCAATGAACTCGGGCATCGTCGTGGTGCCAATCTCCATTGGCACAATGTAGGTGTCTTTGACTGTGGACAGCGGGTGCTTTCCAATGACGCCATAGCGCCCACGACTATGGAAGTAGTCAAACATTTTGTCGAAGCCTGCTCGATCCTCAAGCTGATCAGGACTGTTGATTGCGATCACAGACACATCGGTGGACTTGCTGAACTGAAGGCCGCACAGATAATCAGTTGCCCGTCTGATATCGATACGGCCATCAATAACCAGTGTGGAGGGCGCAAGTTGGCTCCATGGGATTCGGCCACTTAAGTCCGCACCTCCCACGTGTTTCGCGGACGAGGAGAACTCTCCAATTGGAGGCATGGTTACCTTGCCGCGCCAGATGGTGCCGTCGTCATCGAAGTCTTTGGGCGAATAAGGAGGTGAGTAGGGTTCATCGTCGCGCAAGAGCTGATCGATCTCTGCATCTGCCTGCACCCTGCCACTAGGCAGTGGCTCATAGATGGCGGGAGCCACTTCGGGGAAGACGTGGTCATGGTGAGCACCTTCAGGCGATAGACCCCGAGCATATCCATCTGTCTCTGTCTTTGATTGCTGCTGTCCCATCGGGCTGGTCGGGCTTTTGTGGGCTGGGCTGCCGTCATCGCCCACAACGCGACGGGGTCCACGGGAGAAGACAGACTCGTTCGCGCCATGGTGTTCATCCTCGATCAACTCTTCTCCTTTATGGGTGCGTCGAATCCGAGGACCTTGCTCCTCGACAATGGTGTGGTGTCTGTCTGCTTCTCGCTTGATCTCCGCGTCTTTCTGTTGCAGTTCTTTGCTGGCCATCTCCCCCGTCGTCATCTGAGCCAGCAACTTAGGGGAGAGACTACCTATGAGCAGACGATCTCGCAGAGAAGCATTCTTCTTTACATTGAACATGATCGACCGTAATTGTGCCTTATATGATTCATTAGGCTCGCCTGACCGTCCGCAGATACTCTCATACATGGCATCCTCAATCGATATAGCGAGTTGCTGTGCCACGTCCTCCGCTGACTGGTTCGCACGCAAGGTAAAGGAGCCTGCTTTCTGGGCTGCAGTAATCTGGTCTACAAACAACTTAATGAGGTGTGTGGCCACACTCTTGCGAGCAGGCATCAACTCCTCCAAGGCTCCAATGGCAGGTGCCTCGGGCGTAGGGTCTGTCTTGATTTGGGGTCCAGTTGCCTCCGGGGCAGCTGCTGGGGTAGGGTGTGGGGAAACCCGTTGTTGCTTGACCTGTGGTCCCTGATAGAGAAAGAAGTTAGCATTTTGAATGTCATGACTGAGTGAAATGGAAGCGTGTACATTTTCTGCCTCCACTGTCTCTTCAAGTTTGCGCTTGTTGGTGCTGGATCGCCGAGAATCAATAGCATGGCCATTCTTCTCAGGTTCGACCGAGACGGATACGGCGGGTGCAGGAGAACCGCCGGGACCTGGCGTAATGGATGGTGCAGTACGAGCTGGTGTGCTAGCGTCTGTCCGGCTCTCACTTGGTCTTCCTTTGCGGCCTCCCTTCTTGCCCTTTTTCCGCTTGGACTTCTTCTCCTCGGCCTCTTGGCGACGTTTCTCGGCAAGCTCTTCCCAGGGTTTCTCGCCTGCGTTGATCTTTGCCAAGAGCTTTGTGTGATTCTCTGGTCGACATTGTTCGCAAAAGTATTGATCTGGTTCTTGGCCTTTCATGAATGTGAGGCCCATGCAGTCGTTGTGTTGCCATGCTGAACATTGATCACAGCAGATCATATCGCGCTCCACATCCTCTTCCTCTTCATATTCACCGCAGATACATCGGATTATCTCTTCTTCGCCTCCCTCGCCTTCACTAGGACCGGGTGTGGGTTCGGCGGACAACTTCGCGCTCTTTTCTTTCGGACTTTTGCTTTTGCCTTTTTTCGCGGGATCATCTGGTAGCTCGAGGTTCTTGTGTTGGCCTTTGGTGGCTCGGCCGGAGCGTCGGGGTTCGTCTAATCTCGCTGTTAGCATGGCCTCTGGTAAATGATCCACAACCCTAGACTTGGGGCTGCCCTCCCACTCTCAAGTGATCGGATAGCAATGTGTGTAGTGATGGTGTACGATAGCTTACCGGCCATGATAATGGTCTTTCGTCGCGTACTACAGCGCGTGAAAGGATAATAGGTCTCTTCACTTGCTCGAAATTCGGGTGTTACCCCAGGCTGACAAAAGTCTCTACAAGCTCAAGGCGCTAATGTAATACACAAGAAGACGGCAAAACAGCGTCACTGTCTAGCCCACAGTTTTGCTTGATCGAATAAAAGGACCGATCCAGACTCTGCGCAATATTTCTTGGACTGGCACGCGGTGGCGAAGAACGCGCTCAAGCGGGTGTTATGGTGGACTGTGCAATCCCTTGCTGCGCGTCAAATCGAAACTTGGCGCTAAGCGGGGTCGCGTGAAGTGAGTTGAGCCCAAATCACGAACTTCAGTCAGAAATAGCACTAGACGTTTTGAGTTGAGATTGGAACAGTATTTGCTCAAAGATCAAGTGACGAAAGCAATAACGCGAGAGATGGATGGTAAAAGATAGAAAAGAGATGCGATGCGCGATGTGAGGAGAGGAGAGATGAATCGGTGGCTTGGCAGCTTTGTCATTCACCTACAAGCACGTGATATTTGTCACCAGCCACAGGTTCGCGGCGAAATGCCCTTCAGTGAATCTTAAGATTGAGCTTCTCCAGGTTCCCCACTCTTCATCACAGACTGTTTTATTCCTGCCAGTTTTACTCGGAACTTATTTCAACTACTACATCTCCTCTCCTACGAATTCCTTACAACTCAGAGAATATGGCCGACGTCCGATCGCTCCTCCGCAGCGAACTAGCTTCCCGCAAGGGCACATCTCAACCAAATGCGACAGGAAATCGCGTCACCAAAAAGCGCAAGGTTGACGGTGGAGATGGAGTAATGCGAAAGAAGATCCGCGCCGCTGAACTGGACACATTCCAGTCTACCTCTGGCGCAACAAGCGACGGGCAAACTCCAGAGGAAGAAGGTCCAGGGCAAGTCGAGGATGATGTTGCCGGCCCAGAACCTCCACTCGAAGACGAACAAGAAATTATTGAGCCAGCCGCAGACCTCGCAGAAGAACCCACTACGCAGCCACCCCAAGAACCATCCACGCCTATTGATGAAGAGGTATGGGCAGCATTTGAACGCGAGGTCGCCGCGCAGGATGATGAGCCCCATGTACCAGCCGCTGTTACAGCCGAGGCTACGATATCCGCGGCACCAATGACAGCTGCAGAACTCGCTGCGCAGGAGGAGAGAGCGAAGGTGTCGTCAGTCCGCACTCGTGAGACAGAGTTGGAAGGGGAGCGAGAGGATGCCGCACGTCTTCTAGAGGAAGAGTTTGATGAGATGGATCAGTTGGAGGAGCGGGTGCGAAGACTCAAACAAAAACGCGAGGAGTTGCGGAAAGCCCGTGCCGAAGATCAGACACAGGATGAGCCGATGGGATCTAGCGCAGTGGAGCAGGATGAGAGCGAGAGTGAAGGCGATGACGATGAGGATTGGGATGGTTGGAGATTTAAATGATTGAACGAATCGTCTACGTGAAGGGAAATGGTTTCCCTCATCTACAGTGATACCCTCAGGAACCGAATGGCATTGGTATAAGCAAATTGCCTCTTGATGTACAATATGAACTCGGCTGTCCTTATTTCGAAAAAAGTATGTGTAATATTTAGTGACCAACTATTATTGACTCGGCTTCTGTTCCTCGTCTGCCCCCTGATCAACATCCATGTAGCTCATTAGTCCGTCCTTGTTGACGCGCATTGCCTGTTCAATCTCGGCCTCGCCTTCTCGGAGGAGATGCTTGCCACGGAGAAGATCTCCTCGCTGCCTCCGCTTCTCTTCCTCCACGCGCTTCTCCCGATCTGCAAGGGCTCTCTCGCGTTTCTCCCGTTCAACTCGTTTTCTGTCGGCTTCTTCTAGCTCTTCTGCCGTCATCTGTACCTCTGGCGGCGGAGGCAGAGTAGATATGTACGCCTCAATCAAGGGGTTTCGAACCTCGGGGGCGAGTCCGATATATCGAACATCAGTGATGACCATGTTGGGCAGAGCTTCCAAGTTCGACGACCGATGCAACAAGTCCAAAGGAACAGATTTGAGCAGGCCTGACAGGTCTGACTTGCGGGTGCTTTCGGGTTGCTTGAGACGCGAGATGTGGTCTCGGTAGAACTTCTCGCGCTCTTTATCTCCAAGCTGAGAGTCCTTCATTTCAGGCTCTTTCCTGTACTTGCGCTTGAATTCCGGCCAGTAAAGCTTCGGGGTGGCATATTCTTGCAAAAATTCCAGATATCTAATGCGCGGGTCGGTCTTCTCCTGCTTCGCTTTCTGCTCTTTTACATATTGGATTCGGTCCCGGCTCCAATTGGAAAAGATCTCTCGTCGTGTCTTCATGTTCGAGGGCGCGGTATACCGAGTATCTTCGATTATGCGGCCTTCTTCAATGACATTTTCCCATGTCGTGAATGGGTTGATTCGGAAGTCATCCAGCAAGTCGCGGAAGAGGGCCTCGGCATCGGCCTCTGTCAGCGGTAGGCCCTCTGCACCCTCTTCCCAGTCTTCTTCTCCGACCTCACCATATTCCCCCGGATCCAGTCCGTAGTCTTCACCCATGGCTGCTAGTTGGTATGCCATGTCTTCTTCGTTGAATTCTAGCGGCTGATCCTTGGGGGCCTCACTTTCAGCTCGTGCACGCTTTGATGGTTGGCCCTCTTCTCCCTCACTGTCTGTAACCTCCACCTCCTCATAGTCGTCGTCATAGTCTGGATGCTCCGGTTCTTGTAGTGTCGGCTGGAACTCTGTATGAGGATCCTGTGGCGGGGGCGATTCTTTCTTGGTTGGCACTTCGGGCTCACCCCGTTCTTTCCTTTCCTTCTTCTCACGCTCGAGGCGATCAAATTCCACCACGCCCTTCAAGACTTGCTCTGGAAATTTCCAAAAACTTTCCTTTGTTTCTGGATTGTGCACAAATCTCCTCCCAAGCTTGGTCTTCACTAATAACCACGGGGCGCACCCAGGAATGGGATGCTTCGCTTTCGGCCGATCTTCGGGTTCTCTCCGTCCACGATCATGATAACCTCTCCCACCACGGAATCCTCCGCGGCCGCGAGCGTTTTGTGGTGTTCCAAATTGCGCTGGCCCAGAGCCAAACCCTGCCGGTGGTCCATATGGTGTTGAAGAAAACGCAGGTAGAGTCTCGGGATTGTATGCTCCTTCTGGGGTGTGGGAAGCGGCCTGAATGGGCTGAGGGGCTGTTTCTTGAGGGCGGGTGTATGTCGATTGCTTTGTTGAAGAATTATAATAGTACAAATGACCTGGCTTAATAGTTAGAACGGCCAAAAGTTTTCACTCGAACCCTGCGCAAGACTAACCTGTGGGGGCTCGATGCTGTGTCCACCCCGAAGGCAAAGGGGGAGGAGCGGTGTATGTTGATCTCAGCATGGCAATCGAGATCAATCAATTCAAAGCAACGGTTAAATCAATCTTCTAGTCCGTCCTTGCGGGTCGAAGTGGTGAAATCGTCGCAGCGAAGCTTTGGTGTGGTGAAGTGGTCCGAGCTTGGCGGATGACAGAGGACGCGCCAGGGCGAGTTGCCTGGAGCTTCTACGTCTTCACCACCGACCTTCACCATCCCGAACCACCTGTCCCGCACAATCAACCCTTACTTATAGCCCATTTCTGAGTTTTTGTTGCTTTATTTTATTCATACACGATGTCTCGGAGATACGATTCGAGGGTTTGTGCACACCGTCATTCCTTTGGTGCAGCTCCAGCTAACCTATGACGCTGTTGGAAAGACTACCATCTTCTCCCCAGAAGGTCGTCTCTACCAGGTCGAATATGCGCTTGAGGCTATTTCTCATGCCGGAACAGCCCTTGGTATCTTAGCCAAGGATGGAATTGTCCTCGCTGCTGAGAGGAAGGTGACCAGCAAGCTGCTGGAGCAGGATACCTCCGCTGAGAAGCTCTACACAATCAACGAGTACGCCGCCCCCTTTTGTCTGGAATCAAATAGCCAGATTTATGGTGTTTGGTATTGGGATAAGTAGCTAATATCTTCCAGTAACATGATTTGCGCCGTTGCGGGTATGAACGCCGATGCCAACATTCTGATCAACTATGCTCGCCAGAACGCCCAACGCTACCTCCTCACGTACAATGAAGACATTCCATGTGAACAGCTTGTCCGTCGACTGTGTGATCTGAAGCAAGGATATACCCAACACGGAGGTCTCCGTCCGTTCGGTGTCTCCTTCATCTACGCCGGATACGACCACCTGCGTCAGTTCCAGTTGTATCAGAGCAACCCCAGTGGAAATTACGGAGGTTGGAAAGCGACGAGCGTTGGTGCAAACAACGCAAGCGCTCAGAGTCTCCTCAAGCAAGATTACAAGGAAGACTGCGATCTGAAGGAGGCTTGCGCTATGGCTGTCAAGGTGCTGAGCAAGACTATGGACTCCACAAAGCTGAGCAGTGAGAAGAGTGGGTTTCCCGGGTGTCGCTTTTGCATTATGTTTCATGCTAACATTTCTACCTTACGCAGTCGAGTTCGCAACAGTGGGCAAGACCAAGGATGGCAAGATCTACCACCACCTATGGACTGCGGATGAAATTGACTCCCTTCTCCGGGAACAAGGGCTGGCCAAGGTCGATGATGAGCCCGAGGCTGGTGACATAAAATAGATTAAATCTTCTCTTGTTCTTTTTTCCGTTTCAGATACTCGAATCCAATACTTTGACCATAATCAGCCGGTTGCAATATCCTAGCATCACCTTATGTCCAAACAAAACACTAGTCTTTTTGTCTGTCGCGTGTGCTTTTGTTTATAGCTGCATCTGGTGTTGTTCTCTTGTGACGTGGCATGCACATCGGCCCAGTCTCAGCGCTCTCCTTCAGTTCTGCATTCCAATTTGACGCTGTTTGCCTTGAAGATGTTGAAGCAGATAGGTACACGTAAGCTGAAGAGACATGGGTGTTGCTTAGGGGCATGCAAGCTCTAGCCAGCACGAGTAAATTCTCCGATTATAGTACCATAATATATAGCCAGCTCGCCGTTCTGTGGTGTTCAGTTCATACCTCATCCCTTTTTCTTCCTCTCTCTTGTTAATATCACTAACACCTATCATACTACCAAACCCATTGTTATTTACCCATATTCCAAAAACTATTGTTTCAGAGCTAGGTTGAAGATCTGCAATGTTGGAGTTGCCGGGTATAGAGCAAGGGAAGTGGAACCCAGCCCACTTAGCCCTGGATTCTTCTCACAACACTAACATCCGGCAGAACAGCTTCCAATTTCCTTCATTTTCTAGGACCTTAGTTAAGATTCTTCTTCTATGTGACAGGTCTCATCTTATTAGGTTATCTAAGCAAGGGATAATCACGTGCGGGGATGTGATGAGGGGCATTTTGTTCCACACTATGTGCCCTCGCTCTGACACCAGACACCACACACCACTGCTCTCGTTTCAAGTATTATCTTGATTCTGAATGGCCATTTGATATTCGTCAGGCATCAATGGCCTTTTTGTCTGGTTGCAGCAGGTACCACTCCTTGTCTTGTGAGACTCAATCTGTCTCAGCGAACCGCTCACCCAGGAAACAGGGCGCTTATGACATGGCTAGTCCCTATTGACATTTTTTTGGGAGCTTACCAGCCTATGGACAGGAAGAAATATGGAGTCTGAAACAATTAAATTTCTCGTCAATCTTTTCAAAGGTGATATGGTTCTCCCATCTCCTTGCAGAAACTCGATTCGGACTTGATGTCACGGACAAATGGTGAAACATGAAACTCGCTGCAAATACCCCTAAAAAAACAGTGACAGGCAACCAAAAAAACGACAAGACGATTGGTCACGAAGGACCCGAAAGAAGTTGACACAATTGCTGTTCACCTGTCCAACAAAAAAGAAAAGAAAAAAGAAAAGAAAAGCGCCAAAGGAACACCGGTTTTGTAAATCCAAGCCAATCCTATCTTAGGAGAGTGCTCCTTCGGTCGTCCCGCTCCCGTTGCAGGGAGCGGATCTCTTTCTCCAAATCCATAATGAGCTTGTGAGACCGATCCATGGAGGCCACAAGGTTGGCACCCTCTCGCTTCCACCGGTCCAAACGGTCGACTTCGGCACTACGCCGGCGATATTTGGTTTCGATTTTCTCACAGAGACGACAATTGGTCTTCTCGTTCTCAGTCATGTTGACGAGTCTCATACCGCATGTCTCGCCGGTGCGATATTCATAGTTGCATCGGTGAGCAAAGCTGGTCCAACTCCAGTCTCCACACGCAAATCTCTTTTGGTTGTAAAAGCACATGCCTATCAGATCTGTCAGTGCTGCTCAATCTGCAAGTACGACATAACCCACTTGCTCACGGCTCTCCGTCTTTGTTTCAGCTTGAATGCCGGGTTTCTATTGGTTGCACCTGACAGTACACCCGCGCTTGTTGGATTTGATAGGCCGGTTTTTGTCTGCGTTTTTAAAGGATCCGGGAAGCTCAACAAAGTTGAAACAAATTTCGAATCAATCCGTTTTATGAAGAAGATCTATTGGCCTTGCTTGAAGATTGCAGACTCGAATTGTGAAACCGGGGGGATGATTGAGAACTTCAAGGTATCCTGGGGGCATTAACAGGCTTATTTATGTTTCGGACGAAGTTTCTATGCTACGGCTTTATTCTCCCATGTTTGCCTCGTCCCACTGTTGATCGACGTTTGTCAGTGCCCGATGGCTTATCATCCGTGGTTCCAGTCCGTGGATTTCACATCGCACCTGCCTGACGGTTGATCCGGTTGGCTGTGAGTAGTTCTCCAAGCAGTGGAGACGGTATGATGGCCATGGTATCTCGAATGGAGCCACTATGAACAACCGGTTGCTTCATGGATGCATGCAACCCTCAGCCGTGGCGATGCCCTCCTCATGGTGATGTACGATGGGTCGAAAATCCCTCAATCCATGCCTGCAATCCTCTACTTTCCAGATTTGACTACTGCAATTATGCCGTCGCCATCTGCCTCTCCCCGCTTTCATGTGGATGCTGTTCGCATGGACTCGCACTCCTGTGATTCTCTTGCGTTTTGCATGCCTGATCCTGCATGGCCAGGTTGGTCTCGGCACTTGCTAGCTGTCGTATTGATGCAATAATCAGGCTTTCATGTCCAGGGATAACCCTGTCCCTATGCAAGAGAAAAGCTACTGCCTTCGCGAATGTGATGGGACTCTGCACGCCACTTGTGACTCCATCACAATGGGTTGTTCTATCTTGATGCAATTTTTCGACGGCTGCAATTGTTGATTGGCTCAGTGTCTCATCTATCATGAGCACTGACACGGAATTTCGACCGAACGCCATGTTTTATCCAGAGAAGTATCTATCCGATATTGCTGTCTGTGTGATTGCATACGCATGCACATCCCGATTTATTGCCTTCACTCCTCTTCATGGCTCTTACGTCTCCTGCATTTGGGCAATAATGGAAATCAATATTGGGTCTCAGCATGTGGTTGCAACCATTAGCCCCTGTCGTTTTGTGTTATTTCTGCCGAGTCTTACTCGCCAGTCTATCAAAGTTTAGACTTGAACGTCGTTCCACCCCTGCCGCACCTTTCCGGTCTGTGGCTTTCAGCCAATAGCTCTCCCTTCAGTGGCAATGGTAGGGTCTCTGAGGCTCTATCATTGGCACCCGGGTTCAAGGACACGGACCATGCAATTGAAATTTCTTGTGCCAGACCCCAAAAATTAGGGATGCAGGCCAGATAGATCCATTTTCGTTCAGCTGATCTCTCACTCCTGCAAAGAGGGATCCTGCATTTGCCCCCGCTCATGTGTGTGTTCATCATCATCCACTTGCTTCTTTTGGCGGAAATGATAGGATCGGATTGATGTACGGCCCTCGCCGCAGACACGAACCGTGACACCTTCCACATATTGCTGAACCATATGCAGCTGCACCAAAGCTCAGAGACTCTGACGTGGCACGTTGCTTCTGGCTTTCTGCGTCAATTCCGGGTAGCCAGGGCTGGCTCGAAAGCCGTGGGTCGCCGTTTAGGGATCCCATGCAAGCTCCACCGGGGACCCAGATGCCATTCACATTAATGAGAATGACGAAATATGACTGATTGCCAATATGGAACCGAAAATCCTGCAGACTTCAGTCTTTGCCGTTTTGATCGATTGTTCTGGGCAATTCACCAATCCCACAGGCGATCGTCGGGGAATGCCGCTCAATCACGCCCAGAATCGGACCCAGGAACATGATCCATGACAAGATGTTGAGTTGGCAACTGGCATCCCTGATGATGGCTCATAACCTCAAAATGGCCGTCACACTCGGTGGATCTATCGTTTGCTGCGGCGAGCTGGTTGCATCCAGCCCCAAAAACTCTCGAATCAATTTCTGAAGCCCCCCTGCTCTTTTGCCTCTCGCTCCGTCTTACCACCGAAGTCCCCTCGCCCATCCTTAGTGTACCAATCTTTCTCCTGGCAAGGATCAGGCCGAGTGTGGGAAAAGCATGGTTCTTGTTTCTGCCCAACAAGCGAAGTTGCCGGGTGAAATACTAGAGCATTTTTGATCTGGTTAGAGCTACCGCAGGCCAATTTTGAGAGCTATCAACCGGGGAAGCCCGTGCCTTAACGTTGAAATTGAATTCCAGGACCCGCATACAGGCTCCCACAGCGTCGGGCTCTTCTGATCCCGTGATCTGAAAGTGAACGGAGGCTCCCGCACCTTATACACGCCTGCCTTTGACCGGCGACAAATCGTTGATGGTAACGCTACCTTCGGTGTTGGACAGCAAAAAGCCCACTGCCTACATTTTCTCATGCTTTACGGGGATTGGTCGACCGGTCAACTTATCCTCGCCTGCAGTCGGCCCAATCGTCCAATGGAAACCGTCAGCCGGGATGTCAGTCGTATGCAACTAATGAGTCCTTTCCCCACCCTGCACCAAAGAGGCATGTGCATCTCATCACCAATTACATTAGGTGAGGCCTAGGCCTACATTGTATTGGTCAATTGTGCTCCCTCTGAGTGGGCCCTCGCATTCGCGTGTTCCCAGTTGTCATTCCTCACACAGACACTGTGAACACAGTACTAAACTACTGTCTGGGGGTTCTATTCTTTTTTTGCTTTTCTTCTGGCATTACCTCACGCTACCTATGCTGGATGTAGTGTCTAATCAGCCCTTCTGCCTCGTAATTTATTGCCAATTGGCTAAGGTGAGCTCGGGTTGTCTATTCGAGTTTGTACCTAGTTTACCCGAAGGTTATATTCGAACTTGTATGCCACTCCAACACCTCGAGGGCGTTGGTGCAATTGTAATATCGAGAAGCGCATATATACTCACATTTTAAATCTCAATACATATCATATCATCTATTTGAAGTTCGGGCCCACATTTTGCTTTTGCTTCCCTCGAGTCTGTTGACTGTCTAACAAACCTTCCGCGGATCACCAATACAATAGTCTTATAACTGCAGCAAAGTCTAGTATCCTGCTCTCCTTCATTCTTATTGCCCTCCTACCCAATTTCCGAAGGGAAAATAATAGGCGGTGATCACTCTCACCCTTGCCGGCTCGTGTTTGCAAGCAACTCAAGACTCTATTGCCACAATGCTACAACTTAATATACCGAAGAACTTCACAATAAACTGGGTGGAATCATACAAGACTGATTAGTAGGAATGGGCTTTTTCCGAATAGCCACATTAGTCTGGGTAGGCTTCGTTCTCGAGCCAGCCCGCTCACCGCGCACGCTCAAACCCCCTCTACTGTGGCGCATCTGCCTACTACCGAGCCTTTGGAAATGAGTAATCTCAGCTTGGCATGCATCATTTGGCGACAGCTTCTGGCGGCTGGCGGGCCGCCAGCCGCCAGAATAAGACATGGGTCTGCATGGTGTGACCGACTGGGAGACTAGAAGGACATTGGTGGCGGAGGTCTCTATGGCGGGTTCAATAATGTATGCGGTGTTTGTCACCACTCTCTCGATTGCAAGTCACATAACATATTGGACACCATCACGCCCTTGTCTTTAGCTACATATGATATGATTATTATGGACGTAGCGGATACTCAGCCAATCCCGGTATAGATCCAATTCAAATAATATATCAAACCAGTGCAAATTAGTAGCTAGAACCCAAAGACCCTTTGATTCCATTTGTATGAAGGCCAGTCTCTTAGGGCAAGCTCATTGCCCGATTAGGTTAGCCTGACTGATTCTAACCAAGTGACGTCAACATGATCCCAGGGTCTATGGAAACTTGGAAGAGAAGACTGACGGGCTACTTCTAATGGATTCTCCCTAATAGTAACAAGCACTTCCTTTTATCTAACCAGATTGCTTTTCTCCAATTCATCGCATCTTACAATCTCGATACACAACCCCGTCCTCAACGATATATCTCTACGAACCGCCTCAATCCGCACCTAGAATCATCTCCAGATATTATTTTCACATCTTACAAAATGCTGAAAACCATCATCTCAGTCGGCCAGCAAGCCACTCGAGTCGCCCGGAGCCAAGTCTCAAAAACCACTATCCAATCACTCGCAACCCCAACAGCAACAAGAACGCCCTTCAGCACATCCCCACTCTCCCAGATCGAAAAAGGCCAGGGCTCACTCGACCGGGAAACCTTGAACCCGGAGCGCTCAGAGACTGCCAAATCTGGCACGGACGGCGAAGTCGCCAAGCACCCTTCTGCATTCGACCCAAAGAACACAGCACCGGAGACCGAGCTCGCAGCCACTGAAGAGGAAAGCAGGCAAGAAGGCAAGAAGGAGAGTCCTCTAAATATGAGCCCTGCCAATAGGGATGCTAGCGCTTGGAGGCGCCAGGCTGAGGACGGGCCTGATCGGAACCGGGATCGCGAGGCTTCCAGCTCTCGTGGCGCGACAAAGAAGGGCCGTGGTATTCATGTGAAGGAAGATGGGACTCATGTTTCGTACCGGGATTGAATGCTGTGTTTATAGTATTGCGGGCGATAAATGATAATGTTATGTAGGGAGATAAGCATTTCCAAAGTTAATGTCATATCAAGTTTCGATTAATCCTATCAAGTAAGTAATTTGTCCATCGCCGCATAACGTCATGAATCCAAAGCACAAGAAGTAGTATTTAAAGACATAGCTCATTCCAACGCACCGAGCGTGTTCAAGAGGAAGCTTCCTTGCCATATTTGATAATATCACTGCCAAACAAGGTCCAAACTTTCTCGCTGCCCTCGGGAACATCGCCTTCCAGCGCCTTGAGACCAGCATTGACAGCAGCTCTGCCAATAACCTCCGCCTCCTGAGCCCAGCTATCTTTCAGACCGGAGTGAAGCTTACCAGCCAAGTTCGCAAAAAACCGGATCCCAGCCTCGAGCGGCCGGCTTTCCTCACGAGTACCAGCAATCAGACCAGGGCGCAGGATGACCATGTGCTCAAACCCAAGCTTCTTGATATCCTCTTCAATTTCGCCCTTCATGCGGGAGTAGGCAATGTTGGAATCCTTGTTGGCACCAGTAGAGGAGATCAGCACGTAGACCTTGGTGCCAGCTTCGTGCGCGGCCTTGGCAAGCTCGACGTTCAGCCCATGCTCGATTTTGTATTGGTTATCGAACCCGCCTGCAGCTGCCTTTGTGGTTCCAAAGGCAGAAATGAAGATGCTGGGGGTCGGGGAGAGGGTGGAGAGCTTGCCGGCCCAGGTGGCGGTATCGCTAGAGACGAAGTTGGTGAGTTTGGCTGGGGGCGTGCCGCTAGCGGCTGGCGGGGTGCGACGGGAGATGGTGTCCACGCGGGTTACAGTGGGGTTGGCAATAAGGCTGGTGAGGATATGAGAGCCCTATCGGTTATGCGATTTAGCTCGAGTTCTAGCCTGGGTATCTTTGTTTGGAAAGTTTCCAGACGAGTAGATCGAGGAGCTTTGCTTGTAGGAAGTGAACTTACCACCATACCCGTACCACCGATCAATGCGACATTCACCATGTTTGTTTTTATGATTTGTAATTAGGATAAACGTCTGTTGTGTTTGTATAAGATACGAGAGGAGCACAGTAGGAGTCCTGGAGGATCCAGGCGCAGTGTCTTTCGTCATGCCGAGGTTGAGCTAAACTACATTGGGTAAGCTCGACTTTGGCTACACGCACAATGTTCAGCTAGTCTACTAGAAGAAAACATAATAGTATGTAATATAATTTCTACCTAGCAATGCTTTCACCTTCAAAGCATCAAATGTCATTATGAGATTATGTTACATATTTAGTGATTTTTTGTGTGGGCGGTGGAGATAGCCAAGGGCCGTGTTATGTAGCAAACCTTTTCAACCGTGTTTTGCTTATCATCCTCACATCGTCCTAGGGCCTCTGGGACCCTTGACCTTCAAAATGCCCTTCCTTTCGTTGCCATTCGAAATCATAAAGATGATTGCGTCAGAGCTGCCAGATGAAGATGTACTTGACTTGATGTGCACCAATAGACAGCTTCATGACCTCCTAATTCGTGATCTTTATAAGCGAACTATAGATACAGATCCATCTGGATATGCCCTTTTTTGGTGTGTGTTGAATGGTGCTATACAAGGGATGCGTCACCTATTATCCTGCAATGCGAATGTGAACAAATGCTTGTTTTGGTACGAGGAACCAAAGGGCCAAGAGGGATATTTACAGTCAACTTCAGCCTACACTTGGCTGTCGAGGATGACAACTTGCTTATGGCAAATCTGCTTTTGGAAACTGGAGCCAATGTCAACGCGGAATACGAAAGCCGCGCTCCCTTTGACTCAGCGCGCAGCCTTACTCCCTTGGATGTGGATTGTATCATGTTCCAAAGTTCAACTGCGGCTACTCAAGTACAGAGCAAATGGTATGAACAACAATACGGTTGTCCGGATGCAAATCGGCAAATTGTGAAGTAGAACATGAATGCCTGGAGGAAGAAGAGTCTTAATTTCTATGCTAATTACAAGACTTTCAATGTAAATATAGCGAAATTCATAACTTGACAAGGGAGGTTGGGCCGCTGTATACAGCCGTAGATCGACCCCGCTTCACAGCCCCAGCTGGGCACTTCCCTCTCCTTCGCATCTATATCACAACAAAGAGCCAAAATGAGCTTTGGCTTCGGCGTTGGTGATTTTCTGGCCGTCTTGAAGCTAGCAAATACTGTGCGAAAACAGTTCAAAGATGCACCCAGTCAATTCAAGTCTATATCTGACGAGTGAGTGGAACACAGCCTTGAAATTCCAAATTTCCCTGGAGTCTTCGGGCTGACAATTTCCATGATAGCGTGAAGTTGCTATCAAACGTCCTCCGGGATATCGAAGATGAAGATCCGAGTGAAAATTTACAAAACGCGCAAAAAGCGAAACTGAATGAGATCTCTCGTAGCTGCACGGGGCTACTCGGCGATCTTCATGCCATCATCAACAAGTACCAGCCGATCGACAAATCATCAGCGGAACCAAGAGGTATCAAGAATATTGGCGACAGGGTATGGAAACGATTGAATTGGGACCAGAAGGAGATCCATGATTTTCGACAACGCCTTTCTACAAATATTGACTCCTTCAATTTGTTCTTAACTCGTATCACCAAGCAAGTCCCAGCCCTCTCCGCAGTCTACAAGACCAGCTAACCATGAACAGGCAGGTGGCAATCACCACTCAGCATGGAGTCACTCAGCTTCTTGAGTACCAAGATACTCAGCAGCATGAAAACTGTCTTGAATGGCTCTCATCGCTTGATCACGATGCCAAACAGGCTGATTTTTTCAGTCGCGTACAAGAAGGAACTGGGAAATGGCTTTTGACCTCGACAGAGTTCAACAAATGGGTCAGTCTGAATGATTTGGCTGATCAACAGCTTGAGCCAAAGACCGCCGAGACGCATCGTACTCTATTTTGTCCGGGTATTCCTGGTGCAGGAAAGACCTTCCTGTCATCCATTGTCATCAATCATCTTCAACAAATCCTCCGACCAAACGATGTTGCTCTTGCCTTTTTCTTTTGCAATTTTAGAGAGAAGGTAACCCTCGAGGAGATGCTTGGTTCTTTACTCAAGCAGTTCGTTCGGCAGCAACCATCAATTCCTCAATACCTAGTGGATCCGTTCAGAAGAAGGGCAAGTCTCGTTACGAGCGACTTTATGACTTGTCTCAAATCTATGTTTTCCACATTCTCAAAAGTTTTCCTTGTCATCGACGCGTTGGATGAATGTGACCTTCCAGACAACCTCCGAACAAGATTTCTTTCAGAGCTCAGGGCTCTCCAACATGACTTCAACTTACGTGTATTTGCAACCTCTCGAGATGATCAAGGGATTCCCGCTTTATTCGAAGGCTGTGCGAGGCTTCAAGTTCGGGCCAGCCCAGAAGATGTCAAGAGGTTTCTTGCTGGGCGAGTCGGGATCCTCCCAGCCTTCGTTCAGAAAAGATCAGACCTACAGGAAGAAATCATAACAGAAATATCGACATCAATCGATGGAATGTATGTTTCTATCACATGCCTTGTGATTCTAGGCTCTATATACAGGATTCTAATACTGTTTAGGTTCCTCTTGGCTCGATTGCACATCGACTCTTTGCAGGGGAAACGTTCACCCAAGTTGATTCGACAGGCACTGAAGACCCTACCAAAGGGGTTAGACGCTGCATACGTGGAGGCAATGAGCCGCATCGAAAATCAACATCCTGACGAGGTTGAAACTGCAAAAGATGTTCTTTGCTGGATTTCTTGCGCAACAAGGCCCCTCACCCCTCTTGAATTGCAACATGCCCTTGCTATCGAGGACGATCAACCTTTTCTTGACGAAGATAACGTCCCCGATATTGAGGATTTGGTCTCAGTATGTGCGGGTCTTGTTACTTTTGATGAACAGAGTGGTGTTGTCAGACTGGTGCATTATACGATGCAAGACTTCTTTGATCGAACCAAAGATTCTCTTTTTCCGGGCGCTCATCATAAAATAGCGACTCGGTGCATAAGCTACCTTTCCTTCGACGTTTTCAGTAATGCATCGGTTGAGATATCTGGTAAACAATACGATACTATGTTGCGAGAAAACCCTCTTACCGAATACTCTGCTGAAAATCTGCGATATCATATTCACCAGCAAGAAATCGATCTAGGTCTTGTTTCGAGGCTTTTTAGAGGTCAATGGAGTTTTTATACGCTACTTTATGTATGGGAGCGCGACGCGCCATGGTCGCATAATTTGACCACGCCACAACTCTGGGCACCACTCTATATTCGGCATTTGCCGAAAGCTAGACTTGACATTTATCTTGCTGCTTGTCTTGATCTTGTTCAGACAATGAAAACTATATTGGAAGATGACGCAGGAGATACCTGTGATTTCGAGCGGGAAACGGGCCTGACGCCATTATGGTGCGCCGCTCTTTATGACTCTTGGGCAGTTGTCGATCTCCTGCTCAACTTTGGCGCCTACCCAAGCGCTCAACAGTTTATTGAATTTACGCCCTTGATGGTGGCTATTCATTGCAATCATACTGAGACCGCGCAGCTTCTTATTGGATCGGGGGCCAACATAAACGATGAGATTCATCATACTGAATCAGAGGATCATGAAGGAATCGACATTCCTCTATTGCTTGCAATCGCAAGGAGAAACGAGGTACTCGTCAGGTGCCTCGTTGAGCGAGGTGTGATCATAGAACCCCGCGGATCAAGGAAGCATGGCCCTTTGGATCTGGCAGCCTTGCATAATCATGATGCGATTTTTGATTTTCTATTTGAGGTCATCGATAGAAACTCTAGTGGGTCAGACTATCATTTCCTACTGTGTTGCGCAGCAATGGGTGGGCGCGAGCACATTGTCACACGTCTACTCGAGAGAGATGACCTTTCTGCTGAGTGGAAAGTTTCATGTGCCCAGAATGCACTTTATGGCCTTTCATCTTGCGGTCCTGACTACAATGACGACATTCCCCATGATGCAGTTCTAAAGATTCTACTCGGACTGGACGGCGTTGATGTTAACTTTCAGTTTGAAGGAAAGGGTCTTCTTCACAGAAGCATAGGGCGTACATCCAATGTTCGAACTCTGAAGAGTACAATAGCGACAACAAAGCTGCTGTACCAGCATGGAGCTGATCAAAACATCAAGAACAAGGATGGGCAAAGCTGCCTTGTCCAAACAGTAGCTAGCGATCTTGACTATGGTTTCAAGTTTCGTCTAGAGATTGCTAAGTTTCTACTTGATACAAATGGCCCTCAGGCGGACCTCGAAAGCCAGGATCACAACGGCCGTACCCCATTACACCTCGCTGTCATGTCCATGCTCAAATCATATGAATGCCAGGAGATAGTTCGGCTTCTGCTTGGGAAGGGCGCAAATCCAAACAGCAGGGATAATACAGACAGGACTCCTCTTTCTTATGCAGCCGAGTTATCGCTTCTGGCAATACCCCGACTGCTGCTTGCGAGCGATGCCAATGTGGACGACAAGGATAGCGCTGGACGCACTCCGCTTTCATATGCGGTGGGATGTAACCCCCAGAAACTCTGGGGGCACCACGACAAGCACCTGAAAATATTCGCAGAGAAGTGGCCCCCAAACAGCTTGGGTGAAGCTGTTGAAATTCTTCTTTCGAAAGGAGCAGATCCAAATTCTCGAGATCATGATGGTATGACACCCCTTCTCCGCGCAGAAAAGAATCTGCCAGAGGACCATGAAGTCGTGAAAAAACTTCGGAGTTCGTACAGGAGTTAGAGCTGTCTCTTTATGCTCTTCTATACGTACTGAATGATGTCCTTTTTGTTTCCAAGTTTGCCAGTGGTTTCTCTATTGTTCAAAGTCAGTCACTATTCACTAGCGGGTGCCGTAGCCATAGGGGCCTATTATTAACGATAGAAATATCAACGTGTGACAATCTTTGGATATACTTAGAGAGAGTCTTCCAAGGTTTCCCCGCTTTCTTCTCCTGAAGTCCATCGCCAGGGCTATTCTAGTCCTATTAGTTTCAGTCAACTAAAAGCGATTGGTATTCTACCAGCTGTGGCCACGTCTAAATTGTATACCACTTGCAAAAATGACGGGAGATAGACGGCATAACAATAGTAAGATAACTGGTATGTCATATCTAGGAGACATACGCCTAGAACGGCCCTATCGGTGAGGAACTTATAGTTTAGGAACGGCACTACGGCCATGTAAGTCTCATAAAAGCCAAATGAGATGAGTAGGACTAGCCCAATCACAATCATGGCAATTATATAGCCGGTCTGCCAGCTATGGGGTGCCATACCGGCCAGAGTGAATGGCAGAAGGAATATTACTATGCCGCTATCAAATAGGAAGACACCTATTACTATTTGTTTAGTAGAGAATTGGCTTTTTGCAATAAAAGCTGCAAAAACACTAATATGGTGACTCACAGTCAAACTCTTTAATGTACCACCAAATTGTTTACAGGTTGAAATTCTAGGCCTTTCTTTCCCTAACAAGAAGACCTTCCTTCTCGACCCTACGTAAATTGAAGTAGCCCCCAACTACGATTTCCGGTATGTGGTGGAGGTGCTGCATTTATATGGCGCCAATTTGCATGAAGACTCTTCTTCATGACGCAGTAGATAATTATGGGTCTCTTAATGATGGTCTCATAGAGCACCTCTTATATCTTGGTGCCGACGTGAACGCGAAGGATCATATCGGGTGGTCGGCCATATCTTTTGCGTTCGTGGGCCAATACCGTGACACCCAACGATGCAAAGCATTTGTGGAATTGCTTATATCATATGGAGCTAAAGTTGTGCCTGAAGAGCTCGGAGATTCGGTTGGTAACGCTTTATATCGCGAAGAACTTGATCATCTTGAATTTCTCCTTGAATACGGAGCAGACTTGAACTCCTTTCAGAACGAGGAAGGAACTTGCCTGCATCTCGTGGTCACATCAATTCAATAATGATGAAAGTGATAAGAAAAAAGAAGAATTCCTGAAAATCCTCCTCAACGGAGGAGCTGACGTCCATTTGAGAGACCGCAAATCAAAAACTTCATTGGACCACGCAGTGTTATTCTCATGGAACATAAATATAGCTAAGTATCTCCTCGATGTGGGCGCCAAAGTACAATGCAAAGGCAAAGAAGGAGCTCAGCTCCGGGTTCACCTTATCAAGGATGGACTAACCAGCTGGTTTGACCCAGATACCAAACGGCTTCAGTCCTACCTGGATAAAATGGATTGGTGGGAGTTGACATATCCATATCAATATGACTTCCGTGAGATGGATAATATGATTGGGTTGCTTCTGGAATACGGTGTCCGTCGAGACTGCGTGGATGACTCTGGCCAATGTCCTCTTGACCAACCTGGTGCTGAATTATTTTCTGCTCTACAGCCCTGGCTTTCTAAAAGACAGGGAGCATGATGCTGTTGGTTGTGACATATTAATCAGCTACGTTTCTGCTGAAGCTTTTGGGAATATTGGGAAGTTTGGAGTCATCAATTTATATATCATCAAGAATATGTATCAACTTGGAGGAGCAGTCTATTTTGAGGAACTTCTTAACAGCCTCTATCACTCATAGTCTCAGTGGTTCATGCTTTTGAAACAGAGCAAAGTAAAATTGGAAGCTTCCATGTTGTCATACTGGCGTATCTATAATCGTACATTCTGGAAATGACAGAGAATCTATGTTAATTTTGATAGTTTGTTTTTAATCGCGAGAGAGACTATCTCATACTCATATAGTAATGTTCTACTTAATTCGATACTTTGCAAGGCGCAATATAATCTCCCCAAAGAATCGCTATTTCGAAGTGGGATGTTCTAGGGAGACACATGGTGCCTTTAGTTGTCTATCCTAAGGTTGAGTGTGAAGCTTATACTTGTATGATTGATGACCATGTCAATGCATGCAGAACATGCTCAAACATCGCCATTATTTAAGGCGCTTACTAAACGAGCGGAAATTATGTACTGCCCATAATTTACTAGGTGCTAAACGCGTGCAGATATCAGCAAACGGTTGATGAATGAATGGTGAAGTGCATAACCTCATTCCAAGAGTCATGATAGGCTTGTCATCTCCAGAAACTTTGGAGCCAAACAAGGATAACTGACTGATGATCATTACATCCAACTCATCAACTTATTTATTTACCTTTGATCACCCTCTTTTCGTGTGTGAACAGAGTTCCAAATCCATTTCAAGATGTCACTTGACACAGTGGCCCTCGAAGTACTCTGTCTCGTTGCATCGAAACTGCCACGGCACACAATTCATTTTACGGTGCCTCTTGACTCCTTGCCCTTCGAATTAATCTGTCTTATTGTATCGAATCTGCCTCGGTACAAAGACAGGTTGTCACTTGTGCGATGCAATCGTATGCTTCATGATACCGGCATTCATGTCCTGTACAAGCAAGACAGCCGTACTGCAAACTATGCACTACAATGGTTGATAAACAGGGGGTTTGAACTGGGAATCCAGCACATAATATCACGCAACAATCTAGACGTGAACATGGCAGTGGCCCCCCGGCGCACCTCGATCAACACACCCTTACTCCTTGCCGTCGGGTTCGGTCATACGAATATTGTGGAGCTCCTGCTGCGCAATGGAGCCCTAGTCAATCTCGTGACGGATATTTCCGCCTTGGAATACGCTGCAAGTCTGGGAGACTCCAATATGACCAGTTTGCTCATCCAGCATGGTGCCCATGTAGACCTTGTGGGCGCAAAACGCGGTCTTACTCCTCTACAATGTGCTCTGGAACTTGGGTACATATTACAAAATGGCAACCCATACTCGCTACATTGGAGTGATCGGGATGGTTTGTTGAACCACAAAGGAGAGGATGAATTTATCGCGGTGATCCAGTTGCTGCTGGCTCACGGGGCTGATCCGCTTTTCCACGATGCCACCTGCCAGTCTACTTGTCTACACAGGATTCCCAATAGCCCATGGAAATCGACAGAGAAAGTCGTCAATCTGTTTCTCGCTGCTGGGGCTGATTTAAATGCACGAAATTGGGAAGGATACACCCCCTCCACGTTGCCTTTGGCAGTAACGCATTCAGAGGAGATACAAACGCCCAGAAGGAGTTTGTGACATTACTCTTGAAGTATGGCGCCGATGTTAACCTACAGAACGAGAATGGAGAACCACCACTAGGTATCAGATTTGAGAATCCGAACATCTGGCAACTTTTCTTAGGACAAGGAGCGAATACCCGTTCCCACGGTAAAACCGGAGACATGCTCATTTCGATGCTTTTGAGGATTCCGTTGCGAAAGCAATGGAAAACCACAAAGCAATATCGCATCAACAATCTATTGATAGAGATACTAGTGGAGCATGGGGCTTGCACAGATCAAATCATCGATGGGAAACGTCCACTGGACTTGAGGGCGGTAAGAAAATACCCCGTGCTCCGAGATTTGATGAGCAAGAGGACAATGGCTTCAGGCAAACCTCCATCAAAGAGGTCATCCAAGTACCGGAAACATAGCGGTCCCATAAGAAAAGCCAACAAACACAAGAAGACCACGAGGCCCCCGAAGCCCACGAGAAAACTGACCTCAAAGACTCCCCCCAAGGCTTGAACCGAAGCGAGCCCACATGAATAATAGCCTTGAGGAGCTCTGCACGGGTACGAAAGTTCAATTTACACGACTAGGAGATCAATTCACATTTTGCCTAGGAGGAAAGGAAGGAAAGCGTTAGTTGCTGGTTGCTATCAGATTATGGTGTAATTGCTCCAGATACCAGCAAAGTAGACAATCAAAATTTCAAATGCAAAGGCCATATGGCGTCCAAGACTTTATACCCATAGTTGATCTGAGACGCATGGGATATTAATATCATATGATATCTTTTATTTTCACGTGCTTACTATAGGCCATATGAAACCTCGGGTTTATTAAAGTTTATTTTCATTTTGCTCAGTTGGGTTGGAAAAAGCCCTAATAGTAGATAATATTGTACTGTCTATTGACATGAATGGAAGTTCGAGGGGCTGTAGGCTGTACTACGTTAACCGAAATGCCCGGGTAAGCGATACTCCTGGCTTAAAGATGTAGGCCTTTTTTTTATCGCAATCAAATCTTAGCGCTCTGCGAGAGCTTCTTCTCTTCGGCCTGATAGAGCTTGACCAATTGACGCACAGACAGATCGAGCAGCACGTCTTCCGAGCCACCCGGAATACGGGCACCTGGAACATCGCGAAGAATGGCTAAAAGCTTGTTAGCTTCTTTCAAACACATACTAATAATCCAGCAAACATACCCTCGACCAATTCACCCTGACCAGATTTGGTAAATCCACTTCCTCCGAACAATAACACGGCTGTCTGGGCACACTCGTTCAATACCATAGCGGACTTTGCTTTAGCCAATGCCGTCAATCCACCAAGTTGACGATCACCCTCCTCTTTGCTGAGATGAACCAATTGGTACAAGATCTGCTCAACCCACGCCCACATGGATTCAAGCTCAGCGCCTGCCTTAGCTAGACGGTGGCGGACTACGGGTTGGTCCATGAGCGTCTTTCCGAAAGCCTCGCGCTTGAGGCAGTACGAGAAAGCAGCAGAAAGGGCCACACGAGCCTGACGAGTGACTCCAATGGCAATAAGAAGTCGTTCATGATTGAAGTTGGTCATGATAATACGCATGCCGTCGCCTTCTTTGCCGATGATGTTTGACACGGGAACCTTGACGTCGTCAAGCTCAATAAATGTGGTCCCGCCTGTGATCTGACCCGAGACTTTAAGTCGGCGCATTGAAACGCCAGGGTGGCCCTTCAGAGGCACAACCAAAACGGAAAGGCCCGCGGCTCCTGGTCCACCGGTTCGCACGGCCATGGTGGCATAGTCCGACCAGATACCATTCGTGATCCTGGTTATTGGTATCAGCTCCCAGCTTTATTATTACTGCAGAATTGGCTCTTACCATTTCTTGGACCCGTTCAGGATGTAGTGTTGACCATCGGCACTCTTGACAGCAGTTGTGGTTATATTCGCGACATCACTGCCGGCCTCAGGCTCCGTGATAGCAATACAGCCTCGCTTCTTACCTGTGAGAAGCTCTGGCAAGAACCGCTCTTGCAACTCGGTACTGCCAAATTTGTAGATTGGTGCAATTCCGAAAGCGAACCCGGCGTTCAACGAGCCAGAGGGACCACTGAGACCAGAACGGGCCATCTATGTGCAAACCATCGCCGATCGGTCAATCAACCTGCAATCATAAAGCCCAGCTGGATAATTTTCATGACATACCTCATCACAGTAAATGCCGGTGTATATGTAGTCCCAGTCTTCAACCTTGACTCCTAGGATATCGTTGATTCCTAGTCGCTTCAACCAATCCACAGGTAATGGCGCTGGCATGTTGGGCAACAACATATTATGCTTGCAGAATGTGTGGAAAACATGCTCAGGGACTGTTCCTTCCCGCTCCCACTCCAAAGCGTGCTGAAGCAAGTTCTCTGTTGCAAATTTACGGCATGCTTCTTGAAAGCGGCGGTGGGCAGGCGTAATGTAGGGAGAAGGGAGGCCACGAAGGTAAGGCGGCTCTGAGAATGGGATGGGATTTGGTGAGTTGTAGACCATGATGAAAGAGTCGATAGAGAGATGTATTATTAGGAGACGTCAAGATTAGTCCATAGCGTTTATATACATATCAGGATCAATAGTCTATGAGGGGATTCTCCGCATTCCGGGGTAAAGGGGGGCGGCCGACCGAGCCTCGGTGAGTTGTGCACCCGTGAGGGCTGATTAATGCACAAGCGTGTACATCACGTGATTAAATATGATGCCCAAGGCACGCATGGATTGTCGAATACACTGGTATCCTGAAATGTATGGGTCCAATCAATGGTGTTAAAATCTCTGTATTTCAGTATCCCTTTTCCTAGCAATTTATATGGATTACGGATTACTAATTCAAAATTACTGCACAACCTGGATTAATTAAATCCCCGGTATGCCGGTCTGTATGCTCCGACATGGATCATCACGAGTAGTGGCAGCAAGGGTAGTAGCACTCTTTTCGTTAGGGTTAATGTCCTATAAGTCGCTACTAATGTAGATTCTAGCCTTTTAACACGAGACATATTAGTATCGAATTTGTGGGTCAATATGTAAGACCCTAACTAAGCCGCCTATTTCATATAACTAGAGAGCCTCATACATACTTCAGGTATCAACGTTATTAGTACTAGTTAGGGCTCTAGCACTATCCTCTCCTCATGGCCTATTCCAGCGTAACATGGCGGATAAGTTTTCATTGATCACTGAGGACCTTCCAATTCATCGGGATTGTCAAATTTCTTAGGTTTCTCAGGACAGCAATCGCAGATAAAGAGCACGTCAACAATCTATACGGCGGGTTTTGGAACGTGTAGACCGGTCGTGCCAACAGTCTTTGACTTCAACCACCCAGTCCCTCTTGAAACCAAAAGATCCGGCCCCGTAGGACTTGCTAAATTTGTTCCCGGATAATATAAACCTCATCCGCTGCTTGGTCCCCGTATACTTGCTTTTGTCTTGAGCCAGCTGTGGTGGCCATGTCCTGTCCTGTTCCTGTGAGGCAGCAAATCTAGTACTTACTCAGGCTTCAGACCCATAAACTTATCCAATCAATAACCGAATTTCGATACTTGCAGAGTCAGAGAGCAGGAGGGTTTCCTTCAAAGAAATGAAAGAATCACGTGACTGGGCTCCTCAGGCACGGATGAGTAATGCTCCGAAAGCGGCCCTGGATCCGCCACGCCTTAAAAAATCTTATCGCCCGATAACAAGCACGCAATTGCCACTAACCGCTTTGGGCAAGTTACCTGGGGGTTTTCTCTATAACCAAGTGATGGAGAGGGGAGATTCTCTTTCCCCCCACCTTCTTCTTTGTTTTTGTCTTTAACAGATATCGGTCTTATATCCGGTATCAAGAAGAAGTCATGGGTTCATCAGTTCCAGCTCTGTCGGCCTTGAATGGCCCGACCTATGTCACAGCCCAGACCCTCATCCAGCAAGTCGCATACTTGCTGAGTGATAAGATCTTCTCCTACTCACCGGAGACTTTCGATCTCGATGCTGCCCTCAAGGAATGGACCTCCAAGGGTGAGACTAACGCCAATGGCGAGTCTCCCTCTGTCAAGGCTCTCGAGACCCGCCAGGGTGCCGGCAACATGGCCCTTGGCTACCTCTTCTCTCAGGACTTTGATCTGAAGAAGCGCCACATTCCCCAGGGTATTGTGGCTTCTTCAGCAACACTCCCTTATATGCGCGCCGCATTGGAGCAGCTTTCTCTGCTCTACTCCGTCGCTAGCCCAGTCGCTGCTCACGTCGCCGCCGTAGACTACGCCGGTGAGGATGGCCTGGTCTCCGACTATGCTTCCGCCCTCTCTCTGGCCGAGGACCTCGGTCTGGGTCTGGTCTCCAGCGGTTCCGCCCACGAGTCCCAGCACATGGCCCTCTTCACGACGTTGCTCTCCTCCATCCTCCCCTCGATTCACATCTATGATGGTGTTCGTGTTGGCCGTGATACCACCCGCATTATTGATGTTCTCGACAAGGATGGTCTGACTCGCACTTATGAGACCGTCCGCAAGACTCTTGATGAGTCCCGCAACCGTCATCTCGACGCCCAAGGCAAGGTTCTGGACCTGCTGAAGAGCCTGAACGGTGAACTCGGAACTGACTACGGTGCTTTCGAGTACCACGGTCACTCCGAGCCTACCTCTGTCCTGATCGCCTTCGGCACTGTCGAGGCTACTCTCACTGCCCAGATCGCACGCTCTCTTGCCAAGGATGGTGTCCGTGTCGGTGTTGTGAATGTCCGTGTCTACCGACCCTTCATCGAGGAGGAGTTCCTGCGCGTTCTCCCCCAGTCCACCCAGACTGTCGCAGTTCTTGGCCAGGTCGCCTCTGAGCAAGCTGTTCAGGAAGATGGCATCCACTCCGCTCTCTATGATGATGTGCTTGCTTCTTTGACTTTCGCCACTGGCCGTGAACACAACCCGGCTTGTGTTGAGATCAAGTACCCCCGCTCCCAGCGTTGGGACCTCATCTCCACCGCCGCTGCATTCCAGCGCGTGTATGACCAGCCTATCCTCACCGCCAACGGTGAAACCAGTGCTTCGCTGCAGCTCTTGGACCCTGCTTCTGTGCAGGAATACACTTTCTGGGATGTTGACACCTCTGTCACCGAGGCCGCTGCTCAGACTTTGAGCCAGGCTCTTGGCGCCGACTCGGCCAGCAACGTCACCCTCAGCCAGACTCACGACAATCTTGTCCAGGGTGGTGCCATCCGTGTTGACATCCGCAAGAGCGCTAAGATTGTTGACGCACCTTACGCCGTCACTGCTGCTGAGGTCTCCTACGTTGGCAACCTTTCGCTGCTGAACGATGTTGATGTTCTGGCTTCTGTCAAGGACAACGCCAAGGTCATTGTTAATGCCCCGGGCGTCAAAGATGAGGACTTGGAGAAGAAGCTTCCTGCTTCCTTCAAGCAGGCTGTCGCCCAGCGTGGCATCTCTGTCTTTATCGTCGACTCATCTGCTATTGATGACTCATCTCTGGACGCCCTTGTCCTCCAGGCTTCGTTCGTGCGCGTCGCTCTCCCTGCCCAGGAGGCTCTGGCAACCAAGAAGCTGTCCTCGATCACCGGAAATGCCGAGTCCCTGGAAAATGTTACCAAGGATCTCGAGAAGCTGCTCCGCCAGATCGAGGTTCCCGAGTCCTGGAAGGAGCCCGAGGGTATCACCGAGGCCGTTGAGCTCCCCAAGGACATCATCGCCAACAGCTTCGTTTCGTTCGACAAGACCGAATCCGAGCCCCCCACTCTTCTCAAGGACTGGGAGACTGCTGCTCGTGGCCTTGCATTCAAGGAGGCCTATGGCACCAGGGATGCCCTTCGCCCTGACCTTGCCCACAAGACTTTCACTGTCCACGTCAAGGAGAACCGCCGCCTCACCCCCACCACCTATGATCGTAACATCTTCCACATCGAGTTCGACATCGGTGAGACTGGTCTGAAGTATGACATTGGCGAGGCCCTCGGTATCCACGCCGAGAACGACCCTGAGGACATCAAGAAGTTCATCGAGTTCTACGGCTTGAACCCCGACGCAATTGTCGAGGTTCCCAGCCGCGAGGACCCTGCCGTTTTGGAGAACCGCACTGTCTACCAGGCTCTGGTTCAGAACGTCGACATCTTCGGTCGCCCTCCCAAGCGCTTCTACGAGGCCCTTGCCGAGTTCGCCTCCGACGAGAAGGAAAAGGCCAACCTGCTCATCCTGGGTGGTCCCGACGGTGCTACCGAGTTCAAGCGCCGCGCCGAGGTCGACACCGTCACCTTCGCCGATATCCTGCTCGAGTACCCCTCTGCCCACCCCGAATTCCACGAGATCGTCCGCATCATCGGTCCTCTCAAGCGTCGTGAGTACTCGATCGCCTCGTGCCAGAAGGTGACCCCGACCTCCGTCGCCCTGATGATTGTCGCCGTGAACTGGGTCGACCCCAACGGCCGCGACCGCTTCGGTCTGGCCACCCGCTACCTGAGCCGCCTGCAAGCCGGTTCCCCGATCACCGTCAGCGTCAAGTCCAGCGTCATGAAACTGCCCCCCAAGTCCACCCAGCCTATCATCATGGCCGGTCTTGGTACCGGTCTTGCACCTTTCCGTGCCTTCGTCCAGCACCGCGCCCTCGAAAAGGCTCAGGGCAAGGAGATCGGCGCTGTCTTGCTGTACATGGGCTCTCGTCACCAGCGCGAGGAGTACTGCTACGGCGAGGAATGGGAGGCTTACCAGGAGGCTGGTGTTATCACTCTCCTCGGCGCTGCTTTCTCTCGTGATCAGCCTGAGAAGATTTACATTCAGGATCGTATGCGCCAAACCCTGCCTGAGATCATCCAAGCCTACATTCGTGAGGAGGGTGCTTTCTACCTGTGCGGTCCCACTTGGCCCGTGCCCGATGTCACCGCTGTTTTGGAGGAGGCCATTGCCACCGAAGCCAGGAACAATGGCAAGAAGGTTGACACTCGCAAGGAGATTGAAAAGCTCAAGGATGAGGAGCGCTATGTTTTGGAAGTCTACTAGACTCTGTTTCGTTTTCGCATGGCATGATTGTACGATTGGCATGTTTTTGCTTTTTATTCCCCATGTATTTAGATTATTTGGGCTAGCGTACTAGCCTTGAAAGACTTCAAAAATGCATTAGAACATTGAATCTTAAGATTTTAGAAAAAAACCTCTCTTTCAGATCCCTTATTAGAATATATAATTTAATGGAATGTATTTGGGTATCTGCTTCGAAGACAATGCCTTCCTAGCATGACCCTCGAAAATGCTATGTCGTGTCTAGGTCGTCTATACATACAACTTTTTCTTGAAATTCATGCAACGTAACTATCAAACGCGCCCAGTATTACCATACTTGGTCTTTCCATATGCACCACCCTTTTCCTTCCTCAACTCCAATGCCCGACGATACGGTGGTGCAGTGGGTGGCTGAACAGGATCCAGATTAACATAATCCGGAGGTAGGGTGTATGATGCATCAGAATCCCAAGCGGAAAGATCACCACAAGCAATGAACGACGGAATCCACCGGTTCTCAACCGCGAATTTGTTGGACAGTTTCTGAGGTTGGGGCTTGTCTTGTGATGTTGTAGTTTGAAGATGGCGGACTTCAGTGGAATGATTGGGCGCAGGACTGCTAATTGTCGCGGGTTGTGTCACGGTATTCCGGGCCTGTGTGTCCTGGTCGATTTGCTCGCGGACTTCGACAGCCACATTGCCATCTTCCGACACGGCGGCTGGAGCTGCAGCACCGCCGAAGAGTGGATTTTTCAATGCGGCCATACCGACCACCCCGCTGTCACTAACAGGTGGAATGAAGCCTTCGCAGACCACGAATGCCTCCAAGCTACTAGCGCGACTACTGCGCGGCTTTGCGACGCTGACACGCTCAAAGACGGTCCGTAGCTGCGCGTAGAGAAGGTCAACGTCGCGGCCGCGGAAGATCTTGGCGACGAATTTGCCGCCCGGTCGGAGAACGCCCATAGCAAGGTTTAGCGCGGCGTAGAGGAGTTGTGATTGAATATAAATGTCTAGATCGTGTAGACCTGTTACATCCGGAGCACCGTCGGAGATGACCAGGTCGACAGGGTGAGGTTGTCTGATAGCCTCTGTGACTTGTGACGTAGAGTCGGAGGGGGTGGATGGTTGTTCGTATGCTTCTGGGTCCAGAGCGCGCAAGAGCAGAGGAATCGTAGAGGGATGTGTGATATCAGCTTTGAGGGTTGTGATACCTTCCAGAGGTGCCATGGGTTGCAGGTCGATAGATACGATCTTGACATTCTTCCGGGGCTTTAATTCAGAGCTTGAAGAAGGCTCATCGCAGTCCATTTTATCATCATCGGCTGTCGTCTCTGCGCCCTCCAATCCCTGTTGTTCTATCCGCTTTTTCTCGAGCCATGCTCGTCGCCCGAAGCTTTCGCCCTTGATTAAGACACGGCTGAGTACTTGACTCCAACTTCCAGGCGCAGCGCACAAATCCACGACTCTCGTCACATTGTCCGGGTTCTCGTGCTCGAATAGGTCGAATCGCTCGTCGATCTGGATAAGCTTGAAGGCGGAGCGGGCGCGCCAATTTTGCTCCTTGGCAAGACGGTAATAAGCATCGCGCTTGTCCTTGGATGATTTGCCCATCTTGAAAAACAGCCAGGCGCAATTGGCAATCGTCTGTCAAAGTGGGTTAATTTTGCGACCAACGTGGGGAACGAAAAGATAAGATTCGAAAGGCGGACTAAAATTTCTGCCGCTTTTTTTCTTTTCCCCGACGGCGTGCTTGGAACATTTGTCAACCAGAACAAACTGTAATACTTAAGGATTACGCAGTTCATAATGGGTCAAAAGAGAGCGCGCGACCCCAAAGCCCAGGTGGCTGAGGCAAACAAACGCAAGAAGGCGGCTAAGTCTGACGCAGCGTCAAGCGAGGATCATGGCTCTATCGCAGTTGAGGACCTCAACTGGAAGGAAGTTGATATGCCAGATCGGATGGATGATGCAGAGGGTTTCTTTGGACTGGAGGAGATTGAGGGTGTCGAGATCATAAAACAGGGCGATGGAGGTGTTCATTTCAAGGTATGAGTCTGCATACTTTGATCGATCATGTTGACTAAATGCTAATATATGGTTGGATGGGTAGGCCAAAGCTGGCAAGCCAACACAATCGATTCTCAAGCCCCCGTCTGCAGACGACGCAGACGAATGGGATGGTTTTAGCGACGAAGACTCGTCCAAGAAGTCTACTATCACCGAGAAGACTCCCGCTGCAACCGAAGTGAAGGATGATAAGAAGTCAAAGAAGGACAAGAAGAAGGAGCAAAACAAAGCCAAGAAAGCAGAGCAAAAGGCCAAGGAGCAGAAGCCTAAGGAGCAAAAGTCTAAGGAGTCCAAACCTGCTCAGGGCCAGAACATTAAGGCCGGGCTCGGATTCGCGGCTCTCGATGATGTCGAAGAGGACGACGGTGTGGACGTGTCGGCCTGGGATGGCCTTAATCTTTCGCCCGAGATCTACACGGCTCTTTCCAAAATGAAGTTCACCTCCCCATCGGCCATTCAAAAAGCCAGTATTCCTGCCATTCTCGATGGGCACGATGTTGTTGGAAAGGCCTCTACAGGTTCCGGTAAAACATTGGCCTTCGGTATTCCGATTATCGAGCATTACTTGGACAAGAGAGGAAAACAGGAGGAACAGTCCGACAAGCCTGAAAAGAACAAAGGCCCGATTGCATTGATTCTATCTCCCACTCGAGAGTTGGCCCATCAGCTCGGAAGACATATTGGAGAGCTGATTACCAATTCCCCGGATACCAACGCACGAATCGCTCTTATTACCGGTGGTATGTCTATTCAGAAGCAGCAAAGACAACTTGCCACGGCCGATATTGTCGTTGGAACTCCCGGCCGAATTTGGGAGATCCTAAGCACAGGAACGGGATTGATCCGCAAAATGCAGAAAATCCAGTTCCTGGTCGTCGATGAGGCTGACAGACTGCTGAGTGAAGGTCATTTCAAGGAGATGGAAGATATCCTTAATGCACTAGACAAAAAGCAAGCCGGAGACATTGCCGACATGGACCAGGAAGAAGAAGAGGAGGAGCCATCTGCAAGGCAGACTCTTGTCTTCTCGGCTACATTCCACAAGGATCTTCAACAAAAGCTAGCAGGTAAAAGCCGCTGGTCAAGTGGTGATATGTTGGACAACAAAGCGTCTATGGAGTACCTTCTCAAGAAATTGAATTTCCACGAAGAGAAGCCCAGGTTCATCGATGTGAACCCGGAGTCACAGATGGCCATCGGGCTTAAGGAAGGAATTGTCGAATGCCCTGCTATGGAAAAGGTAAGAGACTTTATTTCTGAACCGCTCTAATACCGATACTAATTCAAATGATCAGGACCTCTACCTCTACTCAGTCCTCCTCTACTATCCCAAGAACCGGACACTTGTGTTCACAAACTCCATCTCTGCCGTCCGCCGCATCACTCAGCTTTTGCAAGCTCTTCAACTTCCCGTGTTCGCCCTCCACTCCAACATGGCCCAGAAGGCCCGTCTCCGTTCCATCGAGCGTTTCTCATCTCCTACTGCCAACCCAAGCTCAATTCTTGTCGCTACCGACGTCGCCGCTCGTGGTTTGGATATCAAGGGGGTTAACTGCGTCATCCACTACCACGTTCCCCGCACAGCAGACGCCTACGTTCACCGATCCGGTCGTACTGCTCGTGCCGGTGAGTCCGGAAAGAGTATCCTCATCTGTGCTCCTGACGAGGTTGTCGGCGTTGCCCGTCTCGCCGGAAAGATCCACGCCAAGAAGGCGCGGAAGGCCGACGACCCCGAGGGACCTAGCAAGAAGATTCCCCTCGAGTCTCTCGACATCGATCGCCGAGTGGTTGCTCGCCTCCGCCCCCGCATGGGCCTAGCCAAGAAAATTACCGAATCCACCATTGCCAAGGAGAAGATCAACACCGAGGACAACTGGCTCCGCTCTGCGGCCGAAGATCTCGGTGTCGAATATGACAGTGACGAGTTCGATCAGTCTAAGGGTAGAGGTCGTGGTCGTGGTGGTGGCCGCGAAAGACGTGACAAGGAGGCTAGCGAAACTAGCAAGAGCGAAATGGCCGGCCTTCGTGCGGAACTCAAACAACATCTTTCCCAACGAGTGAACATCGGTGTCAGCGAGAAGTATCTTACTGCCGGTCGCATTGACATCGATGCTCTTCTTCGTGGTGAGGGCAACGATGCTTTCCTGGGCCACCTTGACCCTCTGACATTCTAATTTTGAAAAGCGTTTGTTAAAAAAGCATTAGTATATACTAAATGAATACTTGACTCATAAATCCTTCGCAATCGGACTTCCCCGATAGATAAGATATCAGACCAAAGACCGATAAGTGACAAAGAATACCCCAACAGGACTATGCCATATTCAAAGATCAATTGGCCCTAAATATTAACTAGTTCACTCAGTATGCAGTTATTTACATAAGTGCATACGTTCCCCCCGCCTTGCTCGGAGTATTAAACCGCCCTTTTCTGTTCCTCCAGATATCCCCCATTCTCTCCATCAATATGGATCCCCAAATTGAAGAACTATTAGGCCTAGAAGCCGTCCGTACAAGAGCCCATGTGGTCCTCAAACTAGCCGAAGAAGGTCGTTTGAATCATTTCAACTACCACCCTGACCGCATGGAAGATGCCACCGACTATGTACTTAAACTGATTCAGGTAGGGCTAACACATCTCCAATTACATTTCCAAGCATAAAACAACTCACACTATCATAGCGCGACTTCGGCCCTGACAAGTATCATCTAATTCCACCCCATGGCCGTTGGCAACATTTCGAAGTCGGCGGGGTTCCCCGCATAGCCACTCTCCTAGCCGAATGGGATGAGAAATGCGACACCACCGAAAAGACACGCAGACTGATAGATCTTTTCTTCGTCTCTGTTCTTTTGGATGCTGGTGCTGGAGACTTTTGGAAATTCAAAGAGTCACAAAGTGGTCTGACGCTTAATCGGAGCGAAGGTATTGCGGTTGCGGCACTGCATATGTTCCTAAATGGTGACTTTGCTGGTCCGGACTCTTCGGTGAAACACACCGCCAATGGTAAGCGTTTGCTTTGATTCAATGTGATAGCAGTTAGCTGACTCTTGTGCTAGGTGATGCATTGCGCAATCTCAATGTAGACATCTTATCCCGTGGACTCCAGGTCGACGATGGCAATCCTATGATCGGAGTAGCTGCTCGTGCAGATATCCTCCGTAAGCTCGGCGAGTCTTTGGTGAATTTGAAAGATATCTTTGGTCCCTCTGGTCGTCCGGGTAATCTTGTTGGTAAGTTCATACCGCCCATGAAGTCGGGAAGTTTTTATCAAAATGACTAAACGATTCTTACTTCCAGACTACCTCATTTCCAAGTCGAATGATGGAAAGCTGGACTACAAGGACCTCTGGGACGTGCTACAGCGCCTCCTGATTCCTATCTGGCCGTCCGATCGTACCCACGTGAACGGACAACCCATCGGCGATGCATGGCCTCTGCGAGCACTTGAACAGCAGGCTGGATCGGAGTCGAAGCCCTACTCCAACATCCAACCATTCCATAAGCTGACCCAATGGCTAGCGTACTCATTGATGGTGCCGTTCTCCCGTCTGCTCTCCGTCTCATGGTCTAATACCGAGCTGGGAACTGGTCTGCCAGAGTACCGCAACGGAGGAATGCTTGTCGATATGGGAGTTCTAGAATTGAAGCCCGAGGCACTTCAGCGAGGTTTGAGCCTTTCGGGGGGTAGCTTGCCTTCGTTTGGTGCGGGCGATGATGAGATTGTGGAATGGCGAGCGATGACTGTTGCCCTCCTCGATGTTTTGCATACGAAGATTCTCGCTCGCTTGGATGGGGTCCAGTTGTCTCTGCCTCAGGTGTTGGAGGCGGGTTCTTGGAAAGCGGGTCGTGAGCTGGCAGCGGCTAAACGTCCGGAGACGAAGTGCAGTCCTATCTTGAACTTTGGCGATGGTACCTTGTTCTAGGAGTTTTGATGTTAATATCTAGTATCAAATTCAATGAATAGCCCTTTTGAATAGATTCATTCAATGTATCTACCCTCTTCACAACCCAAAATACATTCTAGATTCGACAAAGTATTGATTGAGCTTCTTAGTTTATATTGTAGTCCAGTGCATCAATCACCGCGTCACGCTCCATCTTGTGTAATGCTTATAGATACTGGCACCGTGCTCCTTCCCTCCCGGTTGAGTAGAAGAATATATGTACTGATGACTCGGTCCAGTATATCTGTGCTTACCTGTCTGCAATGAGCTTATGAAAGCCCCGGCCGCTGAAGCCGCGCAACCGGTCTGGGAATGAAATTCTCAGGTTATTGAAGTGTCTAGGGCATCCCGCGTAAGTTCGAAATGCTCGATGTTTGAAGCCTCATGGTTCGCCGTATCGTTCCCGTATCGTATTGCGTATTGTCGTACCAGGCTCCGATGTCTCTTTCGGCTCTGCTTCTTCGGAACATCTCCTTTGATCCCATGTCTCCAAATGTTGATATGCCTCTTCGTTATCATAGGAGTTTCAAATGACGGGGTGGAATGAGAATGATACATGTATTCATCAGTGATCATCTCGCTAGTGGAGTCAAAACAAAAACGCTCAACACAGAAAGAAATATACTCAACACAGCAGGCAACTCATATGAGCTGCCGGCTGGAGTGACACAGCAAACAACACATGCCGTCGACGGTCCACTCCATACATCGCCAGCCTCCTCCCGGGGGATACTCAAACAAGAATCTTTTCCCCCTTCCACCCTCCACCCAACCCATTCATAATAGCATTCGTGCCCCACCACGCTTAAGGTCAGCCGTGGTGGGGCGTTGCAAGGTCGAGGAACGCCGATGAGGGAGGAGCCGCTCTCCTCACCGGCACCTAGATGACAAGATAAGTCAGTAATGAGCTTGAAATGATGCCGAAGTGAAACTGACTGAGATCTAGGAGACAAGTGAATATAAAGTGAAACATACCTTGCATTTGAGTAATCATTGCTTGCCTACGCCTCATCCAGAGCAGTGTCCTCGTCACTATCTCTGGCCTCAATGGCGATATCCTCCACCTCGATCACAGAGGGGACATCCCCCTGGTCCGAGTCTGACCCTTCGGCCTGCTGGGGATCGCGTCCTGCGATGAGGTCGTCCAGCTCGGCCTCCAGGCGCTCGAAGTAACCAGGAGAAAGGGTGCGTGGCTCCTCGTCCTCATGTTCCACCCTCCACTCCCACAGCAGCGCCTCCCCATCGAAATCCCCGAGGATATCGTCGATGGTTTCGTAGTCGGAACCATCTTCTTCCTCCCCGAGGAAGTCGGGGTCATGAGTGGGGATCTCGGGGGCGGTGATCTCGTCGTCGTCGGGGGGAGTTGAAGGGGGTCGAAGTTGTCAGGGCGAGCGGCACGCACCCTGATGCCACCTGCATGACCGAGGGAGTTGTTGGTGGTCCGGGGGGTATTATGGGCCCCACCAGGACGGAAAAGGATGATGCTCTGGGGGACATTGTCCACCCCAGGAGCAACAGGGTTGTTGATCTGGGAGGGTTTTCTCCAGCCAGGGGAGAAGGTGTTGCGGATGGCCCGGGGGACATTTCCCGCGCCAGGACCAAAAATGGTGACGTTCTGGGGGGTGTTGTTGATGCCAGCGCCAGAGGGGTCGCTGGTGGTGTCCCCGCCAGAAGAGAGGTAGGTTTGGTCATTCATCTTGAGCTCCGATGAGAGATACTTGATTTGAAAGTGAATCAAGAAAGCAGATGATATCAGAGCTGGATGAAAGATACTTGAATGAAATGCGAAGAGGAGACGACAAGAGTGAGCTGCGTTTTATAAGAACGCAACCTTTCTGCGTCGTTCGCCCCAACGCGGAAGGCCCCCTCCCAGGCTAAAATCACTCTACTACAATGCCATACTACGACTATTAGGCTTCTCTATTGAAGAATGTTGAAGTATGATGCTATATTTTATATAGATCTATGGCGTCTTGGCGTTCTCGGCATGCCGAACTATATTCCTTGGCACTTCGGTCCGATCATCGGCTGTTCCAAGGCTTTGAGCCCCACTGTTTGGGTCCAGGAGAGAAAAATCGGCTTAAAGAAAAACAGGAGTCCAGATGGTGGCGGGTCTGTTCTTTAAATTGCCGGTCAATCCTCTTTTCGTCATTGCAAAAAGTCCAAGTGTGGTATACTGGATACTTCATATATCACATATATCACCTAGCCCTAGTTCATACTACAGGGATCGACAAACTCAAAAATCCAACCGAGTAATCTGAGCCTCTGCAGTATGTACCCCGGTCGGCAATGAAACAAGCCCCTCTAACATGCAGCAGAGTCAATATCGGATTCATACATACTTCCAAAATGTCAAACATTACACAAACAGCGCGTCGGCTCTTCCGATCGCAAACCCTTTCAGCATTCAGAACATACTCGCCTGCAGCACCCATTGCGCGTCTTCACCAACAAGGCCCAACACGGTCAGCAGTCGTTCACGACCAAGCACTCCCCAGCCAAACAGAAACACCATTCCTTTCTCAGACCCAATTACAATCACCACACCATGAATCAGCCCTCGACACACTAGTTTCCCAAATCCCACTCGTCCAAACCCTCCGCGAAACCCACAGCACCTACAAAGAAACCCGTCCCCATCTCGCAATCCCACCACCCATCAGACAGCACCACTTCGTGGGCGGAAGCTTAACCGGTCCAGGCAAGCTCGCATTCGCACCATACATGTGGCTATCAACCGGCAAGTCCGAAGCACAAGCCGAAAGTGGCGACCAAGCCAGCAACGTTGTCTCAGTATTCCACATCGGTCAGGATCTATGTGGTCACCCTGGCTTTGTGCATGGTGGTCTTCTTACTGTTCTCTTTGATGAGGTGTTTGCACGCTGCGTCTCTGCGGCTTTCCCCAGCGGGCTGGGTATGACGGCTAATCTCAATGTGGATTTCCGGAAGCCGGCGCTTCCTGATCGGATGTATGTGCTGCGCACGAAAACGACTAAGGTTGAGGGTAGGAAGGCTTGGGTTGAGGGGAGTATGACTTATCTTCCTTGGACTTTGCCGCTGTCTGCGGACTCGCATAGCATCGTTTCAGATGCTAGTCTGTTGCGGGAGGATAGTGAAGGTGCCGTAATGGTTGCGGAAGCCAAGGCTTTGTTTATTGAGCCTAAATTTGCGGACGTGAGTTAACCCTTTATTCTATCTGTTTGAAGTGTGGCTAACAGTTTTTACAGTCTATGGTGTCGATTTATTCGAACTAGAGTGTGTTGGAAAGTTGATATATCCCCCATTGTATAGAGTTATAGAGTTATAGATTAGATTCATAGATTATAGACTAGAATAGACTTCTCAATTTCCAAGACCAAACAGTCATTTATGTCTATTGCTTCAATCATTTCAAAGGTGGAATGGGATATTAACCTTGACGCTTAACAAAATCAAACACAACCCTCCCACATATATATTCCCCCTTCCCCATAACCACAACTCGACGAGAGAAGTATCGCTCACCCCCAAACATCTCAAACCCCCAAATCTACAATAATCAGCTTCTAATACCTCAAATAATAAACCACACTCACCTGTTCAGCCGTCCATCCAGACTTAACATTCCTCTCAAAAGTATGTACCCAGACCCCATTGTCAGCCATCGTCGAATCCTCAAGTACAAAACCCGCAGATTTCCCCCATCCGCCTCAATCTCACCTCGCAAGTATCTCTTTATCTCGATATTGTCATTCGCCGTCTGCATCTCAAACCCAGGCCTTAAAACCCCATCTTCATCAGTAACACCATGGACGAATTCACTCTGAGCTTGGACCTGACCGAAGAAGTAATCCTCATGGTCTGATATCTTCCAATCTAGAACACGCTCTTCTTTAGTTGCGGCTAGACCTGCCGTGGCTGTTTGGAGGAAGTTGATGTGTGTGGATGGTTGGGTTGTTTCAGATGTTTGGTATTGGGTGATTTGGATGTATATTGTTGCGAGTTTGAATGCTTTGCGGATTAACCATGGGACTTTTTGCTGTGGATGGTGAGGATTAGTTTGGGGTTTGGTGTAGATATAGAGGGGATTGTTACCAGTTTTAGGATAGGGTCTGTTTCGCTGGAACGATCTTTGTTCTGTAGATAGCAATATGATTAGAACTTAGCATCTTCCAAGGGAGGTGGTATAATTACCAGGACCCAGTGGCCATTGAGGTTTTCGATGGTAATCTCCTGAGGAGCGGCCATAGTATGGGATAGTTTTATCTTATTCAAAGGCAATGCGATGAATATGTATCTTGAGACTTGGTGATGAGTCTTGGTGATCTCGGAGGAATGAGAGAAAGCCACTCTTTAATGGGGCAATTGACCTCTACATCAATAGTGTTTGTGCTACAGTACGTTTGTACAAATGATACCTCAGTACCGGACGTTCTAGCCAGAGGAACTATAAAGCCTACATCGGAAAAACAAAATTCAGTAGAAAGTGATCATTGCTATCTAATACCACTATCATAAGGAACCCCCGCCATGACGCCTTTCGACCCAGATGGCATATGAGAAAGAGAAGAAAGAGAAGAACAGCGAAACAGCCCGTCTGAAAACTTGGGAATTGAGGAACAAAGCAGAAACAGGTCGCATGTCATCGCATCGTGAAGAGTTTCTCGTCCTGGTTGAGAAAGACGGAAGCTAGCAAAAAAAGAGAGAAGAGAGGAGATAGTGAACATTTTGGGAGTGAAAACTTGTCCACGGGTCTAGGAAAGATGGAAAGCTCCTTGGCCTTCCTTGATGGCCACTGAGAGGCGCTTCTTGAGAACGTCCAGGTCGCTATAGTCGGGCAACTTCAGGTAGTTGACGCAAGTCATCACACTGGGGAGATAGTCGTCTGGTGTGTATGGATGTTCGCTTGGGCGGCACACGACAGTGAAGATCGGCGTGAGACTCTTGAAACCTAAATTGATTGTGTTAGTGGGAATTTATACAGTGAAAAATTGGATCAACATACCTCCGATAGGGAGCTTGGGGCTACCAGTGACAAATTGAAGGAAATCTCGGCGTTGCTGGTCGTCCATCTCGCTCATAGTCTGCAGCAGGTTGCGTACACTCCGGCTGTCCATGTTGAACCCGTGATCGGCCTTAATGGAGTCCATTAAGGTCTCGATAGACCAATCCTCCTTCGCTTGTCCGAAAAGCATGACAAGCTCACTGGGAGTGAAAGCTCGAAGGGAAGAGAAGGGGAAGACCTGCGAGAACCCAGCCCGGAAGGCATCCACCTGACGCCGGACACCGCTGCCCAAGGTCATGTCGATTACCCGTTCGATGTAAGTGTCAACATTTTCGATTGTCAGCTGCACCTCGGAGCCGCCAGGGATCAACTCAATAGAAGGATATCCAGGTAGGGTGAAGTCCAAACCCAGGTCGTCGACCTTGGCACCATGGACCGTGATGTTTTGCACGGCCTCGGATTTTTGGGCCGCCGAAAGCGACTTATCTGCCTCAATAGCGTTCTTGGCATTGACAAATTCCTTGAGCATGAGCAAGGACTTCCCAAGGTCGTGGTCAACCAGCTTGACAGTGCCCAGGGATGGTGCCACCGAGGACAGAGTATCCGCGATACGGAAGAAGGCGGGGTTGAACGAAATGTCGATAATCCGAGAGTCAAGCATCGAGCGCGCCACGAACTTTCCTAGCACCTTGAAGATGTTCAATTGCTTCTTGCCGCTGTCTTGGGCTGATTGTTCATCACTCATAGGCGCTGGGAACAGGCCGCGCTTGCCAAATGCGTACTCTGCAGCATCGCTCCCATCCGTGTCTCTCCAAATCTTAAGCTTCTTCTTCGAGAACTCTCTGGAAACAGTAGAGTAGAATTCAAGAGTCGGTCCTAATCCAGTACCAACTTCTTCAAAGTATTCAACCTCAAGAATGCTGGGGGAAGACCCATAGAGCTCCATGACTTTTAATGCAGAATCAAGGATGCGAGAACGAGAGATCCGAACTTTTTGGCGCTGCAGCCGCCCAAGGAATGGGCGATCATCGCGGCGCAGATCCCGTCGGCTGTCCTCGCCACTTTGGGAATTTTGCCATCGCATCATTGCCCGCGAGTAGCCAAATGCAGTTGACTGCAGGAATAGATGTCTTGTCTCGAATGGGAACAAGAAGGAGAAAAGCCTGGCTAGGTCTTCGCTCCAGCTTGGAAGACAATCGCTGGCCACAATCAATGGCTCCTCGAGTTGGCGGTTGATCTTGGCCGTGAGCTTCGTGTTGATGAATTGGGACAAGGGCTCCGAGGTGATAGCGGCAGAATCTTTGGTATCGGTCAAGATATCATCAATCGTTGCGTTCATTTCGTGCAAAACACGAAGTAGACGAATGATGGATGAAGTGGTAGGGTCTTTGTCGAGAGAGGCTGGGATTTCAAGGGTATCACCCTCAGAAGAAGCCTGGGTAGTCGAAGTGAGGGTTGAGGGTTCCGGCGGTGGAGGACCAGGAACGCGCTTGAACGTGATGGTGTGGACTGCCGACCAGACGTTCTTGGCACTACTCTCGTCCAAGTCCTCTCGGTCGTGATGAACACCACGGTAGATAGTTGTCTCATTAGTAACGGGTTTTCCATCTACGAAGAACTCAAGGTGCCAGTCCTGGGGCACTGAGGCCATCGCAGCGGCATAAGATGAGAAGGGGCGCCCGGCAGTGGCGAGCGAGCTGTTGCGCATGCGACTGGGGAGAGCGGCAGGAGTTGAGGATGAAGGTTTGGATGCAGGAGTCCCAACTCGGGTACCATCCTCCTTGCGAGCTGTGACCTTGCCCGAGGATGCCACCTCCATGTTGACTGCCGAGGGGTCGGAAATGTTGTCATTTTCCATATCCTCATCGAGATCATCCACAATGGCGTTGAGTTCTTCATCCTCGTCCTCGTCGGCACCGTCTTCTTCTTCGTCGGTCAGTTGCCTTTCATCTGCGCACTCAAGGGGCTCGTCATCGTGGTCTTCGTCTTCATCCTCTTGAATCCGATTTGATCCATCACGTGAGTGACCAGTCGCGGGATCATAGGCACCATCCGTGGAATCGGCAGAGCCCCCTGTATGACTGGGGAGGTTCATACCAGACCCCGAAGCCAGCTGTTCACGAAGCCGGGACGCATTGGCAATTTGGGAGAGAATCGAGTCCCTAGTTCGTGAGGGGCGAGGCTTTTCCGCCACAGCAATTCGTGGATGAAGGAAGTCATCCAAGGCTTTGAATGTAGCAATGGCATGGATTGACACCATGATGTTGCGGTAAGGACGAGGAACTTCAGACCCTTCCTCGGCAACCAGCTTGAGTCGGAGCTGTTTGCTCAGCATGTAGGCTGCGTTGCTGCGGGTATTCTCCAACGAATTGTGGCTGACGGTGAGGACTTCGAAATGTTCCGTTCTGCTAAGCAGGTCTTGCAACTTGCGGATAAGTACGCTGAAAGGTGTTGTGGCGGTGCTTTGGCTTTGAGCCTTGTCTGAGATTGAAACTCCCATAAACGCCCGCAGGAAGTCGGCTCTAGCATCGCGAATAGAAGGCGCTTGGAAGTTACCAAGAACGGAGAGAAGAATCTGAATAATGCCGGAGTTGAGCAATTCAGAGCTGGTAATACTCTCCAATGCATCCCCATCAAAATACGATGCGAGCTGTTTAAATAGGAGGAGGCCGCCCTCACCGCCACGAGAATAGCGGGACTTAATTTCCAAGGCGAGGGATTTCAGTGCTGTCAATATCCTCAGAGCCTCTGCTCGAACGGTTTCACCATGGCTTGCTTCATATACCTCGAGGAAAGCTTGAGCATCCCGGATAACTAAGTCGTTGAGGGCATTGTCCATCTTTTGTAGACTGCGTGGGCCCGCCATGAAGTCATCCTCGGAATCAGACATGTCCTCATGGTCATCATCCTCGCCATCCTCGTCGTCATAGTCATCGGCTTCATCGTCTTCATCTTCATCCTCTCCGCCAGCGCCTGTCTCTTGGTTGGCGCCGCGCGATGGATCTGTCGTCGTGCTTACATTTGTGGGATCGGATGAATCGATGTTCTCCTGGTCTCCTGACAGGGAGCCTTCAGATAGTTTGATGATCTCGGAGATCACTCCTTCGCGGTGGAATTGATGCTGATAAACATGTTCAAGGCGTTGGAACAGTAACTCAGCGCAGCGTAGAGCCAAAGATACGAGAGAAGGATGGTCCTTCTGGGACAGAATAGCAGCCAAGAATGAAGCATAAGGAACTGTGCGCAGGGCATCTTCAATCAAAGAAGGCTCGAGAATGTGCAGCATCTTCAGCTGTGCAATCAGGACTTTCTGACGGACATGCAGATTGACCGTGCTCGAGTAGGCATCGGTCAAAGTTGGGAACAGAATCATTGCAAAACGCTTAAGCTCGGTCTTGCAGTTGACAAGCAAGGACCGCCTCTCCTCCACTGCCTCTTTAGTTTTGGGCGACCTCAGCCCAATAGACATCTGGCTATCAAAGTATGAGCTTAGCAGGTTGTCAGTCTTTGAGGCATCCCGGCTTGGAACACCTGGCAGTAGCTCGCAGATGACATTAAGAGTTTCAAATACTTGTTCACGGGGCCTGTGAATCAATGCTTGCATAACTAGCACGCTGTCCATCTTGACGGCCGTGTTATCGACATCCTGTGGTGGTGACACGCCGGTCAAAATCTGGTAAAGTGTATCCACTACATCCATCTTGAGAAGCTCGTTTGACAGCCGTGGGCTTGTTTTCGATATGATCGCCAATACCCTGAGGAATTGCGTGTGAATATGAGGCCCAATCAGATTGGTCGTTCCTGGCAGTAGGAGCCGAAGAACAGCTTTGAGCATTGCAGGCTCAATTAGCTCCTCCAGGTTCTCAGGTCTGTGCTTGAAGCTCTCGACAATCCGTGATACACAGAGGCACCCTTGCTCCACGACCTTAGGGTCATTGCTAGACAGGACGTTCAGTAGGGTGGGCATTACATCCCGCACCACAGGGAACGAGTCATGGGGGAGGTTACGACAGCAGTTGGCGGCCGTACTGACTGCTGTGCGTTGAGTGCTAGTTGGGAAGAAATCCAGATATGTGAGGCAAGCAGTCAGTCCACCTTCTCGCACAATTGAGGCTGGGAAATCAACTGAAATCTTGGCCAAAGTACTCAAAGCCTGCTCAGCCAGATCGATGAACTGTATATCAAGAAGCTTTTGACAAAGGATAGGCACAGCACCACCATATACAACATTTGCCACGGACCCCCGTAGGGCCTCCATTAGGTTCGCGAGAGAACGACATGCAAGAAGCATAATCTCGGGATTCTCTTCGCCGAACTGGTTCGGTTGCATCAGGGCCACGAGCTCTTTCACGTACGGGTCGGGTGAAAATTGACCAGACAGGTTATCCTCGTTCGAAACAAGCAAGAGATCCGACAGCTCTTGCAGGGCGATCAGTTGGAGTGATGGATCATCCTTTGCTCTCAAGTTGCAGAGGATATCTCGAAGACGCGAGGACATGCCGCTCATCATGCCAGTAAGCGCACGTAGAGTGCTCTGGAGTCCCATGGGGCCTCGGCCACCGAACAGGCTGCTGTGGAACGGATCCATGTCATCATCTCCAAACGCTGAGGGATTGGTGCCATCATTGCTCTCTCCCGTTTGGGATCCCTGATGTTCTTCCTGATGTTCTTCCTGCTCGATTTCCTCCTCTGCATCTTTCATCACAACATCGGGATTCGGCTTGGCGGAACGCTTCTTCGAGCGTCGGGGTGGTGGAGACTGTGTTGTCGCGGGTCGGTCTATAAATAAGCAAAAGGAATTAGCAACCATCCTATTTAGATACCAATTTGTATCACACTGCCGAATCTCAATCTATGAAACTCACCGTTCCGACTGGACTTTCGCCTTGATGGTTGTGGAGAGGTTGTCGATTTGGATGATTCCTCCGACGGTCGAGATGACGGTCTAGATAAGAAGATCAAGTTAGCCATCGACTCCTCTTCGTCATTATGATTCACCACCTACCCCGGTTGTGACATGGCTGGACGGGTACGGGCGCCTCGACGGGGTGCAGCAGGAACAGGACCAGTGGATGGAGCTGTTTGGGATGCTGCAGTCCGTGGTCGCTTGGTTTTCCTTTGGGGCGACGGCGGTGCTGGCTGTATCGGGGCGTCTGTTTGTCGGTCGTGTCGGGAAGATGCTTTGCGTTTCCGGGAGGAGGTTGAGCCTGTTGTTTGTAGCGGTGTATCGGACTCAGCAGGTGGAGGGTCTGTGGCGAGTCTCGCGGAGGAGCGAGTTATTCTGGATGACATGAGAAAGTGTTCTTTTGTTTTATTATGTGTGACGAAATTAAAGCCCGAAGAAAGAGAAAGACAGAAAAAGAAGACCGGGGTGGTCAAAGCGATAAGCAAATAGTTGGGTAGACAGATGACGAATCTAATGTAGAAGCGATGGTGAACCGTGAATGATCCACTTCACAGCCCAGGGGATAAACGGGGTAGGGCTCAGGGATCAGCAGATGCTCGCCAGTATCCACGAAAGGTGAGTCTAAACTTCCAGGCGACCAGTGTAAAGGCGGAGAGAACGGGTGGGAAACTACCTCAAGGAAGAAGAGGCCGTAGAAGTGCCTGCGGGGGAGACGGGATAATCCTCGAGAGGGTCCTGGCGGTTGGCGGAAGGCCTTTGCCTGGCCATAAGTTATCGGGTATGGGAAGCTCGATTGAGTATTCGCCGTTTTTAACCCGCCATCCGCAAACCTGTCAAAGGCTAGCCGAAAGGGCTGGCGAGGGCGTTCGGGTAGCTGTTATCGTTGCCGTCGGGGCTCTGAGATTCACCTCAAAAAAAGAATGAGATACCAATGCTAGTCACACAGAAGATTAATTTTTTTCCGATGGTGGGTTGAAAAGGAAGAAAAGGATAAATTGGAAAGGAGGAGGGTTTGACGTAGTGGTTGTAATGGGATTCGGGGAGCGTCAGGCGGCGGAAGTGCAATATTTCAATGATCTAACCAGATACATAAGTATACTTATATACGAACTATATATTACCTATACTTAATACATCCATGGATACTATGCTCACCTATGCTTGATTGCACATTCTATTTCTTTATTTCCCGGCATTTACATCTAGCCTGACATTGGGCACGGAGGGCCCAAGACCTGTCCGACAGTACAAGTGGCAATAAATATCTCAAGGGATCCTTTTATATATTTTATGAGATTGTATTTGATCTATATGGTCCAATTACTTGAATACAACCAAAGACATAGAACCATTTCTCCGTTTTTCATGTATATATAGTACTCAATGAAACCGCCGAGAACTACTAAGGTATGTATAAAATAAGGACCTTGAGAGCTAAGAGAACTCTAATAAATACCGTTAACTCCCTTATATATTCCTTACCTCGGAAATGAAATATAAGCGGCGTTCGACCCGGACGGAGGCACGCCGAATAGAACTCGATTGACTCACCGAGGTAGTGATCTTATTAATCACATTTAAGGAAACTGGGATCTGCCTATTCAGAGAAAAAAAGAAAACACGAAAAAAAAGGAAACATACAAAGATTTTCACCTTTCACCTTTCACCTTCACCTCCGTTCGCTCTTTCCCGGCGTATTCTCTTGCCGCCTTCGGTTCGCCCCCCCGCCATTGCATTCGCAGAACTTCATCTCTGCACTTCTCACCACCCCCGCCTTTCCCCGAGCCCTTTCGCTTTCCCCGGAATTCAAAGATCGGGAACATCTATTCTTCAACGTATCTATCATGGCAATCGAAATGGTCGGCGGGCAGAGCGATGATGTTCACCAGGTACCCGCCGACATCACCCCCGCTCTGATGCAGGACTACACCTTCCCGGAGTTGCGCCTCAAGCGGACGATGAGTGACCCAGAAAAGACCCCTCTCTTGCTAGTTGCCTGTGGTTCCTTCTCGCCAATTACCTATTTACACCTGCGGATGTTCGAGATGGCGGCCGATCACGTCAGATTCAGCACCGACTTCGAACTTCTTGGAGGATATCTGTCGCCGGTGTCGGACGCCTATCGGAAGGCCGGTCTGGCCAGTGCGGAGCATCGGTAAGGGATCCTACATCAATTATATCTGGTTTAGTTCCCGAATGCTAACTGGCATTGATCTATAGGGTTGCGATGTGCCAACTTGCAGTCGATCAAACCTCAGACTGGTTGATGGTGGACACATGGGAGCCGACCCAGAAGGCTTATCAGCCCACCGCCGTGGTACTGGACCACTTCTATCATGAAATTAATGTAGTCCGTGGCGGAGTAGACACCGGGAACGGAACCCGGAAGCCCGTTCGCATTGCTCTGCTAGCTGGCGCCGATCTGATTCATACCATGTCCACCCCAGGTGTATGGAGTGAGAAGGATCTGGATCACATTCTAGGCAAATATGGCGTAAGTTACTTCGAACATCGGTTTCATCCCGCGCCCGAGAACCAGGCTAACACACTTTCAGTCTTTCATTGTGGAGCGCAGTGGCACAGATATTGATGAAGCCCTAGCCAGCTTGCAGCCCTGGAAGGACAACATCCATGTTATCCAACAGCTCATACAGAATGATGTTAGCAGCACAAAGATTCGACTCTTCTTGCGGCGTGAGATGAGTGTGCGCTACCTCATCCCAGTTCCAGTCATTCATTACATTGAGCAGCATCATCTCTACGAGGATGATGGTACGGCAGAGAAGGGCAAAGAAAGGCAGGAAGGTCGATCAGGATGATACGACCTACTACTGCCTGTTGAGGCATACTCATAATGACCCCTAGCGACGCGACATCCTGATGCGATACCCCTGCCTTCTGTCATTTCCTGTGCGACAGAAGATTTTTTTTTTTTTGTTGGAGTTTGTGGAGTACTTTTGAGTTCTAAACATGTTAGCCTTTCCGCTTGCTCGAAGCTATGACCGGGAGAGTCTTGCAATTATCCCCGCGGCCAACCGCATGTACATACTACTATCTTCGGGCTTGCTTTTTTTTTTTTTGGTGCTATACCCACTGTACATATGAGGACTCAATAGAACTCTTGGGTTAGAGCTCAATATCTCAGAATCTGTTGAAACTGGTATATTCTCTTATGTCCTATGCCTCGGCCTCGGATATACTCAAATAGGCAAGTAGATCGCGTCCACATTCACCATTATAACATAGGATGACACCATATTGATAGACGGGGTAATGTATATTAGCATAATATCAAAGTCAGAAAAGGAGTATTATGGTTATAAATCAAATTGCCCCTCAAAGAAGACTCCGAAACAGGTAATTCCCCGTCTTACCTCTGGGCAAGAAAACACCGATCCGGATCGCCCACTTATCATCTTCCGTTATCGACTGATCTTTGATCTCGGCCTCCGCGAATCAACCGGCGCCAGGCGTGCGCAGAAAACAATTTCGCCCATAAAAACCCCTACTTCCAATCACTATGCTATAGACATTGAGAAATATCCGCAATGACAATTTTCGAACCCCACGGCCACCCCTCATGGCCTCTCACCCCTCCTAATTCCTCCGATCCACCAGCACCGAAAGACGTCTCGTCAGTGGTCACAGCAATCCATGTGATCTCAACCGAGCGAGCAGCTCTCGCTCACCTCGAGCACATTTACCAGACCGATGCGCGAGCGCAGCATGATCTCGCCCGGGCCGTGGATCAGATTGCGCGGAGCGTGCGCGAGGGTGGGAAACTCGTCGTTTGCGGGGTCGGGAAAAGTGGAAAGGTCGGACGCAAAATAGAGGCTACAATGAATAGTCTGGGTGTATACAGCGCGTTCCTGCATCCGACTGAAGCGTTGCATGGCGATCTGGGATTGGTTCGGCCGGTAAGCCCACCTGCGCCTGCGTCTGCACATGTCTGCTTTGAAATCCCGCTGCGCTTTTGATAAGAGATACTGGAGAACTTCCATACTGACCTGGTTTATCCAGAATGATACGATTCTTCTTATATCCTTCTCGGGTCGCTCGCCTGAACTTTTATCTCTGCTCCCGCATCTTCCCGCTACTGTCCCGGTGATCGCTCTTACATCCCATACACATCCAGCGACATGTCCGCTTCTGGCGTTGCATGGTCCTGCGGGGATGGGTATTCTTTTACCGGCGCCGATTCATGAGGATGAAGAGTCTTCTTTCGGTGTGAGCGCGCCCACCTCGTCCACGACGGTGGCTTTGTCGCTGGGCGATGCGCTGGCCATTGCTACTGCCCGGAAGCTGCACACTGCGACAGGGAAGAGCCCTGCAGAGGTATTTCGGGGGTTCCATCCTGGTGGTGCCATTGGAGCGGCGGCGGCGGCAGAGACACCGCTGCCCACGCCGTCGAGTGGCATGTCAGCGAGGACATTTGACTCTCCAACGTCCATGTCTCTTCCGTGGGAGGAAATCACGAATACTCCGTTGATCCCTCCTTTCAATTTACAGTCGCCACCGGAACAGCGCGTCATTTCTCGAGATATGCTGGTCCCGCTCGATAAAATTCCCACTGTCTCTGCATCTTCATCGCAGTCATCTGACGATGTCCGACTTCTCGATATCCTTCTCACAGCCATCCAACACCCCAATGCCAAATCATGGGTGTTGCTGTCTCCGTCTGAAATAATTCCCCCGAGGCGCATTCGTGCTCTCCTTTCTCCCGGTGGAGATATGGACATGCGTGTGTCGGAGGTGATAGCCAAGAACAGCAATCCTCTATTCGTTGTACCTCAAAATAAGTGGCTATTGGTGCCGGACGCAACGCCTCTCGCTGAAATCCGGCGTATTGTTTCTGAATCTCGAAATGGATCAGATCCAGTCTCTGTCATTGCCGTTGTGAAGGATATGACCTCTCCCGGCAGTATCATAGGGGTGATGGAGGTAGAGGATCTATCGGATGGATGACATGGCTAAAAAATGACCTAGTCTTCTTTTCTCTTTCTTGGATATACTCACTTGATTTTACATATCGTTTGCATTATCCTGCATCCGGTTGACGATGTTACGCCCACATAGCTTTGTTTCACTTTGCATACATACTTTATTTAGATGCACATTTACAATCGAAGCCCGGGCCTTACAGCCAAGGCTGTTCATAAAAGATATAAATCAACGCCAATGATATTTCTCATGGTAATACAATCAGTATGCAAAGTCCCAGGTCTATATAGTACATAACACATCTCCACACACAACACAGCAACCCTCCGAAATCAAGCCTTAACAATCGGCTTAATACCCTTATGGATAGCAGCAATACCACCGGTAAGGTTCTCAAAGCCTTGACCAGGAATCAAAAACCCAGCCTTCTGAATCATACCCCTAAACTCCTCCTGACTGGGGAAGCGCTCAATACTCTCAACAAGATACTGATAGCTATCACGGTCACCAGCAACAACCTGACCAATAAGCGGGATAGCACTAAAGTTCCAACGCTTATAAATTCCATCCAGAACGGGGTTATCGACCTTACTGAACTCCATGCAAGCAAAGACACCACCGGGCTTAAGCACACGGTACGCCTCATTCAGCGCAGCCTGCTTATCCGTGAAGTTCCGGATTCCAAAAACAACAGTGTACAAATCAACCGAGGCGTCGGGGATATGCGGCATGTGCTCAGCGTTCGCCTCGACAAAGTCCAGTCGCGACGTGTTGTAGTACGGCGTGTCGAGCGAGCGCTTGCGGCCCTCAGCCAGCATATCAGCATTGATATCGCTGATCGTCACGCGGGTCTCCATGTCGTGGTTGACGTTCGTGGCGTGGTCGAGCATGCGGAACGCGATGTCACCGGTCCCGCCGGCGATGTCCAGGATGTTCCAGCCGCGCTGGTCGGCGGTCATGGCGGGGAGACAGGAGCCTGGGTTCAGGGATCGCACGAAGTGGTCTTTCCACAGGCGGTGGATGCCGAGGGACATTAGGTCGTTCATGCGGTCGTAGGAGGCTGCTACGGAGCTGAAGACGGCGCCGACTGTAGGGGGTGTGGTTAGTTATGGGGTTCGGAATTGGTTGGATTGGGTGATGGTGATCCTTACCTCGCGTCTCCTTCTCTGACTCCGGGACATTGGTGAAGCCGAAGTGTGTCATGCGGTCAGCTGGCTTCTGCTCCTGGGCGCGGTTGGCACAGGAGAAACAGCGGTAGGGGGTGGTGGGTTGGACAGCGCGACGCTTGGCGCTGTAGTGCAAAGCTCGCCATGCGGAGCGAGTTGACATGGTGGACATGGTGGAATTGATGTTGTTTGTAAGTCTGGAGAAGCTTGAACCGGGCAACTTTTCTTTTCCACTTCCGGTCCCCACCGGTGCGTGCCCTTAAACATCACCCGACCAATCAGAGCGTCTCGTTATGAGAGGTACAACTCTTATAGTCTATTTCTTATATACTTATTTGGATGGAGAATAAGAGAAATTTCAATTTACAATTGAAGTATATTTGATTTTCCTTTCTCTCCAACTATGTTTGCCGACTGCGATGAGAATCGATAACTAGGTTGTTCCGCTGGACAGCTCCTACATCGTATAACAACCCTTTCGAGGTTGGATCTCCCAAATAGAACCCATAAGATGATTTATGCTGCGGCCATGGAGGAGGAAGTTAAGGAAGGAAATGGGTCTGCTGTTTCGGGGAATATTTTGTCCTCATAGGCTCTAGGGTCTGGAATAGCAAATATCAAACGATGGGAGTATGATTCCATGAAGAATAAGATAGATGTATATATACAAACAAAGCACCGAATATAGAGACAATTACCACATTTTTTCCCATACTCGCCGGACCCAATGCATATTAGCCAGCTCCTCCTTCCGGCGTTCAGCCCAGCCACCTTCTTCCCAGATCTTGCACTCTTCATCGATTTCCGCCTTTCCAGAGTACAAATCTGCCTCTGCAACCTTCACAAAGGAACTCCGATGATAAACCTTCCAGAAGACAAACATGATAACCCAGAACGCCAGACCGAAATACGAGGTGATGAAGCCTTGCACACTGAAAGGCTTAAAGACAGAGAAGCCATTGAAGACAGCAGTCAAGCAGCCGATAACGATAGCAAGAATGGCACCGTATGGCTGGAACGGGGCAACCCAAGGGACGAACGTCTTGCGGTCAATTCCTTGCGCTTTCATGGCGCGATACCAGGCGATGAAGACGCAGACCATGCCCGTGTAGGTGAGCACGAAGGCGATGGTGGTCAGATCGACGAACCAGAAGAAGACCTCGACGGAAGAGGTACTAGCCACGAGGAAAGTAATGCAAGACAAAACCGATACCGTGATGACACAGTTGATAGGGATTCCGGATGCAGTACATTTCAAAAGAAACTTCGGCGCTTGGCCATCGCGAGCGAGAGAGTAGAGGGTTCGACTGGAGCTGTAGAGGTACGCGTTGCCACATGACCAGCCCGACAGCAAGATCAGGAAGTTGATGAGATCGGGTAGGCCTTTGATACCGAGATTCTCGATTCCGATGACCCAAGGTGAAGCAGCGGAGCCAGCAGCACCATCACTAATCGCGGACATGAGACGTGGGTCGCGTGGACTGCAGATGATTCCTACAGCCAGGACTCCGACAACGTAGAATCCCACAATACGCCAAAAAGTCATCTTCGCAACTCGGGGGATGGTCACTCGTGGGTTCTGGATTTCTCCTGCGGCTAGGGCTGGGAGATCGGGTCCAGCTACGGAGAAGGCTGCATAGACCATGACGGAGAAGAAGCCTAAGAATCGGCCCGTGGTGCCCTCGGTATAGTACTCGAACATGACGCCTTCGGTCCAATTCCGGAAGCCATAGACGTCGTGCTTGGGGTTTCCGCCAACCATTGTGATGAAGGTGAGGAGGACGAGACCGATGAGGAGAAGGATTTTGGTCGATGCTAGGACGAACTCGCTCTCGCCGTACCATTTCACGGAGACGAGGTTAAGCGCCGTGCAGACGATCAATGCCATGGCTACCCAGACGGCCGGGTTGACGCTTGTGTTCCAGTATTGCATGATTGTTGAGACTGCAGAGTACTCCGTACAGACTAGCATTACACCGCCGTAAAAATATACCCAGCCCCTGGAAGAGTTAGTATCAGCACCATAAAGCAAAGCAAAATAGGGCATGGAAGAACTTACATAGCAAACCCAAATGCCGGGTCAATAAACCTGGCAGCAAGCTCAAAGATCGACCCACGAATAGGAAGGTATGCAGCCATTTCTCCAACACACAGATTGACAGGCAGGATAAAGAGACATCCCCAAACAAGATACCCCAGAAACACCGACAGCGGACCAGCATCCCGCAGGTAAGATCCAATACCGACGAAAAGACCAGTACCGATCGAGCCTCCAATGGCCATCAATTGCACATGTCGAGATGTCAGACCGCGCTTTGTCTGCCGGATAGGTAAAACATCGCCTGAGCTAGTATCATCCGGGACGGAAACGTCTATAGAATCTTTCTTCTCCATGACGAAATATTAGTTGAGCCTGGAATGAGTCCATTGCAAGAGGCGGGAACATGACTCTTTATAAGCGCACTGACGAGTGCGGAGAGAGACGCTAAGAATGTAGATAGACGGCATACATGTCATGCTAAACATAGCTGCCAAGAATGTGTCTCGATACACGAGAACCCGTAGACCACTGATAAGAGAGATACTAGGGTCAGAGAGTCTATCGGGACCATCCCGAAAGGGGGAGGAGAAGGCGATGCTAAGGACGATCTGCCAAGTGATAAGCTTATCAGGTATTAACTGCCCAGTAACTAGGTAATTGGCCAAGGGTCATAGCTTAATTGACCTTAACAAACTAATTTTGATAAGGAGCCCATTTTAATGCCTCAGGCGGACTCACAATTTGCGGGGTAAAAACTCTTAGTCAAAACTTGATATCGGAAGTTGGCCGAGTATCAAAAACCTTCAGAGCTTTAAAACTGTAGTCTTATCTTATAACCCCTATAATCCTCTTGATTCCATTCACTGTTGAACTACAGAATAAAATTATATATGATGTTCTCACTCAGCTTTGAGAGAGCTGAAGTAGAGCTGAATCCAATATGGCTATCCCCGCATTTTGACGGATAAGCCGGGGGGCTTGCCCGCTGGGCCCCGGCCCGGTGCCATTTCAGTTTTCCTACAAAGTCAAGCCCTATGATAGGCAGGACCTTCCTTATTCTTTATAGTGAATTGAGGTATATACCGGTTCAAGTTGTAGGTTTGTGGTAGAACTGTGATTTCGAGAATGTAAAAAGTGCTACAGGAATGCCCTCAATTATAAAAGTGGGCAAAAATGAGTATAAACAGCCTCCCGTGGTCCGTCCCCACAACTCCACTCAATATAAATAGATTATATTGAGCATTGCGGAGAAGTCCAAGGAGGGTGTCTCAAGAGGCCCATGAGTAATAACAGACAGAGATAGTAACTAAATGTCCGAGGGTTGGAGATTGACGCCCGTGTGGGATATGGTGGCTGAAACGCACGGAAGTATACCAAGGCCCAGACCAAGATTGATAATTGAACCTGAAAACGAACGTGTGAAACACATATGAAATCCACAAACATAGATAGGACAAAGAGCAATAAATACCACAATTCGTAAGTTCAGCTCAAATACCGCCAGAGATATAAATATAAACAGATGATTAAATACAATTACTCTACTCTATGGAACCATTAAACACACAACCTCCAACTCCCACCTACCAATCACCAAACGAATTATTCAAACGCCAGTGGAAGAAAACCCTCCGTATGAGCCCCATCCAACGGCCACGGCCAATCCGACAACAACTCCGGCGGCAGCTGGAACTGCATCATCTGCTCGCCCATTGCCGTCGGCGGACCGACTGCCGGGACTGGCCCACTGCGAGGAATATATGTTGTGGGTGGGATCGGGACTTCGCGTTTAGCATCGATGGGAGTTGTGTTATGTTGAGGACGCAGGTGTGGCGCCGTGAGATTGAGTAAACGGGAGGTGCGCATGTAGCCGTCTATTCTGTCTACCTGCGACCGGAGTCGTTGGCTGGCGCCGGCGGCGCGCTGGAGACCTGTCTCGAGGCGGCTGAGGAGGTCGGCCATTTCGAGTCTGGGGGAGGTTAGTGGTTGAGGTGGTTGGTTTGGGATGGACGAAAGAATTACAGTAATGTGCGGACGCGTTGGTAGGATGCTTCTGATAAACTTCCTTCCATTACAGAGCCGAGGATATAGCCGATTCCACCAAGGTGATGAAGCTGTGATGGGTTAGTAAAAGAGATTTAGAAAAGCAGTGTTGATGGACATACTAAAGGGGAGCTGATGGCATTCAGATACTCCACGGGAACTTTACTGAAGACGCTGAGAAGTTCTCCCGCCACGTCACATTTGCGGTCTACGCCAAGCTCTTCCGCCGACAAGAGCACCATCCGGAGGAGCTGCAGTGTTGCCTGGATGTTGGCAGACTGGAACCCGAATAGATCCTTGGCCATGTCGCCTGTAGTCGGTGGGGTTTCTTTAAATTGTGATGGCAGCGCAGCGTACATGGATAATACCCGCTCCATGACTGCTGGTTCTGACATGGACGCTGGGGTGAACAGAGACCACACCTGTGAGGTTCCGTTCGCTGATGAGAAACGACGCCGATTTCCATCGACAACGTATTCAAGAATTCGATACAGATCGGTGGTAAAGTTCCAGCCCCGGAGCCATGCTACGGGCTGCCGTGATACGACATTCACATCATCCGGGTTGAGGACGCCCGAGTGTGGAGATACGGGCGGTAGCCCATAACCATGTGGTGTGATGAACTCATCGTCAATTTCGCTCGGATATCGCACTAGAGAATGTGCTTCGCGATATCGAATCACGCCTCCCCATACGATGGTGGAATAAATGTCCAACGTATAGATAGACCAGAACTTTAGACCTATGAGTTAGTGGAAAGTGCAACGATAAGATGAAGGACTGCGTACTAGTCTTCTCCGCTCTTCGGTTTCGATAGGACTTAAGTTTTTTGGCCAAAGCTTTTCATCATGAAGGCCCTCCATGCTGGTGAGAGTATGATACATGCCGGAGTATTTTTGCATATTCTTGATCTGGCCGTTTTGGATGCTCGCAATTGCGAGAATAGCGCATGCACGCATATAGTTAATACCCCTTGCCGCTGCAAGATCTCGGGGAATAGAATCCTTGGCCGCGGCATAAAATGCCTCGGATGGGGGTTCGGCAAGTTCATCGCGATGCCACCTATTAGTGAACAGCGCGCCGTCTCGCGCCCGCCCAGATACTAATGCGCAAACGGCCATTGTTGAGGCAAACAACCCCGGATTTCGGAGGTGCTCTTGGTTATGAACTCTCTCAATGAAAGATTGCTTGTGAAAAAGCGGAAAACTGAAAATCTATTAGCCATTGAAAAGGACAAGGACAACAATAAGATCGCTTCGTACATTGGATACACAATCTCGAAATATACTTGCACAAGATTTCGGATTTGACGATCACTGGCAATGGCAAATGCATTCCATGAGTTTCGCAACGCGCCATCGTCATCATACCCTTCCGTTGCCACGCTGCCAGCATGGAAGGTAGACCATGGATCTCCAGTCAATGACGGGCGGTGGGCCGACTCGGGGTAATATGAGCTCCTAGACGCAGAGGAATTTGACATTCTCCCTGTAGCCTGCGAAGCAAGCGGTACAGGGAGGATGTTCTCTGGGACAGGCGTTTTTGCCAATGGCGTCTCTCGCATAGAAGCCCTGGTGCCAGCCTTGACGCCCCGGCGCTTTGCGGGGCGATCAAAGGTGCACGGGACGTCAAAATCCGCACAATTCTGACATCTGCCTAGCGGGTCTTCACTTCTGCCGCACTTTATGCTGCGTCTGTTGCAGAAGTCGCCTGTGGATGCAACATGAGCTGGGAACTTAGTGCAATCCGGGGGGAGAATTGCCAAGCGCAAGTGGAGCATAAAATTGAACGTGGGGATCTTACAGGCTTTGGAGACGCGTTGGAGTTTTCGGGGTTTTTGCGACATTCAATTCATTAGCTCATTCCTCGGAGAACTGTGGTCTCAGGCGCAAAGAAGCGGTAGCCAATTCGTGGGCCCCGGGCTTTGGGAAAAACGGGGTTCGGGGTCAGAGACACGGGTCGCCGTTGGGGAAATCCTGGGGTAAAGCTGTGCAGAATGGGGTAAAGACACGCAAAAAAAATGACGATCAAACTCAAGCAATTTTCTCCGACATCGATGCGCAATTGAACTTGAGTCCGAAGATAAAAGTCGGCAGAGTTGCAAGCCACAGAAGCTGAGTCAGCAACGTGTCATTAGGTTCTTGACGGGATCGAATGTAGTGGAGATTTGGATGATCATTGGAGATAAGAGTATATTGTATATAGAATGTTGTAGATTTTGATTTGCATAAATTTGAAAATATTGAAAGGCATTCAATGTTTCCGATGGTCATAGATCCTTGACGATCAAATTCTATATATAAGTTTACGACTACAAGGGGCACTACTAGACTAAAGAGGAAAGTGAAAAATAAGGAAATATAGTGTGAATATAATCTATATATATTACATCAGGTATGGGTAAACAACTTTACATGCTTGTATACATGTGTTAAGTCGAGGGTGTAACATAATTAACTCGCTCTATATGGTGTAATATGAATAACCGGTGCTTTAGACAGCTGCAAGTTTAGCTGGAGAAGTTGTCAGCTCGGCACTCAGTTCTGTCTTGCTACCAAGAGCTTCGCTCCTGTTGACGCCGTGCTCGGTGAGGACATCACCATGGAGCTTATAGGCCTGTTCCATCTTCCAATAAAATGGACTGGAGGTCGAGAAAAGAGCGTCAATCGACTCAAGAGACCGGTTGCGAGTTTCTGGATAGACTGTGAAGATGATCACGTTAGATCCACACAGGAACAAATTAAACTTCAAAAACATACATAGATAGACGATCGGGATCCAGATGAGGTTAAGGCCAGCAAACAAAAAGTATGTACGGCTCTAAAAAGACATCAGTATCTCTATTGAAGTTAGAAAGTCGAGGCAACTTACAGTCATAACATCAAACATGATAGGGTTGACTAAAGTGGTCATACCCACTCCAATGGCCCACCCGGTGATTCCGAATCCATTTCCTTGAGCTCGCAGATCACTAGGGAAGATCTCAGTGGGGACCAAGAAAGCAACCGTGCCCCAAGTGGCGGCGTAACTAGTTGCCATTTAGTATAAGAGAAAATGTCGTAATTTCATGCGGACTGACCCCAAGTTGAACAAAAAGAGCATAGTCACAGCACCAGGCGCATATTGAGATGCCTTTTCAGGGTGATGCAGCGAGCCTTCATAAACAGCTCCGGCCTATAAAATTGTCAGGAGAAAGCACTTCGTCCCGCAAAAGTAAAACCCACAATAAGGTTGACTGCGAATAAGACAGCTGCTCCGCCCATCAAACAAACCCGTCGGCCTAAGCGGTCAATAATTTGAGCACTGATAATATTACCTATAATTCCAATCGTGTTAATTCCCCCAGCAAGACCGTTTTGCTTTATATCACCATAACCGGCCTGAGCAAGCAGTGTCGGGGAATATGCAGTAACAGCCTAAAATCACTATTAGTATATGACTGTTCAAGGGACTGGTTAAAAATCCGTTACTCACCGTAATACCCGTCCAGGACGCCATAATTTGAAGCCAAACACACAACCAAGCTCGTCGGCCGAGATTCAGCCCCGGTTTCCCACCCTTTCCAAATAAGATCTTCACAAACTCAATGGGCGAGCTGCGCTTACTTCCACGCGCAATCGTTATAATCTCGAGATATTCTTGGTCGATATCGTCTTGGGAGGCCCGGTCTTTGCGAATACGGTTCAAAATATCTCGAGCTTCATCATTCCGCCCCACAGAGGCCAAATAGCGGGGGCTATCCGGCAACATTTTTATGAAGGCAACTAGAATAATTGCCGGGAAGCACTGGAATGCGAGAAGGAAGCGCCATCGTACGTCCGAGTAACCGTTATCGAGGAAAGCGAGGCCGAAGGAGATCCAGTATGCGACGGAGATTCCTAGATCTTAAAATTGATCCATGTCAGAAATAGTCCCCACAAGTGGATATCGCGAATTGACGACTCACAATTTGCAATAAAAACATATCCTAGGAAGCCACCTCGATGGTCCGCGGAAGAAGTTTCCGACACTAACACTGGGGTAATGCCAGTCAAGGCTGTGCGGCGAATTAGATTAATAGCTCCTTCCAGACCCCCAAACTAAGGCAAGAATAGCAAGGATCTCACCCCCGGTCCCGATCCCCGTGACCACTCTGGCACACAGCATGAAGTTCGAATCCTGCGCACCCGCCTGCAGGGCGCCCCCGACCAATGCAAATAATGATCCAGCGAGTAGGCCGTTGATCCGACCAACTCGATCTGCAAGCCACCCGCCGGCAAAACAACCGAATATCGCGCCTAGGTAATAGATGCTGACGATGCCACCCTGGTGGGTGGTGTTGGTGACTGTCCCATCGGGTTTGCCGATGCCAACCTCTGTCACATATTTCGGTGAGCTGTTAACGCCACCCATCACACCCTGGTCATATCCCTCGAAGAAAATCGAGATTAGCGAAAATATGTGGATGGCAGCATTCAGCTGACGCGGCGAAAGTCGTTTCCATAGTGTGGTATAGGCCATGATGGATGATAAAGATGTTCCCCAGATCGCGAGCGAAAAGGAGGGAATTTTGAGAGTTTTGTTGCTATGGGACCCGCCCCCCGGCGTTTCTTTGTTTGAAAGATCTGATGGCTAAGCTTGATAAGCCTGGAGGGCACAATGGAGTTCATGCGGGGGGGCCCAAGTCCGTGTACGGCAGGCTTTTATGTCCATCACAACCTACAGCTCTTAGAAGAATGAGATTATTTCTCAATTTTCAATATTTCATGAGCTAGCGCTGCTACAAAAACCAATTTGTTATCATCTTTCTATCAGTCTTTTTTGGGGTCTTTTAGAATATAACCCCCAACTATCCCTAAATATTGTTAGTGAGGACACCTTTGATACGAGCTATGTATTTCTATACTTAATATGAATGTTGAGGGCAGCTGCTTAACCGGCGAAAAAACCCGGTTGGCGTGATGGACACAAAAACCTGCCGTACGCGCGTAGCCATTTAACATTTGTTTTTAATAGGCGTTTTGCCGGTATCCCTTCCTCCCCTTGTTCATTTGATCTATCAGAAAGAGAATCCCGTAGCGGTTTTTCGGTCTCCACCAGGCTCATCATGGATGTCGGTTGATAGAACCGAGTTGGTTAAATAGGGTCTTGACCCTCAGGCGTTTAGTTTTCTTTTTCCGAAGTTGTTTCATACATAGTTCTGCGTTTTACAATTTGCAATTTGGAATCAAACATGTCACCCAACTCCCTTAATGGCACTAGCCATAGTCTAGACATCACAGTGTTGGGTTTGAATAGCGGAACATCCATGGTGGGTGGCTGTCTCTTCACTTGAGAAACACCAGACTCATCAACTACAGGATGGTATTGACTGCGCCCTTTGCCGATTCCGCCAGGAGACCCCCGAATCACCTATGCACTTCGAACTACTGAAGGCAAGTACCTCCGAGAATGCTCCACAGGTTACAACAATACTGACCAATTATGCAGTACGGGGAGATTCCACTTGAGCCGGTAATCAAAAAGCGAGTCATGCAAATGATCCTGCTCAATAAGACCTCCCCTTCGGAGTTGTCTGAAGTAAACGTGATCCTAGGCGAGACCTTCGCCTCGGCCGTGCATCAGTTCTGTAAGGACCACGATTTGGATATCAAATCGATTGATGTCCTCGGATCTCACGGACAAACAATCTGGCTACTCTCCATGCCAGAGGCCGGCGAGACTCGCAGCGCTCTGACGATGGCCGAAGGCACATTCCTAGCCTCGCGCACGGGCATCACCTCCGTCACCGACTTCCGGGTAAGTGACCAGGCTGCTGGACGTCAGGGAGCACCCCTCATTGCCTTCTTCGACGCACTGGTGCTGCACCACCCGACAAAGCTGCGTGCATGCCAGAACATCGGCGGCATCGCGAACGTCTGCTTTGTCCTCCCGGACAGCCACGGCGGCGTTGACGCCTGCTACGACTTCGACACTGGTCCAGGAAACGTGTTCATTGATGCCGTCGTGCGTCACTATACTAATGGCAAGCGCGAGTACGACCAGGATGGCGAGATGGGAGCTCGCGGGACCGTCGACCAGGGACTTGTCGATGATTTCCTGACACATCCCTACTTCGCGTTGGAACCACCCAAGACAACGGGTCGTGAAGTTTTCCGCGACACTATCGCGCACGATTTCATCGTCAAGGCCGAGGCCAAGGGTCTTAAGCCTGATGATGTCGTCGCTAGCATCACCCGTGTTACCGCCCAGGCTATTGTGGACCATTACCGTCGCTACGCGCCCAGGGACCTTGAAATCGCTGAGATATTTATGTGCGGCGGTGGTGCCTACAATCCTAATATAGCCGCCTTTATCCAAGAAAACTATCCCAACACCCGCATTATGATGCTTGATCAGGCTGGTATCCCTGGTGGCGCTAAGGAGGCCATTACTTTTGCTTGGCAGGGTATGGAGGCTGTGGTCGGCCGCTCTATTCCCGTCCCCAGTCGTGTCGAGACTCGCCAAGAATATGTCCTCGGTAAAGTGTCTCCGGGCAAGAACTACCGCAATGTCATGCGTCAGGGCATGATGTTTGGCGCTGGTCGGGATCATCTCCCCCAGTGAAGGAGCTCATTAACTACATTGATGGCAAGGTTTTCGACAACAAATGGTAATTACAGACCTTTTTCTATCAAGGCGTCCGCATACTGCTTTTAGGATGCATTTACATACTATTTAGGTGTTTTTCTTTTGGCGCACCTTACAATGAGAACGTAAATATATATGGACTAAAGTATACAATGTTGTACCTGGTTGGTTACCTTCTCAATATGTCTATGAATATAGGCCCATGACAGAATTGATGTCAATGTACTTCATAGTGCATTCCAAGTATGAAAATCAATCACGCGATCCACTACACTAGTATGACTAGCTTGACAACCCAGTTTCCATCTGGCTCCGCGCTAAATTGGAGACAATCAATACCCGTTCCACCATTTTAGCAGTACTAGTTGGAACGTGCGGAGAAAGGTCCAGAGCTGGCTATGTACATCGGTAGTGGTTCGGACTGAACTTTTCTCGGGTCTATATGATCGTCCGTATATAGGAATATAAAAGCCGGAGTCACGTTGTGGAAATATCGAAGGGGTTCGACACTTATCAGTACAATATCACACATGTGATAGAACGATTGTATAGCTATTGCCTCACGGCTAATTGTTTTCTTCCTTCTATCTGCAACACTAAGGGGGAATAACATCCGAAAAGACATTGTGCCTATCATAATATAAATATTTGAAGTGTTACGCCGTCAAGGACAGAGATCGCATAGGCTACTATTCTTGTTATTATTCGTACCAAAGTACCAAAACAGACCGGTTAGGCTCTTTATTGATTTAATTGACCTAAACCTCTAATTCTACTTGCTAGATAATGCTATATAGCCCACGTTTGTTTGAAATATACAACATTGATATCGGATGAATCTATTTCAATTCTTCATAGTCCTTAACTCTACCCCGCAATCTAAGTAGTGTAACGTTACAGTCCAGAGAAGCTTTGGGCTTTTTGATGGCTAACGATTTCGCCGAGATATCGAATTATTCCGTTGTGGCTGAAGATCTACAATGTCGCACTCACTAAGTTGATTGTTCATCCAATCAATGCGAGCGACACCGGAGAATACTAAAACAACTACCTCCACCTTACCTCGCTACAATCTATTTTATATTATATCTGCGTCAACTTACGAGCGGGGGTTGGCGAACTGCCAAGACCATGCCAAAATGGCCCCTGGCAGTTCAAAGTGATCGTCGCCCTGCACTTTCTGCTCTGTTATCGTAAAGCACTACTACCTGAGAACACTACCATCTGGGAGTACTACCTGAGCAAACTATCCCCTGTAGATCTCATCTTCTGGACTATCCGGAATACCCTGTTCGGGGTATGTCCATGTTCTAAACTGCTTAGGATCGGACACATCGGAGCTGCATACGACCTAAGAAATTAATCAAACTAAATCAAACCCCGATAGCACCCCCTTCTAGGGGTACTGCAATTAACTATCTCATGATGTAACCGATCATGGCACCCGTCACTTCCAGTCCTGGAAGATCATCAACGGACTTGTAAACCCCACCTGCCCTATATAAACCACGCCCTTCGACATGTAAGTTCTTCACACAATGTTCAATCTACACCGCATAACCTGCCTTCGGGCTTTAATTGTTGCCCTTGCGCTTGGGTCAGTCAACGCTGCACCCATTACTGACCTCACTGGTCGTGACGATGCAGCCCCTGCGGTGTCGCCGATTCCTCAACAGATCGCGTTCACCGGTGGAAAGGTCTCACTCGCGGGTGATGTCACCCTCGTGACTGATAATTTCACGGACACGGCCACGATTGACACGATCAAGAAGGTCGTGGCTGCCGCCGGTGGTAAAGTGGTTGTCGCCTCCAAGCCCAGCAGCAAAGGAACACAGATTTTCGTTGGCACCGAGGGGGAATCTAGCCTCGCTGTCGCCGTTGCAAAGGCACTTGCGGACAAGTCTGCGGATGGCCTCGACCCCGACGGCTACGCTCTTGCATGTGGTCATTATGAACAGCTGCCAACTATTGTCCTGAATGGTGTAGACACGCGCGGCACGTTCTACGCGTCACAGACTCTCCGTCAACTTCTCGATGGTGCCAGCATTCCCGGTGTTAAGATGCACGACTGGCCGCTCATGTCAATCCGTGGCTCGATCGAGGGCTTCTACGGTGTCCCCTGGTCTCATGAGGCACGTCTCGAACAGTTCCGTTACTACGGAAAGCACAAGATGAACACTTATGTGTACACACCTAAGGATGACCCCCTTCTCCGCGCCCAATGGCGCACTCTTTACAGTGGTGATGAGCTTACCCAGCTCAAGGAGCTTGTTACGACTGCCAATACCAACCATGTTGACTTCACCTATGCTCTTTCACCCGGCTTGAGCGTATGCTACTCGTCCGACGAGGACTTCGACGCTACTGTTGCTAAGTTTAACCAGCTACGTGACTTCGGTGTTAGCAGCTTCTACATTGCTCTCGATGACATCGGCCTCGAGTTCCATTGCGATGAGGACAAGGCGAAGTGGCCCAAGACCGAGAATGACGAATGGATCGCCGATGCCCAGGCCTTCTATCTGAACCGCGTTCAAACTGAGTATATCGAGCCTAACAATCTCGAAAACCTCGAGACCGTCCCAACCAACTACGCCGGCAGCGCAGCCTCCCCATACAAGACAGAATTCGGCACCAAGCTAAACAAAAAGATCCGCGTTCAGTGGACTGGCGAAGGAGTCTTCAGCGATGAGATCACAGTCGACAGCGTCGTGACAGCTGACGCAAGTTATGTCACCGACAACCTGTTCCTATGGGATAACTTCCCAGTCAACGATGGCAACCGTGACCGCCTGTTCTTCAACCCCCTCACCAAGCGTGCCGCCGAACTATACAAGCACCTTCTTGGATTCACCTCGAACCCGATGAACCAAGCCTTTGCCTCTATGGCCTCGCTCGCCAACTATGCCGACTATACATGGAACGGACCTAAGTACGACGCCACCAAGTCTATGGAGGCAAGCCTCTGGGAGCTGTCAGGTAGTGACACCACCGTTCACAACGCAGTCATCGCGTTCACCGACCTCAACCAGAACTGGCCATACCAAGACCCCGTGACCAATGCGCCCCAACTTAGCAAGGACATTGCGGCTTTCTGGGCCGCTCGTAAAGCCGGCACCAGCGATGGCACTAAGGCGCTGAAGGATCGCCTCGCACTCATCATCACCATCCCCGACGTTCTCCCCAACATGGCTACCAAGGGCTTCGCTACTGACGTGGCACCCTGGTCGACTCTTGCTAAGCAGTGGGCGACCGCCTGCCAGCACTTGATTTCTATGCTCGAGGCTCTCGATGCTAAGGATCAGAGTAAGGCAGATGCTGAGTTTAACTCTGCCAAGGAGTGGGTTGAGAAGACAAAGGCTAAGACTGTTGATGACCGTAATAGCAATGGCGAGGACCTCCCTAAGTCGATCGTCCCGACTACCGGTGATAAGGCGTTTGACCAGTTCCTCACTGATGCCACGGCTATTTACAATGGTGAATAGATGATACGAATTTGGTAGTATAAGTCGAATAGACATAATGCACGTGTTGTACATGAAATGCGAATATTGATATGAAGAAGTAGTCAGTGTCGTGGAATACGAGTAGTAGGACAAAGCAAAGGTGATAAAATAAGCTACATGCAATATATACGTCAAGTCTCAAGTCTTGGTAGTTTGATCCCACAGACTGCGCACAGTAACACCATCAACCCACTTCCCCCAGTCTCATCCTTCTGTACAACAAACCGAAGGGTCCGCTTCTCACCAGGAAGTAAAGAGAACGAGTTATCCTCAAAGTATCCCACCACACCAGCAGGATAGTCAAGCCATGTATACAACGAGACAGCACTCTGAGCTTCCACGGTCAACGTGCCAGCCAGGACATCATGAGACAGCTTCAGTTCCGGGTTTCTCAGTGCCAGATCTTTAGGGAAGACAGGTGTGAACTGGTTTCGATGGGTGAATGTAGTCAAAATCTTACTTTCAGCGTTTGGTAGACGGCCCCGAGCAGTGAGATCGATGACCAGGACCGCATCTTTCGTATCAGGCACGGATAGTTGTGCCAAATTGGTACCGTAGATCCTGGTGGTATTAAGTGCCCTAACAGAGAACCGTTTCGTCAAGGGAGTACCCGCATTCCCTGGTATCGGCTTGCCAGACAAATCCGTCCAGGTAAACTTCACAGTTCCCCGAGCCGTTTCCCAGAGATCCGATGTCACATAAATAGACAAATCACCAGTGGTATAATTCCAGAACGATGATACAATGACAGGTTGGAAGATATCACGAGCAACGTAGTGAAGAACCTTCCAGCGACCATCATACTCAATCCCAGCCCACGTCGGAGCCTGCCATATATCTTCAAGTTGCCAGTACAATGCTCCAAGCTGCCGTTCCGGCATTCCGCTTCCGCGACGATAGAACTGGATTTCGGACTTGTACATGTCCGCTTGGAAAAGCTGGGTTGCGTGACACCAGGCGCTGAAGTTGGCGATCGAGTCTTGCTTATCGGGAATCGGATAGTATCGCTCTACCGCTAGGGTCATTTCGGCCATTCCTAAAGCTGATCGCGTGTAGTTGTGCGTGTCTGGGCTGCCGGCTGGGTAGTGGTGATTCCGGAGCATGATGGTGCTACTGTTGAAGTGAAGGTCTTCATTGTCCACAGCTTGCTGCCATGTTTGTAGACTCGGCATACTGTGGTATCCGAATTCGTTGGCGAAGCGACCGACTGGGTAGCCGGTGAAGTCAAATGCTACTCTGCTGTCGTAGTTGTAGTAGTCTGTATCACCGTAGTAATGTCCTTTTTCCTCTGTGCCATTATCGTAGCGCTCCGCCATGGGAACTGGAGCGGACAGGTTAACTTCCAGGAACCCGTTGTTTGTGCTACTGGGCATGTATGAAATCGATCGCGAATTCTCGTAGACTAATGGGAGGATCAGAGAGATGAAGAGATGTTCGTAATCGCCAACTAAGTGGGGATATGACGCAGGATCATGTTGTCTAGCGCTTGGTAGTTCCAAGCTTTCAATCTCGTTTCCACCAGCCCACAAAGCCATGGATGGATGATGGTTGACCCTTCTCACGTTGTAGACAACCTCGGCAGCAACATTGTCGAGGAATGGTTGGTCTGTGGGATATAGAGCATCGCTAAATTGGAACTCGCTCCACAGCAATACTCCGCGTTCGTCGGCGAGATCGTACATAAAGTCCGGGAGGTATGCGCCCGAAGCCCAGACTCGGAGCATATTTTGATTTCCGGCGACAACTGCATCGAAGAGTCGCTGCATCTTGGCCTCAGTGACTCGCGGCCAGAAAGCATCTGGTGGAATGAGGTTCGAGCCCTTGGCGTAGAATTCATGGCCGTTTACTTCGAAATGCCAATTCGCGCCGGGTGCGATACCCTGAGCCAACTGTTCATCAGTGATATTTGATCGATTCAGGAAAATAGTGCGGAAGCCAGTTCGCTTGGTTACGACGGCGAGGTCATCGCCTGAGCTCTGGATAGTGACTGTGATGTTGTATAGGTTTTGCTTGCCCATCCCTGCGGGCCACCAGAGGCTCGGTGCGTCTGCATCAACTATGGTGGTACCGGTGATAGTTTGTCCAAATACAACGACATTACCGAGCGATCCGGACTTCAACACTTTGCCTGACTCGAGGTCCTTGATATCGATAGACATAGATGGGCGTCTAGGTAGAGAGCCGAGATAGTCAATACTTGCATTCACAACCCAGGGCTGACTCTGATCGGGGGCAAGGTGGTTGATTTGGCCCTTTCGATAGATGTCGAAGCCTGTGTTTAGAACATGTATATCTTCCTCGCTCTCGGACTGCACTAGGTAGATGTTCTGCCATGGGCCAGCAGGCGAGAACGCGGGACCCCAGTCCCAGCCAAAGTCGGATTGTTCTTTTCGAATATACCAGCGGTTAGGGAATTCGAATGTTCCTTGTACACCGCTAGGCCATTCTGGATATATTGTTAGATATGGTGTCTTATCGCTATGTTGCGCACTTACTTTGTGAGTTTGGATCATCGGCAATTGCATTTGCAATTTTACTGGCACTTCCAAACTCAAGAGAGAGGGTTGGAGAAGCGTTGCAATGTTTCAACGCATTGGAAATGTCAAAAGTATACTGCCGGAACTGATTATTTGTAGTTCCTATAGATTGACCGCAGAACTGAATTGTTGCAAAGGTGTCGAGCCCATTGAACACAAGCCAGGAAGACTTGGAGGTGGTTAACCTGTGAAGAGTCAGTGGAAATCCCAATAGACACAGCGAAGAGCACAAACAAGCCGTCGATTGGTTTACTTGTATAAGTCCAATTGTTCTCTGCGATCCAACGTAAGTTGAAGTCATTCAAACCATGATAGCTTCAACGTGATTCGAGTTAGTATAGAGATATTACAGGACAAACGAGCGTTCAACTAACGGGTCATCTGTTTTTGTTAGATCGGTCAACACGTTGGACTGTGAGACTCACCTATCACATTCGCATCAAGAAGATCCAAATGCACCTGTGATGGGACGTTGCCGGGGACGCTAATATTCAGCGCCTTGCTACTGACAGTCCATCCGTCACCACTCAGATCCAAAACATTCTGTCCAAGAGTCGTCGGCAGCACTGATAAAAGCACCGCCAGCACAAGCTGGTTCCAAAGATACATAGCGTCAAAAGCAAAATATGCCGAGATACTTCTGCAGGATCGAGGGGCCTGGTGTAATAAATATGTCTAATTGACCTGTTAATCAGCTGGCAGACACAAAAGTACCATACTAACTTACGATGTTCATTCTGGGTGATGCAACACAGTTTGCATAGTCTGCGCTCTTGAAGTGGTATCTCCACACCCCCTCGCGTGGGGGAGAAAGCAACGGTAGCAGCGCTAATGTATGATAATCCCGGGGAATAAAGTCGCGAATTCCGAGTCTGGACTCAACGGGATATACATAATGACCTGCGGTGTTGGTGGATACGGAAGTTGAGACGGGAGGCTTGAGGCTTACTTTATTAGCGCGGTAAAACGGATATCCTCGTTCAATCTCATATTCTCTGTTATTGAAAGAGATATATATTACTACGTACTCACATAGTAATTCAGAAGGTATTCAAAAGGTTCGATCAATGGAATGAGCCCCTGGATTCAGTCTAATTTAAAACACGGCCAATGGAAATCATAAATACTCTATACATAGTTTTTATATCTGTACAGATGTTCGCGGTTGATCCGCTAGGTCAGGTTCTGACGCATCGTCGATAAATCACTCTGTGAAAACCCAAGTTTATCAATGAGATACCCCTCAACACCATTTTTATAGGTGTTCTCAAATGATATCAGGAAAGCCTCCATGGACGTGGCTCGAACACCACATAGCTCGAGCATACCCAATGCCTCGGGACTCAACTGGCTGATGTCGAGTCCATCAGCTCCCAAATTTACCGCGAATGCCTCCATCAGGTTCTCCCGGGCGCTTTCCAATCCAACGCGAGTGAGGATGTAATCATTGACAATATCTTCATGAGGTCGATTGATTAAGAGGAGGATGAGGGCAGCCAAGACACCCGTGCGATCTTTACCCGCTGTAGACAAAAGAATTTGGTCAGTATTCATCGATTATGAATGGGCTTGTATGCGACCATGCGAAGATAACCCGGGGTAATACACGAGGAACATACCTGAACAATGGGCGATAAACGGGTCATCTGGGTTATCTCTGATATGCTTAAATATCTTGGCGAAACATGGAGAAGCGGCTTCGAGGATCCCGTTGTACATCTTCACGAACCCCGAGGCGCCTTTGTCTTCGCCTGCGAAATCGCGTAGATTTAAAGTGGCCGGTGGGGCTCCGTATGGACACCATATCGTCTCGACTCCCGTGATAGCAGGTGAAGGAGCTTTTTGTCGCTCGCTTTCATTCCGAAGGTCGAAGATTGTGGTGATTCCTAATTCGGTTGCGATGATGGATTTCCCGGCTCCCCAGATGTCTGACAAGCTTCCCGACCGATACACGAATCCTTTGCGTAACTTGTTGCCATCGTGGCTCAAGTCGCGAAAGTTGGAGACACCTTGTATGGGGATGAATGGCGGCAGGGATGTGATCTTGGCTACCAGTGCCGGAGGGATGGGAGTTCTGATGTCGGTATGTAATACCTCGCTGATTTGTTCGTTTTCAAACATGATTGCGTAGAGAATTGAATACAAAAACAAAAATCTGAGATGTTAAATCAAGACATTGATTTCCAACTATGTCATAAAATAGTGGGGAGGGTAATGTCATCATATCCCGATGACGATATTCTTCCAGGAACACTCTCTCGGCTTTTTAGTTCGTCGAAGGTGAGATAATGAGACCATTTTAGCATAGCAAACAGAATAATTGTATTTATACTGTCCTTCATGTAACTTCAACTTTCCATCAAATTCATCTCCATTCACAAACTTGTCCAACCATGGCATCCCTAGGCATCAACACCAGAATCACTGACTTGGCCCCGAATATATACTATCGCATCAGCGCAGCAATCTTGCGATACCAAGTGACCGGGGACTACACCGTCCTACTTCTGAAGGGAGTTGACGAACCCTATTCCAACGGGCCGAATTCTAGACACTGGTCTGATCATCGCCGATGCTGTGAGGCGTATAGTCTTCGACAGGGCTGGCCTTGAACTCCAGCTCTACCGCACAATCCAGGAGGTACAGTCGAAGATAATTGGATTCGGACCCAAGACTACCACGATACTCAACTATGTGATCCACGAAGATTTTTCTCAGTATGAATGGGTGAAACAGGATGGTTATAGGTCTCTCGATATGCGCATTGAAATGAAGGAGGTGATACGCCGGGGATTTGAATTACACCGAATTGAATCACGCCGCTTGGGAATTGCGATGTGAAGCCTATAGAGAAGAAAGAAGAAAGAAGAAAGAAGAAAGACAATTCAAGATGTTCACAGTACAGGATTCTCTTCCCCGCATCGGATATTCGGTTGGCCGCGGAGTAACGTGAGGGTTTAAATGCCGATGCCAACCGCCCTCCGCAATCCCCAGATTTAACATTCAAACACTCCCTTTCTTCCATTGAGACAAATCAAAATGTTAATAGCAAGAGACATCAAAATGTCTCTAAAGCTTCTAACTCGGAATGGCCTTCGCAGCCAGTCCATAACCACAGCTCGCATTGTCCCCGCACGGAGGTGGAGTAGCTCCATCTCGCAGCCGCCGGGGTCAGACAGGTGAGAGATCCCTTCAAAGACAATGTTTTTTTTATTTGAATTCTAACAGGATGGTAATGTGCTTAGTGTTCGATTCCCTGGAGCCGTGAACAGCAAATTCACCTCAGAGATGGCCTTCCTCAAAGCTTCAGATCTCCCCGCTATCCCTACCTACCGAGTGATGGACTCAGACGGTCATCAAGTTGATAAGACAAGACCAGCACCCGATGTTACAAATGAGGAAGTCTTGACGTGGTACAAGAATATGTTGTCTGGTTAGTTACCCCACGCTTGATGTGACATCAAGTATCTGACTTTTGGCTGCAGTAAGCGTTATGGACGTGGTCATGTTTGAGGCACAACGGCAGGGTCGCTTAAGTTTCTACATGGTATGTCCAATTCACCCAAGAGGAATACAACTTATCTGACCGGCTACCTCTAGGTTTCCGCCGGCGAAGAAGGCATCACAGTCGGATCCGCCGCAGCATTGACACCAGATGATGTAGTCTTTGCACAATACCGCGAAGCCGGTGTATTCCAGCAACGTGGATTTACGCTAAAGAACTTCATGAGCCAGCTCTTCGCCAATTGCAATGATACAGGCCGTGGTCGAAATATGCCAGTCCACTACGGACAAAACTATCCTCGCATGGTCAGTACCACCCTTGACTACAGCAAAGTACTTTCCTAATCTAACACACCCAACAGCACACAATCTCATCCCCATTAGCGACACAAATTCCCCAGGCCGCAGGCGCAGCCTACGCCTTGAAACTCCAAGACCTCCAAAACCCAAACCGGGACCCACGCATTGTAGCCTGCTACTTCGGCGAAGGAGCCGCGAGCGAAGGCGATTTCCACGCCGCGCTAAACATCGCCGCAACACGCTCCTGCCCAGTCGTCTTCATATGTCGAAACAACGGCTACGCAATCTCAACACCAACACTAGAACAGTACCGAGGTGATGGAATCGCCAGTCGGGGCGTGGGATACGGTATCGACACGATCCGCGTCGACGGCAACGACATCTTCGCCGTAAACGAAGCAATGAGAGAGGCACGTCGACTTGCCCTAAGTGAGGGCGGACGACCTGTGCTAATCGAAGCCATGAGCTACCGTGTCTCGCACCACAGTACCAGTGACGACAGCTTTGCGTACCGCGCGCGCGTCGAGGTTGAGGATTGGAAACGTCGTGATAATCCTATTATTCGGCTGCGGAAGTGGCTTGAAAATCAGGGGATTTGGAGTGAGGAGCAGGAGAAGGAGACGAGGGATGAGATGCGGAAGGCCGTGTTGAAGGAATTTGGTGAGGCGGAGCAGGAGAGTAAGCCTTCGCTTAGGGAGGCTTTTGCGGATGTTTATGAGGAAATTACCGAGGAGCAGAGGGAGCAGATGGCGGAGCTCAAGCGGATTTTGGAAACTTATCCCGATGAGTATGATCTGCGGCCGTATAAGGATGGGATTAAGGGTTTGGATTGAGAGGGCTTGTCTCTACAAAATATACATGCGACCTTCGGGGCGTTAGAGCGTTATAATACGAGAGCTATATTCATATAGATTCCAGAGATGTCCAGGAGGATGTTTTGTTGTGATGCTTATTGAATATTCCCACTGCATTGATTTATGAAGTCTCCCACTGTTTTTACATACTCCAAGAAAGAAATATACAATCCCTAACAACAGCACTCGACCAGAGGTAGTCATACCATAGTGATAAGTACCCTAGTATCGACTGCGCCCCCTGCGTCTAGCACTCCGACTTTGCGCAACGGCAACAGCAACCTTAGGCACAGTAGCAAGACTCATATAATTATCATCCGAAGCCAGGTAAATAGCACCAAGCCCCATATCCTTCGCCAACCGAACAACATCACCAATGTTAGCATCCTCGGGCGTCTGATTCAAAATAACAGCATCCTTCCCGTAATGCTCAGACGTCGAGAAATGCTCATCAGGAGCCTGAGCCACCCAATTAGCATAAGTATTCTCATACTCGACAATAAAGTCCGCTATCTCGAACCACTTGGCAACATCAGCCTTGAGTTTAACGCCAGGATTGAAGACGACAGTGTTCAAGCTACTGCTTTTCGATTTTCTCGACAGATTCTGGAAATAGGCGAGCTTGCTCGGGTCTTCGCCGTTCGATGCCTCGTCGAAGAAAATGCCGTTGAGACGGATATTTCGCCCTGCATAGTTGGCCCATTTGGCGTAGACAGCGATGTCCTTTTCGACGTCCGAGCTGGCTCGCGTGCCTTGTTTTGTGTACGTGTAGCCCAGTACCTCGGTGTTGGGATAGCTGTTTAACTTTGCGATGGCGGTGATGAAGACTTCTTCTGGGTATTCTGTGGTACCGGGACCGGTGGATGGGTTGATGATTAGGTAGAATGGGATTGATGGGTGGGCTGCGATTGTGTCGTAGATTGTGTTCCATGCGTCTGTGCCGGGCCAGGTGTATAGTGGTACTAGTAGGCCGGTTGATACGACTGTTGAGACTAGGGTAAAGATGGTGGCTATGATGGAAAGTAATTGAAACATTGCATATGTTGTGCTGAACGCGAACCAATAAACGAATGTATGTAGTACACAAGGGGCCAATGCTGTTTAATACAGTGCAAGGAGAGAAAAGACCAACAAGACTGCCGAGAAATAGTATATTCAGTGAGTGATGCACGCTTTATACCTGCATGCCAGCCGAGACCGGGGAAATGATGTCCTATGGGAAGAAAGGGATAGATCAGCCTCAATCCCTATTGTATGCAGGCCGAAAGTAGAAAGAGACTCACAACAGACATCAGACATCAGACACATGTTTCAAGAGAAAGACGAAGGGATCATTCACCCTGAATAGCCAAGTTGACACCGGGTGATACCACTTAGGGAAACACCATGAAGAATGAACTAATGTCGGATCCCTTCGGAGGAATGGGCCTTCATTAAATGTCTGGTCTTGATTGAAATGGACGGAGTACGGAGTAGAGGAATGTGCAAGTCAAGAGATCTAGCCCTGGTGAAATTGGTGATCGATCCCCCTTGGCGCATCCCCTTATTGACCGGTGGATATTGATGTCTTGAGCCTTGTTAGTTCATGAAAATCGAAACTCAGATATGTTTCTCATGTGCAACTGTTGCAATTTAGGGAACATGCTAGATCCCTCGGTTTTTAATTGCCCGGTTTCAGATGTGAGGCGGGTAGTTTGACGTGCGGTATATATCATATCTAAGACTCATAAAAGTAAATTTCGGGGATGTTCTAATTTTCACTTGGAGTGGACGGGTCTCTTAAGGATCAAAATTTGTTTATTCATTTGCCAAGTACACTATTGAGGATAGGCCCAGAAGGCGCATGTGTTGACCCCGAACACTGCAGGCTCATGGGAGTGTTGATAATTAGATTAGGACCTACGCAGACAAATATAAATGTTGTACAGTGATTCATTCAGGCTAAAATAGATAATCATACAGAGTGGACTGGAACGCGGTGAAATACCACCATCCGGGGTATCGAGAAATCCATATGTACATGCACAGGAATTCCAATTCCTCCCAAGAATCTGCCGACGGGAGATTGCGAAGGGGACAGAGAGATCCGATCCGAGATAAGAGTCAATGATTGATTACACCTCTGACCCAGCAGCAAAGTTCAATGCCTGCTGCTGAAGCTTCTTGTTGCGTCGAAGCAGAGCTGCGAACTTCTTGTCCAGGGAATCCATTTCTTTCCGGGTGAGCTCGAGGTCTTTCTGAGAACGACCAGAGAGATCCTTGAGTTCCTCGTTGGTCAAGCTGGCAACGTCATCGAGAGTTGGGTTGGTACCGACCATGCCCGGATTGCCCAACATGTGCTGCGCGGTAACTGCGGCGAAGGAGCGCACGGCAGCAGGGGTCGTGTTAAGAAATTCTGCCGAGTTGGCGACGGCCCAGTCATGATTGCGGGTGCTGTCTGCCTCCATGGCCGAGAGGACGTTAGGCGGGATCACGGATTCCGCCGCCTCAAGAGAAGAGGACGGGGAGGTGGCACCCAAGCGAGTGGGCATGTCGTCGACCCAGCAGATATTAAACTTTTCCGGATTTGCGAAAAGAGCTTCTAGGCCTCCACTGGGATTGCTCGCGTCGTCTCCAATCATGAAAGGATCCGAGGTATTGGCCATGGTCTTCTCTAGCTCTAGGTACCGCTCCTCCTCTTCCGGCTCGAGGTGGCGCAGGACGCAGCCGCGGGGCGTGATGAGGCATCGAGTTTTGAGGAAATCATCACCGATTCGAACGGGCTCGCCGCGAAGCAGAGTTTTCCGATCCTCCTCGGTCAACTCATTGGGACACTGTAGATAGTCGTAGTCCTCCGCAGTGCACTTCATGTCAGTGCGCTGGCTGAGGTTGCTCGGGTTGAAGAGGGAACTTTTGTTGAGGTCAAGTTCGCCAGACTTGTGCATCTCAGCGAGCAACTCGTGGAGAGGCTTAGTTCGTTCGACGAAGAGATCCTTGATTGACCTTCCAAGAGCCTCGGAATCCTTGACCAGCTGTCCGATTGTATTGTTTGAACGCCATGGCTCTACAGGGGGTTCCTTCTGAACAGGTGGCTCTTCGAGAGGGGGAGGAGGAGGAGGAGTAGGCTCTCTGACAGGCTTGGTCTCCTTGGCTTTCACTTTCTTTGTGGTATCCACCTTGGGTTCGACCTTGACCGGAGAAACG